CGCTCGAATTCCTCGGCGAGAACGTCTTCCTCGGGCTGTGGGTCAGAGGGCTGATATATGTAATCGGCAATTGCTGGGTGTTGACGAGACTCATGGCTGCGTACGCCGTATAAATCACTCTGCACCTTACCGCGTGCCAGGATTACAATGTACTCGACGAAAAGTCCGGGGGCAATGCCAGAAGTCTGCATTCGACAGGCAGGGATTTGTCGACGTCCGGATTTTCTGTGACGCGCATTAGGTGCGTTCTGTGTTCGGAGATGTTGCCGCGTACAGCAGAGCATATGATATAACTAGGCAATGTGTTATGTTTGCGTCTCTAAATAGTTGCTTGGTTGCGGATATGCGATGCTGGTTGTGAGTCGGAAACAGCGCTTCGTATGCTGTCGGGATCGTCGGGGGGTTCCCGTCACCCATCATATGCTGCCCATGTCAGTCCTCTCCCTCGTCTGATGTCGAGGGTTTGCCCGGAAGTGAGTCAATATAAGTAGAGGTCATGTCGAAGAACGTCCAGAGCAGGCCGTGGGTGGTAATGCTACGCAGTGCGCTGATACCGAGGCCTCGGTATATGCGCGTCAGCCCTGCCAATAGAGGCTTGGGGTTATGCGGATCGGGACCTCAATACACCTATGAGCTCAGGTAGCAAGGAGGACGGAGGAACATACCTCTTATCAACCGTTGAAGGGTCTCCAACGCTCCCCTATACTGATCTCCTGCCAGTGCTCTCTGCTGCATTTTAGTCTTGACGCTGGGGAGGATCGTGAGTCATGGAGACCAGATGTTAGACGTTTGCATGGCGAACTTACACATCCAGAGGATAGATCTTGGTTCGCGTAGGTCAGCACGCAGGAAAAAGAGATGCACGGAATACACTCACCAGCGCCCAAGAAGACACCCCAGATAATGAACCGCACAAAAAGGGAACGAGGGATGCGTGAACAGGTAGCCACGCTGGAGTCGGACCTTGCTCGCCTGACGGCAAGCGACCCAGAAGATACCGCATCGCGTCGTACTCCATGAAATATAGCGCCGTCCCGGAAGTGTCGCGTACTACGAATTTATTATCAGGGAGCAGGAAGGGCGAAGAATGGAGGAAGTCGTACAAAAGTGCAGCCGGAATCCTGTCCACAGACCCATTGGGCCATTGATACGCACTATATCCCGGATGGCTTCTATAGTAGTGGGTGCACGCTCCAGGTGTTGACCCTTCGCGGCCGCGATGCTGTATTCAAGTTGCCGTCGGATCTATGTTTAGTTGTTCGTTCAGCCGCAATTCATATATGCATCTCCGGATGCAAATTGGATTCACTTTGACAAGTTCAAATGCTGTCGGAGAAGCATAAGGGACATGAAGGCACTTGGGAGGAGGCACAGAACGTACGGACCGTCCCAACTGTTAGAAGGGACCCAGAGGTAGCACCGCTGATACCCTGTATTCCTTGGTGAACTCGGCAATGACGCATAGCAACGGCAAGACACACCCCCATGGCAGCAACATCGACTATGTTATTTTGAGTCAGGATTTGGTGATTCCGCATGTACTCCTTTGTTCCGGAATATATCGTGAAGGAAGCAGCGCCTTGGTAGAGAGGGGGATCAGGCTTGGAATGTATCGGGGAAAGCACGGCTACGGACGGACGAAGGATATCGTCGATAAAGGTATCCATATCCCGCGGTAAAACCCCCTCCACCCCTCTTCGCGGTACACTAAGGAAAAGACGCCGGGTATGGATATGGGAGTTTTGATCGTTTGCAGTCGTGACTTGACGGAGTCGAGCTAACGCTGACATCTCAGGTTCAAGTGTGGAGCATCTAGCTCTAAAAAAAACGCACCGGGTACCCCACAAACGTTGATATGTATGAAGCCGTAAGGGAGCAGACCACCGCCTTGTGACCTACGGGCAGACGATTGAGCTACAGATTTGGGCGAGCGAATGCGTGAAGCATACTACGGAGGAACTCATTGACGGTACCGGACTGAGGCTGGAATGTCATGCGTCTGCTTCATGGTCAGGCGAACGAGCTGGAAAACCGATAAAATAACCCGAACCTCTCCCCATCCATATGGAATGCAGGTTTAGGCTTTCAAGCGGCCACTACGACGCATGTGGTGGCTTCAGCCTGAGGGGAGTGTAGCGGCTCTTGTGCAACGCTCTGCACCGAAGCCTGGCTCGCGCGTGTGGTGGTTGAATGTGGGCAGTAGAAAGGGAAGAGCGAGCGCTGTGAACCCGGATCTGCAGGCTCTTGCAGCGAGGAGCGGAAGGTCGCGTCGGAAGATCGAAGCGCGTCATAAGACGCGCTACCCGAACTCTATCCCATTTCACGATCTACTCGGTGGGAGCAACTGCGCAATACACTAATAATTGACATGTTCCCATCATTTCCCCACCCTGCGTGAAATGCAAGCATCCGAGTGCCCCAATCGATGCTGCGTCCTTTCTCAGCCGCTTGCGTGCATAGCGCCGCAACTTGCACCCCACACATACTCGAACGACGAAGATACCGTAGACGGCCTGTCAGAACCCGCCCATCCTTTTCTTAGCAGGTTTCTTCTTCGCTACGGGTACTCGGCCACCGAAGGGACCAGGCAACACCTGCGTCGCGACCATGCCCGGCTGCGAGCTCAGACTCGGTTGAGACGACTGAACCTGAGTGCCAAAAGCCGGGGGCGGTCCCGTTCCCGCTTGCCGCCTCGGCGCACGTTGTGGTTCGTGTTTGGAAGGGACTACGAGAGGTGGGGCGATCGGCGTGGGTACGGATGCGGCAGGTTGCTGGCCCGTTCTCGCGGCGGCGGGGACGATGGTCGGCGGTTGCTTGGGTTGCGAAGCTTTGCCGCGGGTGGGCTGGGACTGCGCGGCGGCCTTAACGGGTTGAGCAGCCGGGCGTGATTGTTGCAAAGGCGCGGGTTGGTCCAGAGTACCGTACGGATCCTGATACGAATACTTCGCCGTCGAACTCGTGGGTTCCCACTCCCGCAACAGAAGGCGAACGCCTGCGGGGCATACACCCTTAGACGTGTGGGTGTGGTCATCGCTTGAAGGAACCTCTGGATTTTCCACTTTCTTCTCTATAGGCCGCAAGAAGGAGAACTGGACCGGAGGGGCATCCGCACTAAGTGTCATAGCTTCCGTCGCCCGTGACATCGATTCCAGGTCTTCGACGCTCGTTCTCGACCGCAGAGTATGTCGACTGATCGGAGCTGCAGTGAAGACGCTGGATGCGAGTGCCAGGTCGAGAGCAAGCTGCTCGCGCGCTTCCATTTCCCTCCGGATAGAAGCCCCTGGCCTATATTCACTGCGCTCCAGGTCGTACCGAGATAGGTTCTGTGCCATTTGGAGTGGATCGTCATCCATATCCTCGACGAACTGCTGGAGGAACCTGGTAGCGGAGAAGTGCCAACCAGCATTCTTGGCAACGTCCTCGATAGGTATCCTCCCCTGTGTCAACGCACGATAACCACGCACGGAATTGAGGGCACTACCCGAAAGAAAGTCCGCGCGACCGGCTTGTGAAGGGTCCTCTCCGGAACGGAATGCAACATCATAGCTGTATGCCAAACTGTCAAACAGATGAAAACCAGCGGCGCGGGTGGTCTTCACTCACGTTGTTACCGCCTGCTCGACGGGGATATCAGACTCCTGCCAGAAGGAGGGCATTCTGTCTAGCATGTCGTAAACAGTATCTGCAACCCCGGATTCCGCCTCAGGCATATCGAGCAATGCTACAAACGTGCTCAGCCGTCGCGGCCAATGACGATTCCCACATAGGTGTTTTACCTCTATACGCCAGTTCAAAATCGACGACCTCCTCCGCTCGAGCCGCCATGGGCCCGTAATCGGGTTTCATCCTCATTGACTCATCATCAAGCAACCGTACGTCGTCTGTCCATTCGAAATCGTATCGGGAGGGAGGGAGGCTGCCTATGTCATCTTCTGCTGCGAAACCCAGTTCCATACCGTGGACACCCCCTCGGGAATCCATGCCGTACAAGGCGACTGGAGTTTCGTTACTATCTAAAGGGTGTCGGAAGACGAGGTGCCCCAGGTTCGTTCCTGTCGGGACGACAGGCGGTAGAGCGTACGGCCACGAGTGAGATTGAACGAGACCACCGTCGCCGCGGGATACATCGTATACGGTAATGAGGCCGTTGCGACGAGACGTCAGGATAGTCAGAGGTTCTGGGAAGGAGACGTTTGTCAACGACATCATATGAAGGTGCAAGCACTCGCTCCTACTTCCTGATACTTGGATGCTTGTGCATCGCAAAGTCCGGTCGAAGCTTCGCCTGTGTTTATATGCCAACAACGGGGTCCCGGGTTTTCGTTCATCAAGCCATAATACCTCGCTGGTAGTAACAACGTTAAGCAGTCCATCAGAAGCATCGGATGGAACTGTGAAAGAGGTTACGCAGGCTTCTTGGCCTGGTGTGCTATAGATGTCCAGTGCATCGGACGACTGGAGGGGAAATGAGACTCTGACTACCCAATCGACTTTCCTACTTACTCGAAGATCCAGCTTACGAAGGTGATGACTCGAAGCGAGAAAGTAGTCGCGATCATTCTGCCCTGCAGCAAGCCTCCAGAAAGTATCTTCAGCACCAAGCTCTGAGCTCGTTGGCACCCTATACCCTGTTCAATGTCCATCTTCTGATCCAAGGGTGGTGAGGTCTCACAAAACAGGGGGGCCTCCTGGGCCATGCAGAGGAAGTCGATAGACCATGCCACGGTCATTGACGACCAGGGAGCCAGATAGCGAGGAAACCAGGGCTACATCAACAGGATGTCGCTCGTCGAGATCTGAACGCCGCAAACGAGCGATTTCACTAATGTCCATCCTCTCGCCAGTATATACGGCGTTGGCTCGATGGATCATCAAAGAGCCATACGTACGCACAGCGATAAGAGGGTCTACTTGACGTTAAGAGTCGCCCTCATCCAAAATGGTGTTTCGAACAACGCACCGCTTGTCTGATTCGGTGCCATGGGTGATGCTACGACTTGCCGAATAGGCGTCTCAAACTTACAGACAGGGTGTGCTGTCGGTTTGAACACACTCCCGGTTCTTTGTGTGTATCGTAACGGAGAGATGTCTATATAATGATGGTTACCGCGGGTCGAGATACACCTTGACGAAAGACCGACTCACTGAGTTCTTTGCCTGAATCGCCCATAGGAAAGACGACATATGCTCTTGTACGTGTTCCCGACCGCCGAACTGCGACATCCAGGAGTTGACCATCGTAAGGATCGAATTTGTGAACGCTTTGGGCGATCTTGTAGTCGTTTGCCACCTCGTCCCGAATGATTTCTGCCGGTATATCGACATCAGGATGATAAGTCCTGATGTAATGAGCCTATTATTCGGATTCAGTGATCCATATACATATTTGCGTCGAGATCAACATACTCCAGAGTCCGTGCTCTGATCCACGGTCGCGATCGGCCGCGTAAGAGGGGCATGCCGAGTTGTGGGGAAGACCAAAGTCGGGTCAGTGAAAGCCCTCAGCCTGGAACCTACGCCACGGTCAGAACAAAGAATATATAGCATCTGCGCTTTCGTACCGTCATTGTCATTAGCGGCGAGACTCCAGGACGGAGCGCCTTCGGACAGCCGCAACATAGCTGCGTGCAGCAAGCCAGGTTCAAGGATAGGATAACTCCATGGGGTCTCCTTGACTTGGGCTCTATTTCTGCGATCTTTCGGCTTCAGAGGTAGATTGCCTCCGGTGGAATACGCGGGCCAGTTATCCATGCCATTTGACGGCGTACGATGAGTTGGTCGAAGTCAGCGAACGACTGCAAACGCGCTTCGCGACTCGTCGCCGCGTCAAATGGGAGTCTGGGACCATGACGGGACACAGCCACTCCCTCCTCTCTCAGTCCTCCGATGCTGTCTGCTCAGCTGCCTGAGCGCGCCATCCGTCGGCTATGGACTGGGCAACGATGTTTCGTGGTCCTTGCTAGGTCTTTACACTCAACCTCTGCAGCGAACGCGATACCCGTAGCCACCACGTCGGCTACCGCGGAGTCTGCAGCCCCCGCCAAATGGACGCCGCAGTCCCTCCGTACTGGCCTTATAGCGCGCAAGAGGTTCATGACCGCCATGTGGGACGACTTAGGGGCGCGTGTTCCTGTCACCGTGCTTCAGGTTCGTCTGAGGGTGCAAAACAAATGTCTCAGACGCGTAGCGAACTGAACGCTTTTCCTCGCAGATAGAAAACTGCCAAGTCACCGCGAATATCGTGACCAAACGCAAGGATGACACGGAATACCACGCGGTGCAGGTAGCGGCGTCGGACAAGTCCCCGAAGAACACGACGCATCAGATGAGGGGGCACTTCCGGAAAGCTGGCGTACCGAACAAGGCTATTGTACGGGAGTTCCCTGTTACACCCGACGCTCATGTCCCCGTTGGTACGTGTTTCCGTGTCGTCCATAACACTGGTTTCCAACCTGGCCACCCATAGGCACCACGTTGTCCGCGATACACTTCGTACCAGGGCAATATGTCGACGTCGTGGCGAAATCGTAAGCGTTCGCGTGTGAGGGATAACGCATATAGCTCATTTACTTTCGCAGCATTGGAAAGGGTTTCGCGGGTACCATGAAGCGCTGGAACTTCAAGGGTCTCCGCGCCAGTCACGGCGTTTCCGTCTCCCATCGTTCGGCAGGTTCTACTGGTGCTCACCAAGACCCCGGCCGCGTCTGGCCGGGCAAGAAGATGGCGGGCCACCTCGGCAACGAGCGCGTCACGACGCAGAACCTCCGCGTCATACGCGTCGATACGGCGCTGAACCTCATTTTCCTCAAGGGCTGCGTCCCGGGTGTTGACGACGCGCACGTCATGATTAAGGACTCGAAGAAGATTATGCACAACATCGCACAGGCGGCGCAGGCTCGAGGGAGGTTGGACCGAATTTTGCCGAAGGGCGTGGTTGACCTGCCCTTCCCGGCAGGGACGGCGGAGATGGCGAAGGCATTACCGCCGGTTATTGAGGCTACATCACCTAGGATAAAGAGCCCTTTCACCCCGCAGGAGTGATTTGACTTGCATTGTCGTCTATCGTATAGGCTCTGCACATAATGGAGCGACGTGCCATTCTCGATTCTTCAAATTGAAACCATTAATGACGGAGCGTAAGGCAGCAGTTAAACTAGGTATCAACGGGAATTTGTCACGTCCATTCGTATCTCTCCTCGCACTCGCAAGACGTTAGAGCGCTAGGGTTTCCTTGAGAGCACTGATGCTCGGCGCGAAGAAATACTCGCCTCCCTTCGGGACTACAAAATCGAAGGGAAGCGTAAGGTCCGTACCCGGATTGAGAGGGTCCGAGCCGAACATATTCCGGCTGTTGTTCCCATTCTGACCAATGATGGGATCGAGGCCGATGCTCACGTTCTTCCCCGGCGGGAAGTTGGGGTTGCCCGCCCAGGACTGCTGCAAGAACTGGAAAGCGTCGACGATGCTCGCCTGGTAGCAGACGAAGGCAAGGCCGCGCTTGTGGTGCGTCTTCGAGTCTCTGATCTCCTCGGGGGTGAGCTCCGGCCCGAAGGTGATGCTTTGGCGGATGATGCGTCTGTTGTCGAATGAGTTGGGAGGCAGGTCGCTGCGAGGGTTGGTCTTGCGCTGTTTAGTGACGTTACAGTCAGCGCAGACTGGTGACCGATTTGACAAATACGACGTACGACGTGCGCTGCGAAAGGGCACTTGCTCTGGTCCTTGACATCAGAGAAATCGAAGTTGTTGTTCCTCTGCGGGTCCTTCGCTAACGCAGGGTCTGGGTGGGTGGGAGAAAGGTCGGTCGGCGTGCCGTCCTTCCACCTGCCGAAGAAGCGAGCACCGAGGAGCTCCGCGCCCTGCTCCTGCGTGAGACCGGGGTCGTTGATCGCGTGGACATTGAGGAATTGGTTGAATTCCGGCACGAGCTGCTGGAAGTGGCGGAAGACGAGGAACGAGCCGTCTGCAGGGAAGATGAGAGATGGAAAAATGCTGTTTTACTGGTCTTTACGCACCCTTAGCCCAGTCCGGCGTCAGGCCCGCGTTCTGGGGCTTGGAGGTTTGACCAACGGGCTCGCCAAACAGAACATTTCCCGGGGCGATGAGGTTGCCGCCGGGGACGGTTTTTCGACGCCGTCGATGGCAGGCTATTGTACTAGTAAGAAACAAGTCGTACGACTTGGAAATCCAGCTGTTTACCTGGCTGATACCATCCTGGAAACCGAAGCTATGTGCATTGTCAGCGTGTTACTCCGGCAAGCGACGTCGGGCTCTTACTGCTCATGGCCCTTCTCTGCACCAGGACGAACCTGACACTTGTCGGTGAATACAACTTTAGCGCATGCGTGTCCATGGCCGATCTTGAATATATCGAAGATTTCCGCACGACGATGGTCGACGGTAGACCAACGCTCGCCAGTGATCAGAATCAGGGCGTCTATTTTCTGCTTGAACACCGCGAACCAATCAGGATTACCCTGGGCGTCCGTCGGGTCGCCCAATTATCCTTGGCGTCCTTGAACTGGCCGTTCGTGAATGCGGTATCATGGAAGTCGTCATTGGCACCGAGCTGGTCACAGCTCAAATGAATGACCACATCAGCTAGAAATATCGGGGATTGCGTACCTTCTGAAGGCCCCAGTGGGAGAAGGAGATGTTGGTGCCGACGATGGGTAGCAGAGGAGGCGGATGTCCTTCAGCGGCTGCCTTCTTCTTGCTGGCTGCGATACTCGCAAGGTCGGCTTGGACTTGACTCGTGCTGGTGATCAGAGGCGCGATCTGCTTCAAGCATTTCCGGAAACAATCGACATCTGTGATGTCAAGGAAGATGCATTCCTCAACTTTCTTGGGCAGGCCAATTCTGTATCGCCGTTCCTTTGAATGGTTTGAGACGAAAGCCGGTCAGATAGACGTACATGACATCGCCCTGGATATTGTTCAGGTCAAGACCGGATGATACCGGCGCGGTTTGCTGCGATTGGAAAGATACTTGGGACATTGTCAGAGTGAGATCGTGTGCTAAATTGGGCAGTAACTTGCAGATGTCGACCTACTTATACCTGGGTCTGCTTCAAGCCCATGGCACAGACCACCTTGCAGCTCGCAGCATCACCACTTCTGACTCGCAAAGTCGCTCCCGTTCAAAGCGCAGATTATTATCCGTTCATCCAACCGAGCCGGCCGCGAGAGTTTGACAGGTCCTGCGCCATCGGAAACATCTCACAAAGAGTGAAATGGTAGCGCAGACGGCGGTGGTCCGTGCCTCTCCATATCAACGGCTGAATGCAATCACGAGCATGGCAAGAGCCGTAGTACCGCAGTGTTGATGTTCATCGTTTGGGCACATCCTAACCTTTGAGAAAATCAAGCTCTATATCTGCGTTACAGGCGACAGTCTAAGGCTGCTTCGGCGATATCGAGCGTCTTGAACATAACGTGATTGCGTCCAATTGCGAACCTTGCAGCGTTGTTCCACTAGATCCGATATCCACGTAGTCGGAAGATACGCGCTCTTCAAAGCGAGTCCCGGAATTCGCAATCGAAGTCTCTCCATCGGTCACTGAGTTTCGAGGCAGTGGCGGGATCATATTCCGTGTTTGGTGCGCCAAGAAGGCGAACCCTCGGATGCGGCGGTTGACAGTAGCTCCATGGCAATGCCTGGATGACCCGCAGGCACATGCTATAGCCAGCCATCGCCCGACGTAGTCGCAATGAACTTCGAAGGAGCATATCCCTAGCACAACGTCGTCCGAGGCGCGATCATGAGCTCGAGCGACGATTTCACTCGTGCATTGACCCGGTTAGTTTGCCGAGAGACTTGCAATGTCGTGGTCCAGCGGTGGCGGTGAGAGCCTCATTTGGTGTGGAGACGAAATCAAAGACGCACGAGTGACCCATGCAGCTGACGTCATACGAGATCAATACAGTGGTGCAAGCAGGATATCCTCTGCTATTATCCTGAAGGACGCGAAGCTGGCCAGAAACGCCTCGGCCTGAGGTTGCGTACCCACGACCATGCCGCTGGACCCCAACAACACTAAGGACCGGCTGCTAGTCCAGATTGCGTCGTACAACACCAATTTGCAAGGGCAGGAAGGCGTACCCCAAGACCTGGTCGGTAAGCCACGGATATGACCTCCATACTGCTTGTCTAATCCGGCCTTTACTGCTTGTTCGCAGATTGGCTCTCCCCGACCCTGCAAGTGTCGACCTTTCTCGCGTCCAACCCTCGCGCGCCCGACATCATCGCGGTCGGCTTCCAGGAACTATTGCCTTTACACCTCGGCCGTAAGCGCACACTCCACACCCAAGCTCGGTGCTAGTCTGAACCCTATCACAGTGCTTGGCTTGTCCAAATCCGTGATCGAGCACAGGGACGATCTCATCCTCTCCCAGATCGAGAAGCATGCCCCGAACAAGGAGCGATACGTCCTCGTCGCCAAGGTGGTAAACGTCGGCGTAGCGCTCCTTGTGTACGCTCGCGACGACACGGTCGGTCGTAAAGTAACGGACGTGGAGACGTCCTGGACTGGATGCGGGCCACTGTACATGGGCAATAAAGGCGCCGTCGGTGTTCGTTTCAGAGTTCAGGCCGAAGAAGGTCCTGACGAAATCTACACGTACGCGAACATTCCCTTCTAATCCTACAGGTGCTGATAGACACCCCTAGTTTTGTATGTGCACACTTGACCGCACAGGAAAACAAGAACGCTCGACGTCTCGACGATTATCATTACATATCGAGCTCCCTATTATTTCGACCCCTCCCCAATTCCCCTTCTTCCCCCACCAAGACAGCGTCCACGATATTCGAGACCTCGCACCTCTTCTTTCTCGGAGACCTGAATTTCCGCCTCGAATTACCGAAGTCGCATCCGCACCGTGTCGCGCATCAAAAGGGGGAGTTCGCACACGTGTTGGACGACCACGGCGAACGGGAGCGACTCACGGAATTCGACCAACTTCTCCAAGCGCGAAAACGCGGCTCGGCCTTCGTTGGCCTGCGTGAGGGCGAATTCTGGCAGTTCAAGTGTGAGTTGCTGGTGTCCCCCTTCCAGTTCACGCTTCTAACCCGCTGAGCCAGGTAGCTACAAGTATCACCACGGAGAAGTAGACAAGTACAGGTCAGTAAGATGGGTGACCGGTGTCACTGTTGCTCGGTTACTCATATTCTTACTTCAGTGCGAAGCGTCTACCCTCCTGGACGGACCGCATCCTGTATACCACCTACACCGATTCCCCGGATAAACCGGAAGAATCGAACATAACGAATCTACTGTATACCACAATCCCTTCCTATACGTCCTCCGATCACGTGAGTGTTCAACGTATTCCGTGTTGTGACTGCACTAACCCGTTCTATCCTGTCGACAGAAACCGATCGTTGCTCTCCTCATGCTTCCCTCTCCCCCTGCTTCTCCTCCGGCGGGCATACCCACACTCCAGCTGCCTGCAGGCGCGACATCGATGCCTGACCCGCACGCCAACCTGAAGCGTTATACCGGCCGCGTCCTCGATCGCCTGGCCGGTTTGGTGCTGTACATCCTCACCATCGTCGGTTTGGGTTCGCCATACCTAGGGCTGGGTAATTGCGTGCTCGGACTGAGCGTCTGGTCCTGGTGGATGTCGCGGTAAACGCGGCATACGGCGCATCGTTGCGTGTATCCGACAGACTATCATCACCCTTCACGTTCCTTGTGTTGTTTGACTTCTCTCATTCATTCGCTTGTTGTAGGACCTGCATACCCCGCACATCTAATATTTGGATGGTGGTCATACCGTTCTCGCATTTGTTCGGCAACTACTATGTACACACTGATTATGCCTAACGTTTTATTACTGTTGTTGCGAATGCCATCGCCCGCAATCGCAATCCCATAATGTGCATATCCATCATTCACCACGAGAGGCCATGATCAGTTTCTTCCCAATCCCCAAGCAACACCCAGGAGTTACCCCTCAGCACGACTGTTGCACATGTCCATCCCTTGGCTATCGTACATTCATCCTGAGTCGATGGCAGTTTAGGCCAGCAGCTTGGAGTCGATGATCTCCTTCGTCAATCCATCCGCACCGTCTCGCACGTCAATGACCTTGCTGACATCGGCCTGGAAATGCCAGATGAGGCCCGATCATAGAAACTGAACGAGTGAAGGACTCACGGTGTTCTGGAAGTCGATGAACGCCGAGGCGTGAAGCGTCGTCAGACTGATCTCGGCCGTTGGTGGAACCCAGTTGAGCAGCACGAGCGGGAAGGACTTGCGACCGTCAGAGTGGTGCAGTTCATATGACAAGACGACGTAGCGCGGGTTGTTCTCCGGCAGCTCTGTGGGCACGCCAAGGATCGTATTCATTTTGTGCCCAAGATCGGAGCAATGCATCGACGACAGCACCTTCGGCTAGATCCTCAATGGAAATGCTGTCATACTGCTCGACCTCTTCGAGGATGAGCTTCTGCTTGTTGACGCGCACGATCATGGCCGCGCTCCCCGCGTTGCGGCGTGCGAAGCGGAACTTGCGCAGGGCATCCTTGAGCTCCTGGGGGATATCGACGGTGTGCGACTGTATGTGCGAAAGGCGACGAGCGGCGCGTCGGCAACAGTGAGCACGAGAGATTGGACATGATCGAACGATGGGCTAGCTGACCATGGAGAGGGACGGAACTGAAGCGGCTGCTCGCGGCAAGCCCCCAGGCTTATCTTAGGTGAGAGCCGCATGCGGTCGTGACGCCTCTGTACATATATGCGCACCTGAGCCCAGGGCGGACCACCATATGTGCCTCCCGCAGTGATACCCCCTGGCCGACGCTATCCTGCCGAAATTCTGCCAAACCCTTGATCAAAGCACTGCGCATACGCTGCGGAGTACATCGTCTGAGCTGCCGCTTAAATCCAGCCAGCAGCCATGTCCCAGTCTCTCCCGCCGTCGAGGATGCCGTCGCAATCGCGCTCGCGCTCGAGGCCGCACCTCTCGCACAGGGGCACGTCGCGGTCCTCAATTCCTTACTTGCCCGGAGGACCGCAGGACCTGATCCTGCCGGAGGGGACCGTTGGTGAGGAGGCGGCAGAGCTGCTTCAGGAGTTTGTGCGCCCGCATCACCACTCGGAGGATACGCTCATCGAAGAGGAGGACGACGCCCCGGAAGAGGACGCCGAATTGCTCGCTCAAGCAAAGGAATATCACAAGACGCTCCCGTGGTGGAAGAGGCCGAGCGGGTACTGGTGAGCAATGTTGTCTCAGGGTGCTATCGCGGGACAGATATTGACGACTTCGCAGGTTCCTCTGGCTCATGCCGTTATCGTCGATCGCAATGAGCACGACGATTGCGCCTCGGATCGAGATCTATACTATGCTCGCGTGCGACGCCCACAAGCCGGAGTACACTGCGGGACATGGCTTGGAGGATCTTGGAATCCATCTACCGTTCAGCAGTCGATCCTCCGGCGAAATTGCGATCGCAGGTTCTTCCGAGCCTGCTGACCTTTCCCCCATATCCCCCATAGATCCACCAGCAATCAACTTCGCGACAGCATTCGAGAACGGATCGAACAATGGCACTGTATTGCCGAACCCCAAGCTCTGTCGCTCAGATCCCGAGGTCCAAGCAGCGGTCGCTAGGCTCACTGCTAGTAAGGATCACACAGAGTCGAAAAGCGCATTTAACTCACGTTTTCGTCAGCGTTGACCACTGGCCAAGGCATTCTCGCAATTCTTACCACGGCGTGGTGGGGCTCAGTGCGTAATGTTGTTGTCCAGTGTTTCTTCGTCTGATATCAATCGCGGTCTTAGCTCTCTGACAGGCTCGGACGAACTCGTGTCATAGGCGCAACCATTATCGGCGTGCTGTTGATGGACTTTAACTTCATCTTCGTGACCCTGTTCGCGAAGCGGCTTCCTGGTGGCTACTGGTTCCTACTCGTTGGCCCGTTGATAGAAGGGTGCCTTGGCGGTAGGTTCAACAATGTGACAATCTAGCACGATTACTGATACACAATTCTTCAGGGTTATCGTCAGCTCAGGCTGCTGTGCACGCATATGTGTCTGACTGTACAGAGCCGGCGCAGCGAGCTCGCATATTCTCGTTGAACATGGGCCTGCTGTTCATCGGTATGGTTTCTACATTCGCGGTTTGGTACCTTACTATAACCAAACTTTTGCGCAGGCATGGCGCTCGGGCCCACTCTGGGTGGTATCATCATACGAGTTACTGGCAACATTCTCTCCGTCTTCTATCTCGCTGCGTGTGTGCACGCGCTGTACTGCTTCGTCAACTGGGTTATCCTCCCTGAGTCTCTGACGCGCGCCCAGATGGCTGCGGCTCGCAGAAAGTACCGGGCGATGATCGCCGCTAGGAAGGAAGAGACATCGTCCATGAGTGCATTGGCAGCGGCAGCTTTCCATGTCAAGCGCGTCCTGATGTTTTTCACGCCGCTCGCGATCTTTTTGCCGATAACGAAGTCCAGCGGTAACCCTCTGAAGGGCAAGAAGCGCGACTGGAACCTCACGCTCGTCGTTGCCGCTCACGGCTGCGTCATTCTGATTATTGTACGTTCTCGAGACATCACCACTCAATCAGATATTGACATCGTGCTCCGCAGGGATCCTACACGTACAAGTTCCAATATGCTCAATCTAAATTCAACTGGAACTCTGAGAATGTCGGTTACTGGATGAGCCTAGTTGGCGCCTCGAGGGCGGTTCATCTCTGCGTCATCCTACCTCGTTAGTGCTTCACCTCTGTCCCAGCGTGAGCGAGAGTACTGAGGTCTACGTTAAGTGATCATCAAACTATTCAAACCCAAGGCCCAACCAATCGAGCTCCCGATCGAGCCTTCCGAACCGTTGCAACCTCGTTCTATGGGTGAAGAGGCGTCTTACGGGTCCAGTTCTACCAGTGGTGGCCCTCCGGGATCAAGGGATCACCACCACCAGCTGGGTGCCCATAGGCATACCCACTCCTTAACATTCGACCTTTGGATTGCCAGGGTCTCGATGTTGATCGAGGTCGTAGCATATACCGTGATGGGCCTCGCGAGCAACGGAACGGTCTTCACTCTTGCTGGCATGGCTGGCAGTCTAGGTGCCGGTTTTGGCCCTGCCATCCAGAGCGTCGCGGTGGAATTATTCAATGCCAGGGGAGGCGTAGAAATTGGTAAACTGTTCGGTGCAATGGCACTCATCCAGGCCATCTGGTTAGTCATCCTTCTTCGACCCAAAGATGCTGTGGCTGACCATCGGCCGCCAGCTCGCACATTATCGGGCCAGCGACGTTTGGTGTGCTCTACATGAAGACAGTTGCGACTTTCCCCGGCGCTATCTTCTTCATATCCACTGGCGCCGTGGGCTCCGCATTCTTGTTGCTGTGTTTCGTTCGCGTCCCTGCGCCTTCGCCTGTTGACGCTGAAGAGCAGCCGCTCGCTCACCCGGCTCAAGAGGACACGTTGGTTGACACCTCGGCTTCGGATGGAGGTCGGAAGTAAGTGAGCTTCCCATGGACGTCAGGCCCAAATACGAACTCCTCCCCATTCACACATTACCCATTATTCCCGATAGAAGCTACGCGGAGAGGATCTTTTGACACATTAGTATCGTACAGAACTTATTTACTTCCACTATCTCCTCCTACTGTTCTGTATCAATTTGACTGCTTGGCTTGTACCCGCTTCCAATCACAGGATTATGCTTAGTATGTACTATCATGGATGCTTCTATGCGGCTTCTTTCAGCTGCCGGGATAGCTCAGCTGGGAGAGCAACAGACTGAAGAAATCCTGCTTTCTGGAGGTCCCGTGTTCAATCCACGGTCCTGGCATTTTTTTCCCATCGCGTGGAATTTTTCAACTCCACAGTGGACCGGCTGGTTCGACGTGGGCGAAGAGCGACTGCGAACACACTGAAGGAATACGATGAAGTGCTTTAACCCGAAGCTTGTCGACAAACTTATCCCCCACGTGTAGTACGTTACAGGGTCTACCGCGTTTGTACGTAGTCATCTATCTTGAGCAGCAAGCACACCGTCTCAGTGGCCAGTTCCACCGCGCTCGTTGACACCAGTAACGGTTGCACGACGTCCTCTTCGAGGATATTAGAGATCAGCCCCTGCGGGAAAGATGGTTAGGTAGATCGATAAACGAAGGCTAGCGAACTTGCCTTCCGGACGTTGATACCCGCATTGCGCTCGCCGAGTGCATGCCGGTTGCGGAGCTCGGTGACGATCGCGATAGGGTTGAGGCCAGCATTCTCGGCTAAAGTAGTGGGAATGACCTCCAAAGCATCCGCATATGCTTGAAAGCAGTATGATTCCATCCCCTTCAGCGAATTCGCGTACTGTGACAGCAGGCGCGAGACGTGGATCTCGGGTGCCCCACCTCCGCCGATGAGCGCCCTGGAGAAGTGACTATGAGTGCAGGCGGATGAAACATCGACGCAGCCTACTCACCGCTTCTTTACTAAGCAGCGGACAACGCAGAGCGCGTCGTGCAAGCTACGTTCGCACTCCTCAAGAACGAGAGAGTTGCTGCCCATGGCAAGGATGCTGACCGTCCTGCCCTTGTTCTTGACGCCGGTTATGCGCACAACCTTCACACCATTCTCGCTGGTCTCCTCTACGAGATCCGCATAGCCGAGCTTGTCCTCTGTGAAGGCCTCCACGTCCGCAACAGGCTTGCATCCAAGAGACTTGGATAGAAACTCGATCTCGTCGCGCTCCACCTCCTTGACGCAAAGAATGTTCAGCCGTTTGAGGAAGTTGAGCGAAGTATCGTCGACGGCATCACGGAGAATGGACTTTTGGATCAGGAGGACGTTGCAGTTGGCCTTCTTGATCTTTTTGCAAATGTTAAGGAGGTATTGACGACCTTCCTTGATAACCTTGTCCATTTGTCGGTAGTCATTGATGACCACCGTGTTGTCCATCTGACCCAAGCACATCATTAGAGCGAGTTGTCAGCTGAATCGGACAATGGTCCATACGTCTGGTTTCGGCGCGGAGAGCTGGAACTGAATGATGCCGATCTTTGCCTTCTCCATGCGCACGGGACCGCCCGCGGCGGTGACGACGTTCTGATTCAGGACAACGCCCTCCACAAGCTCGGTGTCTTCAATCGTGCCACCAACTTTTTTCACTATGCGGATGTCGCGAAGATCAACGTTGGAGGATGTAGGAGTCACGAGTCTCGTAACTGCTTCAACAGCAATGGGAGCGAGAGTGGAGGAGTATTGAGAGACGATCTAACATCAGGTATTAAAAACGTCACAGTTCTGACGGGCTCCAAGCTTACTTTGGAGTTCAAAGATGTCGTGGCTGCGCGCAACAAGCTCGCCTTATCGCTGAGATCGACCGGTGTCGAGATTTCCGTCAGAAACTCAACCGCCTTCGCAGAAGCCTTGAGGAAGGATTCCGCAATGATCGTCGGGTGCAATCCCTTTTGTAGCATCTTTTCTGCGGCACCGAGAAGACTTCCGGCAAGAACAACAACAGAGGTAGTTCCGTCTCCTGCCTCCACATCTTGTGCTGCAGAAAGATCGACTAGCTAGGACCCGGCGTCAAAATCACTGATTGACCGAGCCACAAAGTAACTCACCATCTTTGCGGCAGGGTGTAAAGCTTGTATACTGCGCAGGATGGTGGCACCATCGTTGGTGATGACCACCTCGCCTTTGGCCGTTTGGATCTGCGGAAGTGACCGTTCAGCTTCTAGGCCGAAGATCCGCGTCTGCTCTCGTACCATCTTGTCCATCCCTCGAGGACCCAGTGATGTCCTGACAGCATCGCTGATCGCTGAGAATTGAGTGCGAATTTCAGAACATATGCGGGCCGAAGGAAACGCGTTGACTTGCCCTTTGCTGCGACCAAATTCGACAGCCGTACCTCCATCGGCTTGCCCTAGTACGCGTCAGCGTGTGAACAAGACACAAAGACCATTCAGGCGCACCTTATCATTGAAGGTCGCATTGCTGGGCGTGATCGCAGATCTGGAGGCAGCAGAGGCCATAGTTGTACGATGTGCGCGACTGCCTTAGGCGAATTCGCGGTGGAGAGTCAAGGCAGATGAGACGCACGTGCACCATTGATCTTGCAGCAGGTGCCCTGGCTATGAATCATGGCTTGCGCGTTCTGCGTTAGCGTGTCTTGTCCGTACACTCGTGAAAAACCATGGATCCAGTGCGTTTCTACCGACAAATAGGCTGCATAAGCTGATCTTGCATTCTGCTAGTTCGGAGGAGGCGGCCTCTTCGCTCAATTAGCACAGTATGTCGCTGTAGCGAATCGAACGCAGGGTCGTTACTGATCAACTTGCCAGGGGCTTTGGCGCTGGTTTCCCTGGTGGCGTTCCTGGAAGGCGCATCAACCCTCGAGCCTACGATGACTACTTCAAGGCGTATAGTGTTGCGATGCTCCCGGGAAAGCAACGGGACAACCTTAGTTATGGCGGGAAGAGTGCGTCTCAGGCGCTGCAGATGCTACCGTGCAGTCTAACCCTCATGTAGTCATCATGCCGCCCTCTGCTCTTGCCAACCTTACATCGCTTGATCTTGAATCTCCGTGGATGTTCAAACTTCGCAATCCTGCTAATCCTGCGGCATCCACTCATGCTGGCGTACTCGAGTTTATCGCGCAGGAAGGCTGCGTTCATTTGCCTTACTGGATGATGAAGACCCTGCGGTTAAACGAGGGAGATCCTATCCGCATCACCGGTGTCGAATTGCCTAAGGGCAAGTTCGTCAAATTCCAGCCTCAGCAAGTCCATTTCCTCGAGGTTTCCGATCCTAAAGCAACGTCAGTGTAATAAGGCCTTGTGCTCCTCGACTGTGCTGATGTCCGTATGAAACAGCCTCGAAGTTGCCCTTCGAAATTTCTCCGCACTAACTCAAGGCGACGTCATCGAGATCGTCTATAACTCTATCGTCTTCGGCATGCTTGTGATGGAGGCTCAGCCAGGAGGCGAGGGCATATCCGTGCTGGACGTCGACCTTGAAGTAGATTTTGCCGCGCCCGTGGGATATGTAGAACCGGAGCGGCCGAAGCCGCCACCGCCAAGTACGATGGCGTCCAAGCTGAAGATCGACCTTGAATCAACTACAAACACACCCGGTTCGTCAAGACCGGGCTCCAGCCTATCCGGAGCTTTCGCTGCCACCACTGGCGAGAAAGGCAAGGTAGTTGTGAGCAAAGGTGGGGACGAATGGGAAAGCTTCAAAGGACGTGGCGAAACATTGTCCGGTCGTAAGACGAAGGGCAAGGGTGTCAGCCATAGGAAGATAGAAGAAGCACCGGTTGACAGCAAGATCATTCGAACAGAGTATGTTGATGTGATCGTGTTGTCTTACCACGGAAGCTAACAAACATCTAGCAAACATCGCATTGTGTCAAATAACACAGTGGAGTCTGGCGAGCGCGTGCCTGCTCCACTGAATTTGCCATTCGGAAAGCTCTTCTTTGGCTTCAAGATAATCCCGTACGTTCCGCCGGAGAAGAAAAATGAAGAACCGTCTGGGGTATGCCACATCATTCATCGTTCCTTGAATGCACGAGTGCGAAAGCCTAACCATGAGCGACAGTCTGTGACCTTCAGTGGCGGCGGAAATACCCTTTCCAGCCGAGGACCCGCTGGCCCTGGTCAAACAACGAGTGCGAAGGGAAAGGGAAAGGAGAAGGAGACTGAGACGGACGCAGAAGCGCAACCTCAGAAGGAGTGGGGATCCGGGCAACGACTGGGGGCGAAGCCGACGTATGGGGCGGGCGGTGCCAGCGTACCTCAGATACCTCGGCGACAGCAAGCTCGCGTCGCACGAAGTCCATCCCCGGATTTCGGGGTGGACGATGATGAGGATGTGATTATCGTGGACAGTGACTAGAGTATGCATGCATGCTGCACCGACGACGTTGACGACGTTCTTTTCACTGTATGTATAATAAATACTGTACTACGTTTCTGTTCCCTTCAGCTGCATCTCGGCTGGATCTGCGGCCTCCGTCCGGATATTTCGTGGAGTGCCGAGTCGCGGTTCTCCGGTAAAGCGCAACTTATCGGTAGATGATGAAGACCCTTCCGAAGTCACCGTCCCCTTTACCCTGACCCGCGCTCACCAGCCATTGCTCCAGTTTGGGCCATCCAATTTCAAATTTAACACACAACTCATCCGTGTGGTGTTCGCCGTCCAGTAGAGGCAGCAGCTCCTTCGGATACGGCAGATCATCCGAGGCATCTCCGTCCAATACAGCTATCGTTTGGACCATCGGAGCTGATGGCGATTGTGTAAGCCTCGGACGTCTCCTGGGGGTATCGTGGTGTTTGGAGAAAGGTGCCAAGGGGTCACCGATGCGCAGCCTGTCGGGCGCAGAAACGGGTGCCGTGCGCGACGGCCTCATCGCCATGCTCGTAGGGTCGGCCTTGAGGTGGGACCTGCGAGAGCCCTTGGCTATTTCAGGGCTTCGCAAATCACTGAGCCTTGCGAAACCCTTCGGCGCAGCGGTAAGGATCTGCGGGGACGAGTTGCGGCTATTCGATGCTGTTGTTATGCCTTGCCCTTGGGGTAGCTGCGCCCGTCTATGGAGCTGTTCAAGCGACTGCTCCGCTGCACTAGACTTTCGCTCAGGTACGTTAGGATCCTGAGCGCGTATACGGGTGAGTGCGGGCATGCTCTCGTTCAGCATCGCGCTGATGTCTACGGCATTGATGACGCTGACGGAAGCGGATGCGGCAGCTTTGGTTCTTCCGCGAGTGCCGGTTATCGGGCTCGGCGGAGTGGGTGCGGTGGGAAGGTCGGGAGACATAGGTATTGAGGACCATTCGGTTGGAGGCGTAGGTGTAATAGGGGATGTTGGCAGGGATGATTTTCCTCGGGCACGACCGATGGAGGAAGACGACACCTGCCGGGAGTTGGGAGGTCGGGGTAGGGCAGCAAGCAGGATCGGCCAACGGTGCACTCGATGCAGGAAGCCCTGGGTCACGTTGAACGTGAACGAGGGCCGCGACGGGTATGTAAGTGTAAGGCTTACCTTGATCACACCGAAGCTCGTGAACCGCCGCACATCAATACCGAGAGATTGGATGTCTTGCTCTTGCATCCATTCTGCGACGGTCTTACCAGGTTTGAGGCGTGAGTATAAACGGAGGAGTTTCGGCCAGTCAGGAACTTCCCTGCCTATCACCAGTATCAACGGATGCGGCGCGGTAGACAAGTTGCGACCTGCCTGGCTTTGTAACGTATGGACCACATTCATTGTGGACGTGTGCTTCGTCGGCGAGCCATTGCACACTCTTTCGTAGGGTGTACATGTTCGAATACTGGAATACGTCTATCATCATGACCACCTGATAGTAGCTGTGATTGCTCTGTCGGCTTGCGGAAGCTATTTGAAACGAGCATTCACTCACAGGAGGTGCGATATAGCCTGACGTGCTAAATCCAAGTCACAATCCGCTAGGTCTGCGATGCGCTTTACGTGGTTGACACCATCGATGTACTGGCATACCTATGTAGTGTATATGGAGTCAAAATATGGCAGCATCCAATTTGTCAAGCTTACCAACTTTGACAACGGTAAGATCCCAGTTCGGTTGCTGTCGTTTCCTAAGGTCAATCAGGGCTATAGGAACGGCCCAGTCCCTGACCGTCGGCGGATTGGGGTAAAATGGGAATATCTTCAATTCAATCGAGTTGAACTGGTCGATGGGTATGGATGTCTCCGAGTACGAGTTTAAGTCTTCATATAGTTGTTCAAGGAGACCGTATATTGACTCCGGTGAACTTGAGAGGAATGCCGATTCTTCCTGATCGACTTACGGTCAATGGTGATCACATACTGATATCGATGGAATACGGACCTCGCACGAAGTTAGCACGCGAGAGACCTTGCGAACGATAGGTTCATAGCAGCTCAAGTCCGCTGTGCGATCGAATACAAAGCATAGATTATATCGGAAGTAATTCCTGGCATAGCTCCCTTTGAGTTCAACTGGAAAACCGATTATCTTATGCCTCCTTGTGGTGCATATCACCAAACGTCCGCACAAAGGGCTGGGAGGGATCACATATTTTTTGATGTCGTCGAAGTTGAAGAGCATGCGAGTCGCGGAAGTGGAGGTGGATCGCTTAAGGGGTGAGACCCCGAGCTGACTGGGAGTTCGGCCACCTGAAAGCTGTGGAAGCTGCGAAGAGCTGGACGCCCGTGAACTCGACTCTTCAGAAGTAGGCAGAGGAGGCGGAGAAAACGAGTTGTTTGCGGAGGGTGGCGGGGTGTCTGTCGGGTTTGAGGTTGCTATGAGTCCCTCGGGAACCTGGTACACGACCTTGGGCCCCTGGCGAACATCAAATACGGCGTAAAAGACAGATTGGATGCGAGGCAGAAACGAGTCGCCGTCGGGGCTCATGGTGGGCAAAGCATGAACTCCGTGCTTCGCGTAGCCACCGACGCGTTTCATTTCCTCTTCTCATCGCGTCGCCCGTCTTGCTCCAGTTCGCCATGGCTGCCGTTGTACCTGCAGGTTTTCTTGCCCTGCCGCTACCGATCGCACAGCTTTCCTTAGCTGCCGTCCTCAAATGTGGCCAATCCTTTCGCTGGTCGGTCTACCCTCTTCTTCCTCACCCCGGTCCTCAAGAACTCTCCTCGGAACCAACCCACGAATACCGTCTATGCTTGCGAGACCGTGTGGTCTGTCTCCGTCAGACACCTAAAACACTGTACTATTGTGCGCACTTCCCTCAACCGGCCAACAGCCCTATGGAGCATGAGGAAAGGAATGCGACGACGTTGGCCTGGGTCAGAGATTATTTCCAGCTCCACGTCGACCTGGAAATGTTGTACGAAGAGTGGGCTGAGCGCGACCCGGTGTTTAAGATGATCCAGACACGATTCTCTGGCATACGCATGTTGCGACAGGATCCTTGGGAGAACCTAGTCTCGTGAGTTGCAATTGAAAGCTTCTCGTCGCCTTCTGCTCATCGTCCGCATAGCTTTATCTGTTCGTCGAACAATCATATCTCACGCATCACTGGAATGGTGAAGTCGATGTGCAGACACTATTCACCTGCTTTGCTATCCCTTCCCCCTCCGTCACAGCCCCTATCCTCATGGGCACCTCCTTCACCAGACCCCGAAAGCGATCAGAGCCGTTCGGAACCGTCAAAAGAGCTCGAAGTCTTCCATCCTTTCCCCTCACCATCCGTTCTCGCCTCTCCCTCCGTTTCTGCAACCCTGCGTCAACTCGGATTCGGGTATCGTGCGGAGTTCATCCAGCGCACCGCACAGATGCTAACCGAGGCACATCCGGTATCCTTGAGTTCGAGCTTTAACGCAGGAGTTGAGCCCGCAGAGGCATGGCTCGCCACACTCCGACACATGCCCACGGCAGAGGCTCGGGAGGAGCTGCTCAGATTCGTCGGTGTCGGCCGTAAAGTGGCAGACTGCGTGTTGCTCATGAGCTTGGACAAGGTATTGACGACGTGACGCGTGCCCGGGGAAGCAGGCTCACTTACTGGATATGGCAGAGGGAATGTATCCCTGTGGACACACACGTCCATCAAATTGCGATCAAGCACTATGGTCTTGGTGGATCGAAAACCAAGACCAGCATGACGTCGAAACTGTACGACGAGGTGAACACGAAACTGGCGGCAACATGGGGAGATTATGCCGGATGGGCGCATTCGGTACGTCTGTCATGCTCTGTAGACAATGTCCTTAGTGCGTTCTGTGTTAACCAAACATCAGGTGCTGTTCACGTCAGATCTCAAGGCGTTCTCCACCTATGGGCTGCCAACCCCAACCTCAACGCCGACAAGGGAGACGCCGACTGAGCTGGCTCCGATGAGCCCTGTGTCAGCGAACAAGCGCAAGAGGAAACCGGGGCAAAATGATGCGCTGCCGGTCCCTACCATCGACAATTCGGTCAAGCATGAAAAAACCGAAGTCGTAGCGTTGGGGTCGGCTGACGACGCTGCACCCAGCCTGGCTGAGCGGGTGAAGCGGCGACGAAGAACGGCACGAAAGGACTGATGTTTTGTGCAAACGCCTCCACGTTGAGATGGGACGCATATCTACTCGGCGCGACATTTTACGCTACGAAACTCCGACGCTGCACTTCAAACGGGGACGAGAAAGAAGTGCAAAGTTGCAGAGAGTGGCAGTCTGTGCCTAATAATCCGCCTTTGGCGACTCCGGCAACGATAGGACAATATGTTGGTCCTGCCTGGGCAACAATGAATATCGCGAACAGCAACGGCTCGTTCATGTCGTTCATGTCCACCGTCCAAGGCTGGGGCTTTCTCCATGGCTCGCTTCCATGCCGTGCGACTCGAGGTAACGCGATGGTGTCGACGGACTACGCTAATGTTCGGTTGGCATTGATATATCCACATCCCACGCAAGAGTATCGGAGCTGGTCTGAACCCTCCTCGGACGGGACAATCTTGAATATCGTTCCGAAGAACTCCTTCAAGTCGCGCATGAACTGTATACTGAGCAAGTTATGAGATAGTGCCATCTTATTTGCGACAAGCCACCGCTCACGTTCGCTCCGTTGGCTCGGTCATGCAACACCGGCCGACGTCTTCGCTGCCAAGCGCCATGAACAATAGAGCAAAGCTTTGGTGTTGGCGGTCGACGCAGCTACCCCGTCGGATCTCCTCAAGCAGAGCACGAGAAGCGATGAGTGCCACGTCCTCAGGCGCTGCGCCGGGTTTGGACACAGCTTCGGAGCAGTGAATTGCGCCTGTTGTTGATTCTGCAAGGAGACTAAGAGCATATCCCGGTGACCTTGCACCGGGTCAGTATGAAAGGATATAGCGCTGGTGTCGGCGTTTCAGACTCACTTGCCGCTTTCCTCGCCCTTGTACACATCGGAATAGAGATATATGTCCGGTATGTACCGGTTGAGAACCGACCGACAAGCATCGATCATTCGGTTTGAGAACTGTGGGGAGACACGGACGGCATGCCTGGCGTGCTGATTTCAACACCGACAAGACACGCGAACCGAAGCGTGCACTTACGCAATCCCTCGTATTCTCTTGATCCGTCCGGGGTCCACAAAATTGAGTGTCTTGACCTGCTTAACGATGGGACACAAGAATTGTACTTCTCCTCCGCCTAGTGGAGGGGCCCCTCGCTTCTTGATCCGCAACTCCAATCCTTCGGAGATGCCGAATGGTTGCAAATGAGGTAGGGTTACCGTCCGTATGAGATCGACCTTTGCCAGTGTCAGCCTGATTGAAGTATTGGATGCGGCTACCCACAGAGAGGTCCTTGTCGTCCGTAGTGATTCCCCGGAGCGTGAGCTGCAGCGGCTTTTTTGCGAAAGGTGCTATCATGACCATAGGCTCCAAGAAATAGCCGACTGATCGTGACAAGGGACAGTCGTGAACAGCAGTACCTCCGGCTATGATCCCTGGCTTGACGAGGATAGCGGTGCCTGAGATTCGCATGGGCAGGGGGTCTTTGAGAAGGAGAAGTCTAGCTCACCCGTCAAGGAGATTTCAATTACAGTTCCATTGGTGACCTTCTCGAGCAGGCGTAATAGACTGACTTCGTAATCTACCTCAAGTATAGTTCCCGGGTTGGTTTACGGACGACGGCAAACTGAAGAAACATGCTCACCCCTGAGACCTGGGTCCTTATCGTCCGGGCGTATTTTGTCAATCTTCACGGGCTTCCCGCTCAGAATAGACAAAACAAGTCGTTGTCTCAGGTACTCGTGTCCGCTGAAATGTCGCAAATTCGGAGTATGGGCCATTGTACGATTGCTGAGGACGAAGCTCTGGTCGGGGAAAGTTTCAAGAAGAGATTAGGCGCCCAGATTACGTGCATGTTGCCGACGCGTCGCGTTCGGGCGTCTCGTTGTCTGCTTACGCCTGATCACCGCAGGCTCAACGAGCATCTGGTGGCAACCACTGAACGTTGACAATGACTGAAGTCAACGGCACTGCGAGCACTAGCGACTGGCAAGATCGCTACTACCATGTCGACCAGATCCTTGACAAGCCCGGTCCGAGGACTGATCCCGAGTTCATGGCGGGCGACGGCGTTGGTATATTGCGATTATGGTCGTAGCGCTCTTCTGACATCTGAGATGCACAGGTGAAAGAGTTTCTGCGTAACAAGTGCAAGATACTCGTCATCGGCGCCGGTGGTCTGGGGTGCGAGATCCTGGCCAACTTGGCATTGTCTGGCTTCAAGGACATCCATGTAATAGACATGGACACTATCGACATCAGCAACCTGAACAGGCAGTTTCTTTTCAGGTGGAATCAATAACCCATTGTGTCTTGTCCAGTGACTCATGTCATATTCGCAGGCAAAAGGATGTCGGGAAGCCCAAGGCGATAGTTGCTGCAGAGTATATCATGAACCGCGTACCTGGAGTGAAGGTCACACCGTAAGTCTGCTCTTACTATGCCAAATCTCCGGTTATGAACCTATTGTCAGTTACTTCGGCAAGATCCAGGATAAGGACGACGATTATTACATGCAGTTTAATCTCGTCATCTGCGGTCTTGATTCTGTGGAGGCGCGTCGATGGATCAATGCTACTCTAGTCAACCTCGTAGATCCGGAGAATCCGGAAAGTCTGAAACCGCTCATAGACGGTGGCACCGAAGGTATCCTCATTAAATTGCTGCGTGATATCGATGAGGCATTGATTTCAATGGATGACCAGGATTCAAGGGTCAAGCTCGTGTGATCTTGCCAACGGTTACATCTTGCTACGAATGCTCGCTCGATATGCTCAACAAGCCGACTGCATTCCCGATATGCACCATTGCGAACACGCCCAGGTTACCAGAACACTGTATTGAATGGGCGTCGGTATTGGAGTGGCCGCGGGTGCACGGAGGTAAGGTCTAGTTTATTACAGCTTATCATCCTCTGACCGATGGTTAGATAAGAAGATGGATACGGATGATCCTGATCACATTGGCTGGCTATACAAAGTCGCGTCGGCTAGGGCGAAGGAGTTCAACATCGAAGGGGTGACATGGTCACTGACTCAAGGTGTGGTGAAGAACATTATCCCTGCGATCGCTTCTACGAATGCGATCATTGCAGGTACGCTGACTGGCAACTTTCATGACATGGAAGCTCACGTTTCGTTAGCCGCCTGCTGTAACGAAGCGTTCAAGATCGCGACGAGCTCCGCGGCCTACCTCAACAATTATTTCATGTTGATTGGGACAGAGGGTGTTTATTCGTATACCTTTGTGCACGAGAAGCGTGATGAATGTCCTGTATGTGGCGGTGAATCTGTCGACATCACCATCAGTCGCGAATGGACCGTGGACCGCCTCATCGAAATGCTCGTAGAGAAACAGGATATGTGCGTGTTACATGTTTGGCGGCTACCTACCCACCCTTTGCTCACCAAATTAACAGTCAAATCAAGAAACCCTCGCTTTCGACGCCCACCAAACAAATCTATTTCCAGGCCCCTCCACAGCTTGAGGAAGCTACCAGGCCAAACCTTGAGAAGAAGGTGTCCGAGTTGGTCCCCGACGGAGGCGAGGTGACCGTAACCGCGACTACCTTGCCGTTCAGCCTATCATTGCACATCAACTACTCGTGACTTACGGGGTAGCTTATAGATACTTATAGATATCAGGGAGTCCATATAACAATATGTAATATACCAGCCACTGCTGTCGTCCTCTGCTGCCCATTGTTTGCGCCCATTGTCGTACGCGTGGCCGGGCGCTAAAAGTATGCTTGGGCGCCTGTCTCAGGCCACGCATTATCTCATCGTTTCACTCTGATCCACACCGCAGCCTGTGCTGCGCTCCTTCCCCTAAACCTCCATCATGCCTGCACAAACCACGCTCACCAACGATGAGAAAGGAAAGATCAAGTCTGCAGTACCCTCCTCCATGAACAAGATACATACGGCAGCATTTTGTCGGATTTACTATGCGCACCCGGATCCCAATCAGTGGTCGTACGCCGGATTGCAAGGTGCCTTGGTGTTTTGCAGGGATAACCAGAAGAATACTTGGTGCCTCCGTATGGTTGACTTGCAGGGCACCCGCGGTGTCATCTGGGAACATGAACTATATGACGGCTTCGAGTACTGGCAGGATCGACCGTTCTTCCATTCCTTCGCGGGCGATGTGCGTAGCTACACTGTCTCCATGAACTGCCCTTGACAATCATGTAGGAATGCATGATCGGGGTTGTCTTTGCAGATGAAGGAGAGGCGAAGGTCTTCTATAAGAAGATCACGAATAGGAAGGAGGTTAAGCCAGGTACGGATTTCATGCGCCGTCGTACGGGCTGCATCCTGAACAACCTGATGTAGGCAAGGCGAAATCATCTGGAAAGTCCAAGAAAGCCACGAAAGGCAGCAAGATCGATAAATCCATGATATCAGGGCCCATTCAGGGCTCGTACATCCATGTTGCTCACATGGGCTACGACTCGGACAAAGGGTTCACCTCGTCAAACGTGGACCCGTCGTGGCTGACGCTACTCAACCAACTCGAGAGCATGGGTGTCGACAAGTCCGTGATCGAGAAAGACATGGATTTCATCAAGAACTTCATGCGCGACGCGCAGAAGGCGCAGCCTGCTCCTGCAGAGAAGAAAAAGCCACCTCCACCGCCTGTACCCAGGAGAGGTACACACGCGCACCACGAGAGCGCCGGGTCAACGGCAGCTGCTCCGCCACCTCCCCCTCCGTCCAGGTCGCATGCTGCTCCCCGTCCGCCTTCAAGACCGCCTGCACCACCCACCCGGTCTGGTCCTCCTCCTCCGCCCTCAAGACCTGCGAGTGCAGCTCCTACTTCCCCACCCCCTCCGCCGGCGCGTCCAACAACGGCTGCCCCTCCGCCACCTCCGCCGCCACCGGCCCGTCCGACTGGAACAGCGCCTCCACCGCCACCGCCCCCTCCTCCTCCTATCTCAGGCGGAGCCCCTCCGCCGCCGCCCCCTCCGCCCCCTCCTCCTCCTTCCGGCGGTCCGCCGCCGCCGCCGCCACCACCACCACCCCCTCCAGCAGGTGGCAGTGCCCCGCCTCCACCTCCACCTCCACCTCCACCGCCGGGAGGTGGTTCAGGACCAACTCTGCCGGCGCCTCAGCCTGGTCGCTCCGATTTGCTTGCATCCATTCAAGGCAAAGGTATCCATTCTCTGAAGAAGACCGATCCATCGAGCTCGCCCTCGCGAAGCGCACCTATGTCACCTGCTGTAGAGGAATCAGCCAGCTCGAGTGCAGGAGGTGGTGACCTCACCAGCGCCCTGGCCGCTGCCTTATTGAAAAGGAACGAGAATATGAGGGACAGTGATGACGACGATGAAGAGGAGGACGACTGGGACTGAATGGAGCGTCTGGCGGTCTTCAGGGTCGGGATCTGGCTGTTTCACATTGACCTCTTAATTCGCGTATGACTTATGATGTTGCCGGACTGTTGTGCATATCTGTACATAACATGGTTTAGGTGTACAGAATATGTTAACGGGAGTACAACGAAACAAGGCTCATGAAGCTGGCATCGGCTCTGGTACCGTGGTGGAAGGTCCTGCCACACCTCCACCGGCAGCGCCTTTCGCTGGTCTGCTGCGACCCCATTTTACATTGGCGAGTTCACCATCGAAATCAAGACCATTGGGCCAAGCTTGTGCAGCGAGCTCCGCAGATGGACGGTCCGTAAAGTTCACGAAAGCGCATCTCGACTTCGCAACATGCACGACGGACTTGATATACGAAGGGTTCAAGGACGGGAGCGACTTCACTACCCGCGTGCGCACGGTCTCTTCCGTTGCAGTAGCAGGAAGCCCGGTGAGAAATAGCGACGTCTGCAGCATTCCAGGTGAGTAATGTAAGGGAGGAAGAAATGTAGGGACACTCACAATGGACGTATCTTCCGGAGGCGCCAAACCCTGGTTCTTGGCGTGTGTGCTCATGATTTTGCGCGCAACTGGGTCATTACGGCCATGGTAGCGATCTTGCATGTTTTGCTTAGCCAGGTCGCTGTCAACGGGCTTTTCGTGCCTAATGATTCGAGGTTATGAGTGAGCATGTCTGAGCGCCGCAGGGACTCGGTTGCAACGTACCTATATGGGCATTCTGAACCACGTTTGCACTCCCCCTTGACGAAAAAGGAGCAGATATGTGGACGGTTGCGCTTATAATAGGGATCTGTCCGTGCAAGGGACTTTAACATCTCCTTGCCAGCTGACTGAGCACGGTGTGCGTCAAGAGAAGGCTTTCCGCCTTCCAACTAGGGGATAGTATTGTGTGAGGCTCAGTTTTTGAGCATGTGCATGAAACCACGCACCTTCGTTTCCATGTTTTGCGCATAGTATTCTCTGTTGATGTCGCTGTTGGGTGCCTCGGTCTGTATCCCCAGAGCGGTGTCACGGACTTGTGTCGGCAGACCATATTCCAGGTCTAGCAAGCAGGTCTGACAGACATTCTTGATCTTCGCGCATGTTTGACATATTACCGTCGTCTTGTATCGTGCGCCACTGCCAGGGTTCCACCGGAAGACGGTGAACGGCCGTGCACAGGTTCCGCAAGAGCGACCAAACTCTTGTTTCGACTAGAAACCGATTTTTGTGCGTCATTTCCTCCCAGTACTTCCTGGTGACACACATGACACCTACCATGCGTATAAAGGCATTGTCACCCAAGCCTGAAGGCCACATAAGCATGTATCTCCATGAAATGCGCGCTGTGCTGACGAACAAGTTTCGCACAGGATAGGGAATTCGCTCTGTTCCCATCCTGCTTTGTTGATGTCGAGCTTAGGCATGATAGGCTAGGAAGGTTTGTCCAGAGGCCCGAGGGTATCCGACGACTGGAGGGGTTGGAACAGGTGCAAGACGCGTGGCTGTGTAGTCGGGGGTTGAGTACAAGTCCTGCAATCTCAGGAGTCAGGGTGCAAATGATTCATTCCGGCGAACGTAAAGCACGGCGGATAGTGTCCATTGAGCATGAGATTACATGTACAGTCCAAAGTCCTTCAAATGCATGCTAAGGTTATAGAGTGTGGATCTATGTACGGCAAGACTAGGAACTACCAAGAATACTCGACAAGCTGCTTATATCAATGCCCGCATCTTTGAGCAAGCCCTGCCATGATCTCTTGTTATCATCATGTGAAAGAATGAACACGATGTGTACTTACGGAAAGATCTGATTCGTCCAACGGGCACGCGAAGCTGAAACTGTTGCTAATTTGCGGCGACACGGTGATGAAAAGAATCCTCAAACCCAGCTAAGTCCGAGTCGTCAGCACAGAGCAGCGACGGCAACCTCTGGCATACATACCGTAATGTCGTAGTCCACCGTGATGTCGGATTTGCTGCCGCCGATGAAGCCACATTTGGTTGCCAAATCCGCGAGGATCGCGCTGTTGGGATCATCGGCAAGGGTGTACTCGAGGCTGATTGGGAAGTCGAAAGTCTTGTTTGAATGAGCTTCAAAGTCTATGTTCTTCTTCGACCCTCCACCAACATCAGTGTTGTTGATAGGATAGTGTAACTGGCGCGCAGCGAGATTATTGAGGGTTGCAGGCAAACGGGCTTTATCCACTTACATCCACATTGATCTTCTTGAAAGCAACGGAGAAGAAGTTGGGGTTGTCCACCCTATTGACCTGTGTGAACGAATTACACGGAATGTGGTAAACAATACGAACGAAATGTTGACGTTAAGATTAACGGTCAAGCCGTCGCTACTCAATTGAATCTAGTCATGACCAATGAGCGAGCGTCCTAGAGAACGCTGCTATACGTACAGCACTGCCATTCGTGATTGTCGAAAGCTGGCCAATGGTGACACTGGGAGGGCGAACCCACTACACGTCCGGATAAGGTACAGGGCTCAGAGCGCGATCGGAGGACAAACTCACCAAAGCCAGGGCCAGCACGATACTCACGAGTAGGAAGACGAATGTCATCAAGGAACAACAGAGAAAGCGACCGAAACATCTTCCGCGACTGCCCTGAATATTACGACGTTAGGAGTACACCTACAGGAGAGGAGATGCGAACTGACCGCGGTCCACATGTTGGATTCCTGATGCTCATACCTCCACGTGCGGATCGTAGCAGCGGACCTAGAGCCTTTTCGCCTGACACTCGTGCTCCTAGGTGCAGAGAACGGCTCGTCCTTCTCGAATACGCTGGTCTCTTTCTTCGCCGGGGCATTGCCCACATATCCGCTCTGATCCAACCCGCTGGGCTCATCTCTGTATCCGCCCGCATCGCGGTACGGATCAAAGCCTTGGTCGTACGTCCGGTGTGGCTCGTAGTTGTTGTACGAGTACGAGTTCTCGCCGTATGCATTGTTCTCGCCATATGGTCTGCTGCCACCGGCACCGTAGTTGGTCTCGTAGGGATTTCTGTATGACATGATGGACGAAAGTGAAGTGAAGATGGAGAAGAGAGGTGAGAGTAAGAAAGGAGGTAAAAGCTGTAACCGCCGGCGGACGCGCAGTCAATCGTGCGGCTAAAGGCCGTGAAGCTGGGAAAACGTGCGGAGAAGGCTGTTCGTCGTCATAGGGGCCTGGCGCGGCACCCTCTTTGGGGCGTTCTGCGCGCACTTCGGTCTTGCTCGGCATCTAACTTTTGAGGATGGCTACAAGACACATACAATAACCTATTGTATCCGCACACTGGTCTACATTCAACGACGGAGAACACAGAAAAGAGCTTGGTTCGGCTAAAGACCAAGCTTTCTATCCGGTCCACTAATGATAACCTCGTCCGCCTCACCTTCGTCAACTACCGGCTCGAGTTCTTGAATCCGCGACAGAACGTTATTCATCTGGGCTCGTACCTCCTCGCTCCTAATACCTGGCGCGTTGCACTCTTTCAAGCAATGTCCCACCATTCCGCGCCACTTGAGATGACCATCGACGCCGCCGCATTTAAGGTTCTCGACTCCTTTCACGGCCACGGGCTGAAGTCCGGCGACCCCCCAAACAGCGTCGCTCGCCCGCGAGAGGATCATCAAGATGTAATCCTCCTCGCAATACCCGTTGACTAGCCGCCCGGCAACGACACGCCGGACAGAAGACCAAACTGCCTCGTCTGTCGGAACCGGAGTACCGTAGAGGTATACGTCCTGCACGATGTGCGCGGTCTCCGATGGCGGAAGCGTAGCAAGGTGCTTCAGTGCCTCGAATATGACCAGCGAGCCTAGGGAGTAGCCAACAAGTGTTACCGGCCGGGTGCCGAGGACATGTTCAGCAAGCAAGACGCCTAAGACCTTGCCAGCCTTCACAGCGAGGGACTTCGCATTCATCCATGGATTATCTGATAGCAGAGTGAGTTATATTCAATGAGCTTATAGATTTATGTGCGATACCAATGATCTGGCCAATCTGAAGCCATGCAGTGGGCGAAAGAATGCTGAAGAGGGCGGCAAAGACGGTCCGTTTGATGATTTGTGCCTTGATGTACTTTATAGCCTGCTGCTTAAGCAAGGTCTCTAACGCTTTGGCAAGCGCTTCCAGAGCCTCTACTTCCTAACGTCATAAGATAAGCGTTGGCCGGGGCCGTAAGCCAACCCGGTCACTAACCCATTGTAAAGCATAGGTATCGTCTCCCTTGAAGATTGACCAAGGTGCTGTCACGTCCCCCTTGTCGCTCAGCCAGCCACTGACGCAAATGCGGACCGCCATGGTCTCCTTTGGCGTATTCACTGGCAACAGGGCGAGATCATGAACCTCCCTGGTATGCCTCTCGACAATCTTTGCCGAGGAACGCGCTCCATAAACGCCAAAGAGGGTGCCGCAAACAACTGATGAACTGGCTAGTCCACTGGCAAGTACGCCGGCAGCGGTTCCACCTACACCAACCCATCCTAGTATGGTAGTAACTGCACCGCCTACTACGGGAGCAGCGAGACCTGTGAACCTAGTCAGCATCTGCGGACAGGTCCACCATAAGCATTCATACCTCCAGTTACTCCGATCAATGCACCTCCAGCAACGGCTCCTAAGCCCATCGCAGCGAACCGCAAAGTCTTTCCTTTGGCAGCTTGTTCGTCTTTGGCCTTCGCCGTCTTGCGCTGCGCCTCTTTAACCGCTTCGTCGGGGTTCTTGAGAGTGGACACCACAGCATGCTCGTCCACGGGTGCGAATGACCATATGAATGTACGGCTGCGTGCGGAGTATACCTTCGACTGCGTCACGTCAAGAAATAGGATTGTATTCATCAGCTGGGAAACATGATCTTCTGCCGGTAGACGAGGGAGATCTCCTGTTGAGCTGTCCGAAAGCGGATCTAGCATAGGGCATCTGCCTAATATCTGTTAGATGAGAGTGACTACGTGCACGACCCGGTGGACATACCACCCTCCGGTTCCAAACAAGCTATCCACGCATGCTCTAATAGTTTCTGAGACCATAAGAATATCTCCTTGACGAATGCTTCCTTCTGGCGGTCGTGCTTCGACGACGAGAGAGGCGAGATACCCTGCTCCGCCAATGCGTATGACTCAACAGTGTTCCTACGCAGCACATCGTCAACAGGTGGTCGGCTATTAAATATACCAACTCACCTGTAGCCCGCTAGGCGGCGGTGAAAATGTTGAAATACGACCCTGCGCTCCTCCTCGGCCAGTTGCTGTGGAGGAGTAACTTTCGTGAGGTCAGACATCGTCCGATCTGGATATCTGCGCCCGTGTTGGAGGTTGTTTAGAAAGAGTGTTGCGCAGAAGTTGGAGCTGCATCATAACTGAATGGAAATTCGGTCAAACGTCATAGCAGGAGGGGCCACAACCGCCGCTATCGCATCCGGTACGAGATAACCATAGATAGATATTGCCCTAGTGTTGCCCTGAGTTGTTTTCCGGTGTACCTGCTTCCGATGCATGCATAGAGAGTGCCGACGTGAAAAACAAGATAGATAAGTACTTAGTGGACGACGCGCATGACGCGCCTGCAGCAGTGCAGCGCGGAAGACGTGTTTGGTACTTAGTTTGGAACACTTTTGCAGTTACCCTCACGAACTCATCCTCACCGACACCGAACGCCGTACTTGTTGCTCCCTTGCGTCGCTCGTAGCGAACCTCCGCGTCCCTACTCACTGCATTGGCGTTGTATTCCGGGGCATCCTCAAGATGGCGAACCAATCGGCTTCGGACGAATCGACCTATGATTTCTGGGATTTTGTACATTGCGGCAGGTGTCGTCGGCCATATCGACAATACCCCGGCCAGCCACCGTCTATACCCTTCTGGCTCACCGAGTGCTGCCATGTCATCTGCAATAACCACCTCAGTCTGTATTGGCGCCTTCACCTTAATGTATGCTTCTAGCCTATGATGGTTGACTGTGTGCCGTGGCTTGCAATCAGACCCGGACCAGAGCTGCTCGATATGCGGGACCGCTGGGGCTGAGATGGTACCACTTCAGGAAGATGTATGCTCATCGTCAGATGGCTCTGGACAATCTTAACCTGCCGCCGTAGTTGGAGCCTCCTATGGGGAACTGGTTTCAGTCCTTGCCCCATGCCCTTGATGCGATCGCATACACAATGAAGGTTGGGGTCACTGCTATACATCGTGTACTGGTAGCGCTACCTCTGGTCATAGTTCCAACAGGAAACGATGGCGCAGCTTGTGCATTTCTGGAGAGACAAATGCGCCCAACAGCAGAATCTCATCGAAAAGATGAAACGCGAAATTGCGAAGAATAGACAGTGTGTATTCTCATCCTTGGCCTTAGCAACTGTAACCTCTGACCGCGACCCATGCAGAACGATCGATGGTCTCATGCTCAAGGGCGATCACCTCGTTCAGTACGAAGATGTCGGTGAACCAGATGACCGAGGGAAGCGGCGGAAGCTTGATGCGCATCAGTGACGTCGCCTCTTCGCATGTCTTCGAGCGGCTTAACGCTGATACTGGATGCATATATGCGCGTTGTTTACAGGCATCCAGGCGGCAGTCGTTCGGATGCCAGCGCACACTCGGTCATAAGCTCTGCGGGGCCAGACCGACTCACGTTGCCTTCAAATCACCGCCAACCAGATTTACTCACGTCAAGACCCGGGCAGGAACTAAGGTCAGATCCGGAAACTCATACATATGCTTCGAACCGATCGACGCACCGCCCGGGGTCGAGTCGATTCATCGAGTGAGAGCTAAGAAGCTCATTGGAATCGTTTTTATGACGATATCACTACAGGCAATACGCATATAACCCGCCTCAAACACCCCGATATCGGGCCCCTGCATTGTCTCATATGCAAACATCTGCCAGGCAACGCTTCCAACCATTGGATAGAAGACCCGTCTCTGCGGTTACGGAAGGTTACGGCTCTCACAGTGATCCACCTGCGCAAACAACTATATCTCGCCGCCCACAACCTGTTCACGATGTCCGTGGCGTTGACAAGAGACAGTCTTGGCAGATGCCCCCTCCACCTCCCCCTCAACGACCAAAGCTGGCGGCCAACTCTAGCACACAGTCTAGGCACGCCGCCATGGATAGCAGGTCAATATCGATGACCACCCCTCGTCCACTATCAACGCGTTCAGGACCCTTTGAAACTGCGGCGCCGACCTCTAACAGCTTTGTTCCATCTACACCGAGTGTAAAGAGCTCTGTGCCTGGTCCAAGGCAACTGCCAACTCCTTCAGGCCCGCAACGCTTCGTGGTTCCAGCGTCGATGCATAGCGGGCAAAGGGTTCCATTCAGATCAAAGAGCTAATCGGTACTTTTGTCCCTTGTTGTCATAAACCATTCTGTATCACCCTTTGTAAATCACTGTAATCCCATGCATCGCCTTTGCGATGCTCTATAGCTGAGCTACGCAATGATATACGCTCTGTTGCTTATGCCGCCTGCGTGCCAGTCTTTTCGTCTGTTACTGCGACTGCAAGCGCCCGGTAGGTAGGTAGGTATATTTCCGGCGCGGTCCCAATAGCGGAACAACCGGTCAATACGCACGGCTTGGCGCACACAGTGCATCCACGGCCCCCGTGAGCTGTTATACAGCCGACACGCCGCTTCAGCACTGGTAGGTAGGTAGGTAGATTGCCGACGAGGTCCCGGTAGCGGAACAGCCGGTTGCTGCGCTGCGCTTCAGCGCCAAGTCATCCCACCACTTTTTCATCCGCTCGTTGCCCGAGCACCGCCACAACGATATGCCGCTCAAGTTGAGCACCAAAGGCTGGGTCCTGGAAGAGCTCGTTCGCGATAGCAGTAACTTCCAGCACGTTCTTCGAGTACGCTGCAATGATCCAAATCTCTTGGTTATCATCGAGGACCACGAAAGACGCGCAGAACCATTCATAATCGAAGGGTGGCATGAGCATCCTCAATGGCCTCGGGAGCTATTCACTGTAGATTGGTTGTTGGCCAATTTCCCCCATGGTACGCCCCATTCGCTTGCGAGAGATACACCGTTGAATAGGCAACAGACATGAGCGTCCGCAATGTTCACGACTGGTTGGATGCCTCCATGTCCTTGCAAAGCTTCGTAGACAGATCAAGAACCCTTCCACCCCACGCCATAGATGAAGGTGGATGCCGTCTTGCAGATGTAAATCATAAGCCACGGACTAACTACGCATCACCAGAGATTGAGAGGTACTATGGCAAGGACGCTGAATGCCCTGAAGCTTGGAGAAGTTGGGTCAACCAGTCCGGAATCCTCCCTGATTCCATGCTCCCCCATCACTCCAACGATGTCATACAATATCTTCCCGAGCATGTGAGTGCTGTCGCCACAGGACGGGCCTCCGTTGAGAAGTTCTTATTACTTTCAGTCCGCAGTCGAGACGCTCATGTGCTATTTGGGCATCGGTGACACCTTCACTCCATGCCATAAGGACCTTTGCTCGTCCTCCGGGCAGAACATTATGTGCTACACGGAGAACGGCGGATCGTCCTTCTGGTTCATGACCCGTGGCTCGGATGCTCCAGCTTTCGCTGAGTATTTGCATAAGTTAGGCGTGGGTCAAGAGCTCGACTTAGAGACGAATATACTATCTATCGAGGAGCTATCGGGTGCTCCACTCGATATTTTCATCGCAGAGCAGAAACTAGGAGACCTGGTTTATGTACCTCAGCGCAGCTGTCATCAAGTCGTGAACCAGGGCGGCATAACCATAAAGACATCCTGGTCACGAATGACAGTCCAGGGTCTCGAAACGGCTCTATACCATGAGCTACCAATATATCGACGGTATGTAATTGTCTTTGCCAGTGTCCGGCTATACTAAAACGATAACAGAGTTTGCCGACCGGAGATTTATCGTGTAAAGTCGATGATACACCACACATTAATTCACCACACCAAGGCCGTCGACGCCCTCATTGCAAAAAAGTATGATGCAGGGAATATCTCTCCTGGGATGTACCTCGACATACCCAGTCAATCGATCTCATCGAACACAATTGACGCCCCGGCTAAGGAGCAGTTGATGATTGTCAATCAGTTGAAAACTCTGGTGTGCCTCTTCGATGAAGTCCTTGCAGAGGAATACACTGCCGATCATGAACTACTGCCCTTCGCCTCCTCAGACACAACGGAGCTGGCAGCAGAAAGCGGCTTCGCTCTGCGCTGCGATTTCTGCGGTGCAGATATCTTCCAGAGCTATTTCCAGTGCAATCGCTGCATGCCTCGGCAGGGAAAACACCAACCCAAGCAAATCGATGAGCTGGTGCTTTGCGGAGGATGCTACGTAGAAGGCCGCACCTGCAAGTGTGGCTCCATGAAGCCGTATCAATGTCGCCGTTTTGCCGATTTGGTTCAAGACCGGAACAATGCCGTAAGAACGTTCAGGAAAACAGACTCGGCAGCCCTGATCGAAGAGATTCCGCTGGATTCGTACGTTTGTTCACGATTACCAACATTCCTCCATCTGATTAGATTATATGGCAGTCAACTACCTTTCGGCGATCGGCATTGTTTATTTGATGTTGCCTGTGAACTGCACAGAAGACAGCAGACTGCTAACTCCCGTCGGCAGGTTCGTTACATGTTATACTCTCGATAACAAAGATCGCTAACCTAGCGAGGTAGGCTATGGGACAACGATATTGCAGTTTTGGGTCGGAGTCCGACTATCTATCCCATTCCGTTCCACAAACCTGGCTCCTTAATTGCAGAACATGCCACAACTCGAAGTGCTTCGCGCATATCCTGGAGCTGGGAATACACTCATTCATGGCGATGCGTACGCACGAGGTCGATCCCAGCCACGCTTTGTGGCACAATTATCATCAAGCGTCCAAGCAAGAGTTCCAGAGTCGGCTCGCAATACTTCTAGAGGCCGAGAGGCAAGGTGTCGCGACGCCAAATTTGGAGGATCGACTTGTGCTTGCTGCACAGAGGTTCAGCTACTGTAGGCCTCTCAATAACGACTGGGTTGATCGTGGCTGGTACGATCTTATCTTCGCCCCGATTCGGGTGAGTAGTCCACTTCGCGTTTGGGAGCATACTGAGTTCGTTCAGGTCATCCGACCAAAACCAAAAGCCAAGACTGTCAACGATGTTCTCCAGGATAACTCCGCTCGCGGAAGTAAGAAATCCAAAGATGAAGCGATGACTCCTCAGGTTCAGCCTAGAAAGACAGTAAAACGTCCATTGTTTTTGACACCACCTAAAGAGGAACTCAGCTCTTCCGACGACACAGTCGGGGTGGTCGAAGATATCCCACATCGCATGACATCGGCAACCCCTCTGAGCGTGAGATTCAGGTCTGCGCTATTTGGGCATTTACTGAACCTTGTACAGCACGATCGGCCGCGGTCCATGTGCCGGCGTAAGGTCATGAAGTGTGTTTTGCTGCCACCCTTGGCGAATTTTCCCATATACCATCACAAGCCCATGAATCGAGATAAGCGAGATGGCATTCTATCCGGCGATGATGGCCCTCCGCGAAAGAAAGCGAGGGCTCTGCATTCAATCGGGGATACGAATTCCTCAAACCATCTGTCGTATACCCGTGCACCCGTGAAGGTATGCCGCACATCAGCATATCGTCAGTAGTTGCTGAAGTTGTACCTATCTGATACAGTCCTCGTAGATCTCTGATTCTCATCACCGCTCCCCGTCTTCGGATGCGGAAGGGTCTTCGTCGCGTGGAAGACGGAAGCTCTTCCTTCACTCAGACGGTCGAGGGGTACAAACTAAGACAACCGACAGACCTCGGATGCCTCAAGCGCAAAAATCGGTAGACCTTTCTGACGAGGACTATGCCCGGTTACAACCCCGACGCGGATTCGGCCCTGCAAAACAGACTCGCGTTGGGCCGCCCAGAACTCGACAGCCTCAGTTCGGAACCCCCGCTGCCCGTCGACGTGGCGTTTCTGAACGCCAACGTACTATCAATCCGATGATAATTACAGATAGTGCCACCGTCGCCGTCTTGCAAAGCCAAATACGTCACATCAATTCCCGAGTCGAGCAATTAGAGCGAGACAAGGAAGCCATGCACAAGGTTCTGGAGGCTACGCAAGCTGAATCGCGACGAAACTCGAGCCTGATACAAGCCCTTTCAGAAGACCTTGCGCGGTGCAGGGGAACCCACGACGGATCACTAGCAGTATTAACGAGCAAGGTGAATGATGTTTGTAGAACCTTGGAAGTAGGGAATCGGCTCTTTGGTTCAGAACGTGCAACTGCATCCACGCCTCGACAGCTCATTGATCTCCGTGGCGCTTCCTCGACAGCTGCGGATAGCTCGATTGCATCGCCTATGCCAGCTGTAAGTGCTAAACAATAACTTGGGCAGTCGAGAGTTGATCAGGGATACAAGGCCTACTCGTCTACTCTGGGGATCTCCGAGGCTGGCACTTCCCACCTGCATGGGACCGGTGAACGTGGACAAAAAGTTGACCGCCGAGTGAAGTTCGCGGAGCCAACGACAGGTCACTACACCCATCTTGGACCCGTCTCCGACGTCTGACTTACCATCATTGAAGATGCGCAGGGATCATGCTCAGAACCTGCGCTGATGAGCGACACGTCACCGGCGCGGGACTGGCGCCCAAGTGATAGATATCTAGCCAGCATTCAAGCGTCACACTTTGAAAATGCATGAACCATTGCGCTCAGCACCTAATGGGCCCCAAGGCCATGGGACCATTCTAACGACTTTCTATATGCGCGCTTTGCACTCTGACAGCCCTTGGCATAATAACAGCTTGGCTGTCTCGTATCTTGTGAACTTCATGAATTTGACGGATAACCTCGGTGGGCCATTCCTCACCAATGGCAAAACCTTGTATTGTTATATTGTATGAATCCAAAGTTTCATGGTATATGTATGCACGTCCCGTCGAAAACCTCCGTAAACATTAAGCAGGAGATTTTCAGGTATAACGTCAAGCAGTTCGTGAACGACTGGGTACCCGGTGAGAGAAGGAGAAGCATATAGCGAATTAGCTTAGCGACTAGACGTAAATAGAAGGTGTAAGTAAAAGCAAGGAACGACCGAGATCCAGGTAATGGTAAAGGAAAGGATGGTGTCTAGCCACACCGACATGTGAGGCATCGTAAGAAAGCGTTGCCCTGGGGCTGCTCGTCCTGATACCCGCCTCCGTTCGCGACGCCGATGTCTCCTCCTACTGCACGGACATTGCTCACGGCAGGAGGCGCTGCGGCAACCATGGGAGAAGTTCGACCGTACGGCTGTTGATGCGCCTGCTGTTGCTGGGCCGTGCTGTACTCGTCGGTGCCTTCGCCGGCGCCATACTCGTAGTTGCCGCCTTGCGCGTTGGCGTACGGGTGCTGCGTGTCAATGGCGGTGCTCGTTCGGCGCTGGGTCGAGCCGGGAGGAGGGACGTTGACGTGCGCCGCGGCTGATATGGGCGTGAGCTGGCCAGAGGCGTTGCCGCCGCCGCCTGGGGTGAGCGCTGCGGGTATCTTCCGTTGCTTTGAGGAACCATGACGAACGAGAGCAGGAGAGGGAGGTACCACATTGCCTGCCTGGGACACCCGGCGACGGTCTGAGTCGCGCCTTCGGTCTGCTGCTGCCGGGCTGAGGCCTGCGTTCTGCAATTGCGCAGAAACCTGCGAGGATTGACCCCCCTATAGACAGTTTCAGTAAATGATTATTATGCGCATCTCAAATCAACGTTACCATGGAAGCTTCCCAGCCTTTGCCACCGTTGAGCAAATTCCAATCATAGACACCATCTTCAACGTCGCCGTTACTCTTGAGCACTTTCGCGAACAACTCGCGCAAGAAGTCGTAGTCAGGAGTCTCCTCGAAGCCAAGCTTGCGAACATAGTTGAGATAAATGCCAAACTCCTCTGCGTGTGAGTGTTTAGCCGAGATTCCGCTCTCCGAGGCAGAACGTACCTGGGTATCCTTCGCATAGTTCCTTGATGGGTGTTGTTTGCTTCTTCTCGCCAATCTTTTCGTACTTTTGCTTGTTGGTAGCGGCCTTGAGACCCTGCCATGGTAAGCTCCCCCGAAGGAAGTACATGAAGACGTGGCCGAGCGACTCCAAGTCATCACGGCGGGATTGTTCTGTATGCACACAAGCGGGTAAGGTCGGTGCATGAAGTTGCAGATGCGGACAAACCTCGGCCAAGATGAGTGTTGATGCTCATGTACCGAGCAGTCCCGCTGAGACTTTTCCGCTCGCGATAAGGGATATGTTGCTTGGTCTTGGGATCACGGTACTGTTTTGCCATACCGAAGTCCACCACGTGGATGACTACAGCAAATATGTCAGGCATGACGATGGGCACGACATCGAACTTCGCTCACTGTTCGCTCCCTTCGTACCCGGACGCCCAATGAGGAAGTTGTCGGGTTTGATGTCGCGGTAGATGAGGTTCTTCTCGTGGATGGTTCGTACACGCGTGATCTGTAGGGCACGCACGTCGATGAACTCGCGTGCTACGCGCGTGAACGGCGGCTTACCATCTGACGAGCAGCCATACACACTGTCTTTACAGAGAACTTGCGTCCACACATGTCGAAGAGATCCTCCAAGCTTGGCCCGAGCAAATCTATCACGAGAATGTTGTGCAGACCCTCTTGACCAAAGTGGTAAATCTGGGGTATGCCGGCTGGGATGGGAATCTTGTGAACCAGTTGATGGATACATAGCAGCTGCACGCACGACATCCCGCGAGTATGCGATACGAACGACATTCGTCCCGAAGTTGGGGCGCCTCGGCTTTCCGTGGTTCCTGACGTCAGTGGTCAACGCCCCTCCAGGCGTCTATGGGCAGAACGAGGAGCTCACAAACTTGATAGCCACGGTCTGCGAGTTCAAGAGATTCGTGCCTGGAGAAAGAGTTGAACAAGAGAGCCAACGGACGTAGAGCAGATAGGATGCACCCTCGAAGATGACACCGAAACTGCCCTCGCCTATCTTGCGACCTACGCGGTAATGGTTACCGACGATGGACGTGGAGGAGGTAGAGCCATGGGTCGCGGCCATAGATGCCTGTCGGGTGCGACGTCCTGGAGGAGGAGGGTGGTGGTGGGCGAGTCCCAAGGCCGCCCAGCGGGAGGATAGACACAACAGAAGCGACCCGGCAAATGCCGCCACCGGCTGCACATGTCACACTCCCATCAATTCACCCTCCGCCACACCGCGACTGCGACCTTATGCAGGCAAGCAAGGTTCAAACGTTCAACTACCGTCCTTCAACATGCTGATCTTGTCGTATTTTTCTCCTTACTACACAGATAATGTTATCGCGAGTTGTTTCGCCGTTCAAATGCGCCCAACGTCAGCGGCCAATTGCGTAATGATCCCACTTGACCGATCGACATAACCACCAATACTTGGTCACGGCGCCCGGGAAAGTAGACGAGTTCCTACCAGTCTTTCCAGCCCGGTACCAGGAGGTGCACCCCGTCCACGCAGAATGATTCATGCGTTTCTCAAGCCACGCGTTGTATTCTTCAAACGGTTTATCCTTGACTTCGATTTCCTTGATTCTACCGCCCAACATGGGCCGGAGTAGTTGCGCGATATAGGCGATCTGCACTTCAGCAGTGAATACGACGCTCGCATGTCCTGTCACGGTGTTGGGGCCATCGAAGAGGAAGAAGTTGGGGTAGCCAGGCGCCGCGATGCCTACAGTCACTGATCAGACAACTGCTCGCGCTCTGCACGGATAACCGTCGAGCTCACCCAAGTATGCTATCGGCCCGCCTCTACTGCTGAACCATTCTTTAAGATTCACGCTGCCTCTTCCATGAACTTGGGTTCCTAAGAAGGACTGCCGGCATCAAACGTTAAAGGCAGGCGTGAGGAACATAAACTGCTTAGACATCACCATATCATACCCCGTGGCCAATATGATATGGTCAACAGGCAGCGAGCTTCCAGATTTGAGTTTGATCGCCGCTGGCTCGATACAGTCGACATCATCCTGGACGAGGGTCACGTTGGGTCGCTTCAGCGAATCCAAATATCCTGGATCGAGGATGAGGCGCCGACAGCCCGGAGCTAGGCACTTCGTTAGCGTCGGTGCCTAAATGTTACTCAGAAACTTACAAAAATCCGGGATTAACTCATCGGCCAATGCAGGGGGAGCAGTGCCTTTGATGTATTGAGTCAACCGCTGAGAGTAATATAACGTTCAGCCGATAACTTAAAGAAGCGATGTAACAAGAGACATACCGCTATAGTTGCCTTGATGAATCTAGAGTTATCTGCATTGAAAAGGAGGTGGCCCCAGAAGTCCATCTATCAGATACTATATTCGGTCAAGTTCGTTTTGAGGGGGAGCTCGTGCTGCCTACTCTGGTCATGATCCAGTTCCTATATATCCTCGCTGCGAATGGCACATAGGCAAATATCCATTTCGCCCACTGAGGATACCGATATTGTAGCTACGAGCGGAGTTGGCACTCAAAGTAGTATGAATGTCAGTATACACGCACCCTAGGCACATACCACTGTCGTGTCCTTGCAATATTGAACACCTCAGTGGTGAGATCTTCGCTAATTTTCGGTACAAATTGTGCCCTGCGTGAGAAGATCCATGTTAGGTAGCTAATAGATTGAAGGTCCAGAAAGCCATCTCTCGACCCACGCAGAACAGCCATTTCCGATAACCGCCACCCGCTTCCCTTTCAGGGGGACATCGTGTCTCCATTCTGCCGAATGCCATACTTCTCCTCGAAACGTGCTTAGGCCCGTTATGTCGGGAATGGCTGGCGTCGACAGGATGCCTGTAGCCCAAATGAGGATCTCCGCCTGCTCTTGCCTTTGCTCCTTCGTATGAACGTCCTGCAAAGTCAAAGTCCATACTTGGGCGGACTCCGACCACGCAGCATGTGATACATCCGTATTGAAGGAGGTGTGTTGTTCGAGGTTGTATTTGCGGAAGAGGCCTTGCCAGTAGGAACGTAATTCATCCTGTGCGACATAGTAGCTTGACCCTTTTGACCCATATGAATGATACTGCTTGACACGTTTCATCACTCCCACGTACAATATGGATTAAGCTCCGTGGATAGGCTGTACCAGTGACCGGGAACATCGGATCCGCATCCCTATCGTGGGGATAAGCATCGTTCATGCCCCGTATCGCAAGCAACGCACGGGGTATGTCGTTAACTGAATGCAAGAAATAAGCTATGAATCTCCCATTAAGCAGAGATTGGCTTACGTTCCATGTGCCTCCCACGTTTGGCGCGCGTTCGTAGATCTGGCCAGACGATGAGCGTACAGAGCGGAATAGTGCATTATGTATGGCTATTGCAAACCGAGAAGTTGTCGTATCGCAGTTTCTTTCGCAATGAGATAGCCATGGATATGCCGGCCAAACTGAGATAACGAGTACTCGCATGAGACCAACGTCATGCAATGCGGAACCAGAGCTCACACTTACCCTGCACCGACAATCGCTACCCTGGGTCTCGCCGAGTCCAGTAGGGGCTGGGATTCGGATGCGGACTCGTTCATTGTCCACCGTTAATCATCCACCGGAAACCACCGGTCAAGGGCAGGGACGAAAGAGACCGCGTGGGCATTCTTGTATGTGTACGAGGGAAGCTCTTATACGTCGGCGACTCGGTACACGGAGCTATGCACTCAGAATCAAATGAAACCGAGTCGGTCGCGGCAGTCTAACCGCTTTACCGCAAGTAAGCGTGCGAAACCCGCTGTCACAAGACCATCACGCAGCATCGCCACGAGCTGGTTACTCACGCTCGCCTTGATCGGGCGGCGACATTTCGACCGGCAATCCAGCTCTGTGTGTTCCCTCCGCTGGCGCCTTTCCACCACGATCTCTGTTTATCTTCCCGTCCATCTCCTCGGACGCCCGACAGGATGAAGCTCAGGGCCTTCAGTCTGCTCCTCTTGGCCGCCCTCCAGCCTGCCACGTCCGCTAGCGCCGCGAACCCGGTACGGCGAGACTACGCCAGCCACGAATACTATGTCATGCAACACGACCCCAGGGCCCCCGGAAGCGCATCGCTGGACGAGTGCGCCAAGGCTTTGGGCGTGGAGCTGGTTGACCGGGCGGGGGAGCTAAAGGATCATTGGCTGGTGCGGGCGCCCAAGGCCGAGGCGATGTCACGGAGAACGACGAGCGGGAGCGGAGTAGCGAGGGACGCGGTAGAAGAGAGGTGGGAGAGGCTACGGAGACGGGCGGCGAGCAGGAGGACCTCGATCTTTTCCACCCGCGCCGCGGACATGCAGCGGGCGAAGCGGGTCGCGAGCGCCATCCCGTATCTTGAGAAACAGGTGCCTCGGCAACGCGTAAAGCGGGACGACTCCCTCATCGCTCGTGCACCACCACCCATCATCGAGGAGGTCGGAGCCGGTGAAGGAGACGGATACAACGCGTCATCGGCGCATTCGGTTGCGCTACACTTCGGTTTCGCAGACCCTGAGTTCCAGAAGCAGTGGCATCTAGTGAACGACGAGTTTCCGGAGCATGCTATGAACGCAACGGGCATCTGGGAGATGGGAATCACGGGTGAGGGCATCATCAGTGCGCTAGTCGATGATGGATTGGACTATAACAGCGACGATTTGGCGGGCAACTTCGTACGCAGTCGTTTTTCTCTCCGTAAATCGGACCGTGTCTTAATGACTAGTGTCGGATCTTAGGATGCTCTTGGCTCGTATGACTTCAACGATCACGTCGACCTACCAACGCCCGTACTCTTTGACGATCACCACGGCACTCGCTGTGCAGGTCAAATCGCCGCCGTGAAGAACAACGTCTGTGGTGTCGGCGTTGCCTATGGATCTAAGGTCGCTGGTCTACGGATATTGTCGGGACCAATCTCAGGCAATATATAACTCCTTTTAGCATCAATATCGGCATACTGACGGCCTTGCTCAGATATCGACGAAGCCGCCTCGTTGAACTACGCATTCCAGAACACCTCCATCTATTCCTGTTCTTGGGGCCCTGCCGACGATGGTCGCTCGATGGAAGCACCTGGATACCTCGTTGAGAAGGCCGTCGTCAATGGCATCAACAATGGTCGAGGCGGGAAAGGCTCTATCTTCGTCTTTGCTGCCGGAAACGGCGCTGGCTCGGGTGACCAGTGCAACTTCGACGGGTATACGAACAGCATCTACAGCATCACCGTTGCAGCTATCGATTATAAGGGTCTGCATCCGTACTATTCCGAGAGCTGCGCGGCAAACATGGTGGTCGCATACACGTCCGGGTCAGGAAATCACATTGTGAGTGCATCTCAATATGTCGCGAGTCGGACAAGACTAACGTCCGGCAGGTGACTACGGACGTCGGTAAGAACAAATGCGCCAAGAACCATGGTGGTACCTCTGCTGCGGCGCCTAACGCCGTTGGGGTCTTCGCCCTCGCACTGTCAGTTCGCCCAGACCTTACGTGGCGTGACATGCAGCACCTTGCCATGCGTACAGCGATCAAGGTCAATGACGAAGATCCCGACTGGGAGACTACTGCCGCCGGACGCCCATACTCATACAAATACGGCTACGGCAAGCTCGACGCCTTCCACTATGTCACGGCCGCGCAGTCCTGGAAGCTCGTCAAGCCTCAGGCGTGGATGGAGCTACCCGCGATTCAGATTAATAACGGCACGATGAACCTCCTCGACGAGATGAGCGGCGGCGAGGTGATTGGGCCTGATGGTGTGGAGAGCAAGATGGTCGTGACGAAGGAGATGATGGAGCAGCATAACCTCGAGACACTGGAGCATGTGACGGTGCGGGTGTGGATTCAGCACGACCGGCGGGGAGACGTCGAAGTCGAGCTGACGAGCCCCAACGGGATCAAAAGTATTTTGGCCGGGAAGCGAAATGGAGATGCCGCGAAGACAGGGTTCCCCGGTTGGCGCTTCATGACGCTCAAGCACTGGTGAGTGTGATCATTGCGATGTGCCTTTCCTGTGCTCATGGTTTGGGTTAGGGATGAGGATCCAGTCGGCGAGTGGACGATCCGTGTCTCGGATCAGCAACAGGAGGGTCGTACCGGCTCCTTCCTCGGCTGGAGCATGTCCCTATGGGGGGCCACCATCGATCCGTCCAAGGTCAAGCAGTATGAAGTCCCGGTGGTGCAGAACGTCCTTCCGCCCTTAGAGACCGAGGAGGCGGACCATCCAGTAATCTCCTCTTCCACTGCCGCGGCTGCTACCTCGACAAAGACACGACCGAAGCCGACCGCTCACCTTCCGGGTGACCACGGTGATGCCGAGGGTGACGCTAGTACACCCGCTTTCACCAGCGGCGTGGAAGACGCCGTTGAAGCCACTGCATCGCCCACCATGACCCCAACGCCCGATGAAGGCTGGTTCTCGGACATGTCCAGCTTGGTGTCTGACCAGAAGTGGTTCGTTGGAGCGGCAGCCCTCGTGCTCGTCTTTGCCATAGCTGTCGGCATCTTCTTCTGGCGACGCCGCGTAGCGCAGAGGCGCCTGGCTCAGTACAGCAGCGTCGCTGGTGATGACCTTGCCATGAGCTCCGTGGGTCGTGGCGGGCGTTCCAACATCAGCGGAGCCCGCAACACCAAGGAGCTTTACGACGCGTTCGGCGAAGTTTCAGATGACGAGGATGCGGATGAAGAGACAGGCTTGCGTGGCGGCCGACCGCACGATCGCTCGCCTGCAGGCCTCGGTTTCCATTCTGGCTTCCTCGACGACGACGAACCAGCGTCCGCGCCCATGTATCGAGACAACCCAAGCGACATAGATCGCGTGCGAGAGCGGGTGGATAGTCCTGCCAGCGGGAGCGGGGTGGGGAGTGCGGACGGCAGCTGGGAGCACGCATCACAGGTTCGGTAGTACCATTGTTATTATGGACATGTAACGCAACATAATATATTATGCATTATTCGGGTTGGGTATCACTACACAGAATGGGTATCTATACGAGAGCGGCGACATCGTACCGTGCCGCGGCCTCAGGAGTCAGAGTAATTTATCAGGGTAAAAGCAACTTCAGTCGAGTCGCATGGCCAGCTGGCGATGACCATATTGAACCACGGAGTTTGGTTGCCAAGTGGATGACCAAGTTCTGCTTGCTGTCGAACGCGCATGCAGTTACCCAAAAGGCGGCACAGGGAGGTTGACAGCCGTTCTGACAAGTCATCGTGGCTTTGGCTATGTGCACCAATGAAGGCAGTCTGAAGGGGTAGATGTTGGTCATAGCACAACATGGCACAATTATCTGCATGGGCCTACCGCTTCCGTGACAGCCACAGTCATAGTCAATCCAGTTTCGTCTTCCAGCTCCAGGTAACCATTGCATCGGTGGTCTACGGCGAGGTCATCCAGGCCCGTAGATTCGTAACACGCGAAACAGCGTTGCATACACGGTTGCAAGCTGATGGGTGTCAGTCTGCTGACAAACGGTTTGAGGGATTAACTTACTACTCGTTGCAACGGCTGCAGCGGCGGACAATCCATTCTTGCAACCTTCTTGGCCCAAATTTGATTATGTGTGCGCGAAGCGTGAACTTTTGAAGGCGGGGCTCGCAATTTTGGATGGCATCAACGGCGCTCATTGGATTGTGACCGCTTTCCTGGGGGGGTATAACCCCTGTGAAATCTTCGACAGACGCTTCATCGGTTTCCATCTTAACTTCGGGCGTCTGTACGATGGTTTCTTGCTTGAACGGTGTCGCGAACGTGGTAGTGATCGTTTCCTGTTTCGACGTCCATTCGCTCTTACGCCTATACTTGGCTCAAACCGGCGCATCAGGTCATGAAGCGAGCAATCTCACCTGAGCAGTTCTTTGAAATGAGGGTTAGACCCTTTCTCATTGATTTTGACGATAAGGCGGCCGGATCCTCCCAGCTTACAGATGAGCTGGTTGTCTTTGACTCGAGTCATATGCAGCCGCACACTCCTTAGCTCGTAATAACCGAGTTGCTTGACTCTATCCGCTTGATCGCCTTCGAGAACTATCCGGAGGATCCTGCCCTCCAGACCTTCGGACCACGGTTGTCCTACTAGACCTCGTGATGCATCCAGCATGTATGGGTTTCTTGTGTAATCGGTACCGTATATGACGGTTTCCTCTTCATGAGCTATATGGAGAATCTATGAAAGGGTCAGCTGAGGAAGTTCAGGGAAGGAGATCCTCACTTCGAGCGTCAAGTTACAAAACTTTTCCTCGATAACGTCCTGTAGTAGTAGATGGGGATTACTGTCATAAGGCTGGTGAAGTGCCAGTTTCTCTTTTCGTCTGGATATTGATCAGCTTCGAGTTTGTCGTCGGGTGTATGCGGATAACCCACTTCAGCAGAGCGGAGAGATGCTGGTCGTTGCTGTCCTTCTTTTCATCGAGAAGGCGGGCCTTCTTTCCCTCCACAAACTTCGCCTCGACGTAACCTGAGTACGTACTCTTCTCCATCATCCTTACGTTGTCCATTCTCCAGAACTCTCCAGGATGCATCTCGTTCGCCAGTTTTGCGGCCTCATCCCACATCTCTACGCGTATTATTTTGTGGAACATTTTGGAATTACCTTCCTTGCAAGGATCCTCTTCCAGCCCTTCTCGCTCGGTGTAATCTGTCGCGTAGATCACCTGCGGGTTTGCAGTGTCTTCGCGGGTTCTATCCCTGGCTACTATCTGCAAGGGAGGAATATCAGAGCTTTGCAGCTATCAACGGCAGATTTCTGTGCACCTCCAGAGTACATGTGAAATAACCCGAAGCTTCGCTGATGAGACAATGCTGCCGTCTGGATTTCGCGGCTCTCTGAACAATCTGATGCTCGACCCCGGAATCAGGTAGTGATTCTCCTGGTCGCCGAGTGGAATTCCACCAGCTGGCAAGCTGCTGGAGGTACTCAGAAACCCCTGATTGAGCCGGTTCGATAATTACGCCATGTTCACCAGGGCCGCGGCGCATCTGCTTGGTGACGGGGTTATAGACTGCCCATCTGAATGTCTTGTAACCGACAAGGTTGATGCCTGACGCGCCGTTCTTGCTATACGTTCGCACCTGGAGGTCTGGGTGATGACAATGCGTATGCGGAGAAAGTACAGACGCACCGACCTTCATGCAGTGCAGAACTACGATATTGCCGGCAACAATTTGGGGCAACTGCTCTTTTGCTGGTTTGAAGAGGATGGCTGTCCATTCCGCTCCGCCAGCTTCGGTGCCTAGGGATGGATCTACAAGCCTGATGGAAAGCCTGAAATCTGAATAAGACGGCAGCCTCAGCAGATGCATCGACAATCATGGTTCAATCTCCAGTACCTTGCGCTTGGACTTTTGGTTCATAGATGTCGCCTCCGGACGTCACTACGCATATGATATCGACCTCCCCATTTTTCGCCAACTCGGATAGTCTACTATAAGGGTATGGCTATTCAAATTCGAGCTGAAGATGAGTGCTTCCCGCGCGTATACTAAAGTAGGAGGGTACTGACTGGTTTGGGAAAGGATGGCGAAGATTGAAGCTCAGGCTGCAGTTGAATGTTTTCGGCAGACGGTGTATATCCAAGAAGAACTCGTTGAGGCTGGGCTTCAGGCCCTTCAGGGAGCGCGACATTGCATGGGATGCGATCATCAGTAACTGGGCCCGTATGAGCAACGGCGCTCGCCAGTTGTGCGGTAGGAGGTACCGGATCCGGGACAGCAGCGACCGTCTCTGAAGGAGGCGGGTTGCACCCGGATGTAGGTTTGGCGAGCCGTTGTGTGCGAACATTCGCAGCCATTTCGTCTCGCAGTCGCTTCTCGTTTTGCTTTTTCGCTTTCCTCCTCCGGACTTTTTTGGATTGTCCTGCGTGAGGGTCGGCGATGACTGCATTGGTATTCGGCGCCGTATTCCCTGTATCTCTTATGGAGGCGATGTCGGTTACAGGCGAGGTGGAAACGGGTTCGGGTCGTCGACTACGCTGTGATGCATGAGCGGGAAGTGTCTCAACGGGTCGTTCCTGATTCACTGTAGAAAGGCCGGCGGTCTCAGCTTGGTTCAAGGGGGGCCGTTTGGCCGCCGTCTCAGGAGCTTGCGGACGCGCCGAATGCGTGGAACAGGAAGCTTCGGGTACGGACGTTTGCCGGATCATCCGTGGTTCGGGTATGCGCACAGGAAGCAAGGATACAGCAGTTGTAGGGGCAGCCGTTTGTTCAGAAATTGGTTTTGGAGCATGGTTGATGATTGGTTTGGCGTCGTTAGGCTCTGCCTGAGCAGGCGGCATGGGAGTTGAATACCAGTCCTCTTCCGCGGGAACAGAGTGATTTCTATTATCTTGAGTAGGAATTGCTTCAGGAGCTGTAATGCAGGTCAGGGCTACCAGCCGCCTAAATTGTGTAGGACTCGCCTGCGTCTACGTGTATAAGGCCGTCGGGATCAAATGCTTTGCCCTTCTTTCTCTCCACGAATTTCAGCGAGCAAGAATTGGTGTACAAGAGAGTCAAGCTGCTAATGTATGACGTGGGGTGAGTGGATGTAGCGCCGCAAAGACTGAGCAAAAGCCGCTCCCCCACTGTGAGAGGGAGGACACCAATTTGTAGGAGAGAATGGGAGAGGAGGGGATCCATCTTGATCTGTAGCCTTTTTCCCTCCTGTTCTGCCACAAATAGATAGCGTTTTCCTGGTTGGAACGGCCAAACCATATGTACTGAAAGGTCGAGGTATCCGGCTGTGTATACGTCCCCAGGAGCGAGTGTGGAAAGGTTGCGTTTGTCGATAGGCAGGAACTCATGTTGGACCTTAGGCTTTTTGCTTGACGTCCCGGAGGCTTCATCATTTCCCGGGGAGCGCTTCATTTTCGAATGGATCGCGATTGCTGGATACTGGAGGGACGGTCGTGACTCTGAGCTCGCGCCGCGCGGAGATGATGACGCTCACGCGACGCGTTCAACATGTGACCGCGTCTCCCACGGGCGACGGGCCACGCCTGCCTTTCTCTCTCGGCTAGCAGTCATGGCGCAACTATACCAAATCGCAGGGCCGCGAGCTCACTTCTGGTAGAATCGGACACGTCATGTTGTCTTTCTCCTGACGCCGAAGACAGGAAGTTTCGACCAGATGTGAAAACGGCGGCCGACAAACTTTTGGGATTAGAACAGAAAACAGGCGGTATACAATTAACTCTAGGTACCCTGGTCCACCGTCCATGATCCAGAAAGCACGAGAATTGACGCAGATTTCAGGCTTGGAGTCCTCTGGTGCTGCTTCCTTGTTGATCAGAGATACTCAGTGCATGGCTCTCGGTCTTCGTCTCCCTTCGAGTCCACGCCCCTTCTCACCACGCAACTTTGCCGCTCTATCTCCAATCTATTTTCTAGATCAGCAGTCGCTAATCAGGTTCTTGGAAAAAATCACTGCCAAGAATTTCAATAAGAGTGCAAGACTAACACAAAGTGACACCTCCAGAGCACGTTTTGAGATTTCCAGGTAACGACTACTGCCGTGTCCTCGGACAGGCAGGCGCTGATAAGCAGCCTGACCATAGGACCTTCCTACTGCACCTGGACAATTCAGTCTCCGGCAAAGATTTCGCTCTGCGTTTGGTCAATCTGGACAAGTTGCGCGTGGTGCCGCTTGCTGTGAACTTGGCCAGTATAGACCCCCGTAGCGGCTCCGAGCGGGAACGTGATCCAATAATCCTCGATGTCGGAGTCGGCGAGGCCAGATGCTGCGGAGAATACTTTCGGATGGTATCACGCTTCCATCTCAAGATCAAAGAAAAGCTCATCGTTGAGCCGAGAACGAGGAAGGTACGACACAAGTCTCTCCTCTGCTTGTTGTGCTCGCTCATGAGGGTTGAAGCCGTTCGAGCATGGGCACTCGGAAGAGCTCGAGCAGGTAGCGGCAGGCGAACGTCTACGTGAGCTCTTGGCCGACGGTGACCCGCTGGTCCTTCTGGTATACAATAGAAGCAGAACATTGAGCATCCTCCGGGCGCTCGGGATCGATCACTTTGATGGCAAGGTTTACAATATGGAGGACTTGTACTCGCCGGAATCCGAGCGCTCTACCTTTGCCCCTCGCAAGCCAAGATCGCGCTCTCCGCAGCGACGAGCTTCCGCGCACTACGCCGATCAATTGTCTTTGGACAGGAAGCGTGATTACGATGACAGGCAAATGGGCCGTAAGGATTTTGCTGATGACCGTGGCCGAACTGCACCTCCCAAGGACGCTGCTGATGCGCGTCCGATCAGCCGACAGGTATACATCCTGGATATTCAGGAAATGTATAACACCATGCTGTCGAGCAGCGACATTCACTCTTTGTCACAAGTCGCACTCGAACTTGGCGTTATCGACACTGATCCAGGCGGAATCTGCGCCGGGAACGAGGTTCAGTAAGGCTCTTTTTCTTGTCTGCGATATGTGACAATGCTTATTCCCAGCTAGGTGGCTGCTGGATATGTGGATATCGATGTCCAAAGGGGGATCCATTCTTCAGCAGCGTGAGGCAAGGGAGAGTGAGCGCCTGCAGAAGCAATGGCAGACACAACAGGCGAAAGCGGAGGCATCAACGCCTACTCCCATCAAGCAGGAGCAGCCGATCTCCGGAGAAGACAGTGATGAAGACCTTGTAAGCGATCCGAACGATGCTCTTGTTGAAGCAGCAGGCGGGACGACAAACATCACATTGGGCAAAGGAAGGAATCCCTACGACGAGAACGATGACGAGAACGATGATTCTGAAACCGAGGATTACGTCCCATACATCCAAGCGAGGGCTGCAAGATGATGCTCTTCTTTCTAGATGTGGTTTGTTGTATGACATATGAAACAGTTGTACTTGCTATGATACATTGTCTCGTTATCCTTCCTCTCCCCGGCGTCGCCGTAAATCCTGACGGGGATTCTTTCAGCGGAGTAGGGACTCTTCAAAGAACGTCCATAGAGCCATCGGGTTTTTGAAATCGTGGTGGACCACGCTTACTAACCACCGTTCATCACGAACCGATTCAAGGAGCTTTCGTTCTGCCGATCCGGGTGGATAAAACGATGCCCACTCTGACCATATAGAGAACGCTTCCTCCTGCAGGCGTGCGAGGTGAGCATAGAATATAGTTAGACGACAGAACCATCGGATAGGTGTACGGACCTTCCAAGACAGGAACGATTCGCGTTCAATGATAGTTGATTGCGCAATTTCCTGCCCGGGGAAGATACCCCATGTAACTGCATTCCGACCATCATCTGGAACGTTCGTACGACACTCTCCCTGAAACGGATACTTTGAATATAGAATAAGGCGGAGCCTATAGCATAGGCCTGACCTTCTGGTCAGCAGCAAAATAGCTGATCCATCCTCCGCCCTCCTTCTCGATAGCCTTCTCGATTTTGGCCACATCCTCCCGGTTCGCGAAGAATTCGACGAAGCACTTCTGGAAGACGTATCCGTCGCGCGGCCCCCATCCAACAACTTCGTCTTCAGAAGGCGCGCCATCGACTGCCGGCTGTGAACCGACCGTCCACCAGCCACGTTTGTTCAGCCGCTGGAGATGGGTGATAATCATACGAGTCTCCGACGACAAGGGACCTTGGGTAAATGGTGTTGTCAATATCTCAGAGTTATCGAGATACCGTACGAAGAGCGAGGTCAGGTCGTCCAACGTTTTGGGGTTTCCCCAAGCGTCAGTCGCTTCTGGTCGCTCGAAGGACGTCAAATCGTCTGAAGGAATATGAACAAAATAGATAAGCACCGTTACGACTGAGCCGCCCCATTGATCCTGATTCCCGAATGCAGGACTCTTGAAGTCTCCGAATCGTCCGTTAGGGAACTCGTCCCAAGTGGTCGCACTATTGATTTCGCCGCTTCCAAGCTCGCGGTCGGCCGCAGGCGCTGAAGATAACCCACTCGTTACTGAGTGCGCAGCGGTGATAGGGGTCACTAGGAGTTCAGAGTCTACGGAGTTCGTGTGTACCGCATCACCGGGAGTGTCCTGTCCGGAGCTTGTCAGTGGGGTAATCGGAAGATGATGGGAGATCAGCGTACGGCGATGAGCTTGTTCTTGGTCCGAGGGGTGTCACGAGGGTTTGTCCACCCAAGCGATTCCAGGACCCGTTGCACACTCTTCTCCAGGTTTAGGGTACAGAAGTGAACACCAGGGACTTTGCCACTACCGACAAGTTTACGGATCATATCCGTGGCCAATCTGATGCCGAATTCTTTGACTTGTTGGTCGTCGTGCTGATCCACTAGTGAACATCGTGATGCTTGGTGAATACTCGCTAGCTTACCTTGACAGCTTCAAGCTCTGAATGCAGCGAGGCGGGTATCTTGCTGCCGCATAATTTCGTCAAACGAAGGAACGAAGAGTAGGTTTGTAACGGCATGATGCCAGGGATCACAGGAACGTTGATGCCTGTGGCATTTGCTCAGACACATGTAAATCTTTTCCGACAGTTATGGCAAACCTCTGTCTCGAACTTTGCCCAGCCATCGTAGGAAGTTGTCTACGTCGTAAAACAGTTGCGTGACGATATAATCCGCGCCAGCGTCGACCTTATCTTTCAGCTTATCAATCTCAGCATCTTCATCCATCTCACGATCGGGGTGGCCGTCAGGATATGCTGGGAGCGAAATGAATATTCATTTGGGGTACATAGATGGACAGAAAATGGACCTGCCACGCCGATGCAGAACGCGGATGAGAATTCAGGGGAAGAGCGAATGTACGACACAAGGTCAATGCCATGGGCGAACCGAGGGTCTGTTGGTATCCAATATTCCTGACCTCTCGGTGGATCTAGAGGCTTGTTAGGCTATATGATAGCGAATGGAATGGGGATGATCTACCTCCGCGCAGGGCTAGGATATTTTGGATACCGCGTTCCTTCGCAGCCTGGTCATTCGATACTTATGGGTCTCTTGTCGTAAGGAAGGAAAGGAGTGACACACTCACCCTCAGCGCATCGTCCACAGTACCCTTCTCCATGTTCGTACAAGTCAGGTGCAGAACAGTGTCCACGCCATAGTCCTGTTGGGTCAGGCCAGCGAGTTCGAGACTGCGATCCTTCGTGGTACCACTTGCACCCCAAGTAATGCTTATCGCCAAAGGATTGAGCTTAGAAAGGCGAGATATCCGCGACAAGAGGTTTTCAAAGCCTTGATTTGTCTTCGGCGGGAAAAACTCGAAGGTGAAGAACGGCCAATCCTGGTGAGCCGCAATCTTGTCAGCTAGTTTCATGGTCGATATATCCCGGCCTCAAGATGTTATCTGCACAAGTTATGAAAGCCTCCAGGCAACAGACGCGAGTTTGGCTATGAAGGTTGGCTCCGATCTCAGATGAGAGGAGGGAGACAAAGCAGTTAGTTGTGAAGGCCGTCGGACCGAAGTCGGTTCACACCACGATGTCCCTCCGAAGCTCTTCCCTCCGTCGACCATGCCCGCCAGCAGGTCAAAACATGCTCCAGGGTCGAGCGTCACCACGGCTTGGCTGAATCTGGTGCTGCTCAGCACGGTTTTGATTCTTAGCCTTGTCCAACCTTCATACGGGCGGTCGACGCTCGGAGAACGTGCACTTACTCAACTCTCGGCGTCCGACATCTCATCATTGGTTTCATCCCCGGATCCAGCAAAAAACGTCGATATCTCGAATTCCAAATCTCACCTGTCGAAGATATTAATCCCCCGGCCTCGTATGTATTCACGTCGGCGAGCCAGGAGCGCAACCTTGAACTTCGTTCGCAGCGGACACGGCGAACAACACTATTGTCAAAGACTATATTGTCAAGACGCTGAGGAAACTCAAATGGGACGTGGAAGAAGACTCATTCAATGACACTACTCCTTACGGAGTAAAGCGATTTACGAATATCATCGCGACCAAGGATCCCTCGGCACCCCGACGTGTTATACTCGCAGCGCATTTCGATAGCAAATTCTTTCCCACTTCTCCACAGAACCAGGTACGCGACTCTTCCAATGCTCACGTCCAGTATGTGCTCATCCGCACCGAGTTCGTGGGTGCAACAGATTCGGCAGCGCCATGCGCGGTGCGTTGATGCGACACAATGTCATTTGGATCTAGCTGACGTTGCACAGATGATGCTCGATCTTGCAGAATCGCTCAATTCACTCCTGGACCATCGTGCAAAGCAGCTAGAAGACGGCCTTGCCGACAATGACGACATGGCCGAGACTACATTGCAGCTTGTCTTTTTCGACGGCGAGGAAGCGTTCAAGGAATGGACAAAGACGGACTCCGTTTACGGTGCGAGGTATAAGCTATGCCTGTTCCTCTTACCGCCTGATATGGAGGCTACGTAAGACATCTTGCCGCCAAATGGGCCAGCACGTATATCAATCCCAACACGAAACGAAGGTTGCTCTCATCGGTGGCTACGGAAATATCGACAATCGAACATCTGATCCTCCTCGACCTGCTTGGTGCACCCAACCCTGTTATCCAGTCCTTCTTCAAGGAAACAGCTTGGTTATTCGACGCTATGGCGTCTGCTGAACAGAGGCTCCGCGACAGTGACGCGTTTAAGGGGGAAGACAACTGGCACAGTTTTTTCAAGCAGCGAACTGGGAATGAATTCGGCGGGTTCATTGAAGATGATCATATCCCTTTCCTCAAAGAAGGCGTGGACGTACTACACATTATCGCAAGCCCTTTCCCGAGGGTGTGGCATACGCTCCAGGTACGTTAGACCAACCTGGCTGTGTCATGACACTCACATATGCGTTCAAGGACGATGCCTCAGCGCTCGACCTACCGACTATGCGAAGATGGAACTTGATACTGCGGGTTTTCATGTCGGAATATCTCGGGTTGAAACCAGATGCTCATGGTCGACGGTCTCGCGCGTCAGAGGATCTTGTGAGCCTCTTCCGTGCTAACTCAGGGTCCATCGAACTGACGAATGCCTAGTAGACGTCCTAACTGAATTGTATCATAGAGTAATCATACGAAGGCGGATTCAACAATCGTCTCAGGAAACGCATTCTTAGTTCCAGGCTCGGATATTGTTCAAGACTTCTGCACGAACACCTGCCAACGGGTCAAGTAGCCCACTTTGTGAAGCGCAGCCTCCCACGCAACGAGCAGCCTGGTTTCGCGCCAACCTTGTATCCCAGCCTGGGCAATCGATGCATTACGTGCGGTGCCCTTCCGCTCCAGAAGTGCCACGACGTCGTCAAGGTACTTGGCATATGAGTTGGAGATGTTTCGAATTGAGACAATGGCGAGTGGTGTCGGCCCAGATACCAGCAACTCGAGGCTGTGATGCAAGGACGTGAAGAACGGCATTGGTGCGCGTTGGGTCGTATGTTTGCGAGCAAAGAACGGCAACGCAGTGAAGATAAACACATCCTCGTTAACCTTGAATCTTGAGCTGCAGGTTGTGAAGGTGATAGGCACCGGACTGTCACGACTGAGCGACATTCGCGAGGTGGATATTCCGACTTCGAAGGTCGGCGCGATGCTTGCGATAGAGGGGCATTGTTCCCAGTTTCCGTTGCTGCGTTGAGATGGCGTCACTGGAAGAGATCATCGTGTTCGTTACGTGGCTTATTGCTATGAAGTAAATTTAGGCGCATATACTCACTCAGCGCAGGTTTCATCTACGCTGTGTTAAATCAATCCTGAAACGAAGATGGTCTGGGTGGAATGTACGGACCCTGCTTGCAGACAAGAACCAAGCAATGGCTGCCGCTCGAGCGTCGGCATCGACTGCGAGGCTGAACCTATGGCCGTAGCAGACAATCGCATTCTGAAGAAGCACGGGTAGATCCTGAGACGGGTTTCTGAGTTGGATCCGTCCGTTGACTATGTCTTCTATGAGGGTAGAGACTGGCAGCTCCAGAAGAACATGTTCCGACTTGTCCCCCTTTCGAGCGGCGTTCAGATAGACAGTCGGCCAGATCGATCGGCAAGGAACCAGAGTTGTCTGCAGCGCATGGAGTGTATCCGTGTACCTCGCCGAGGGGGAGCGGGATTCGCGAGCCTTGCTCCACGCAAAGGCGAGAAGGACGAATACAGAGAGGGCAGTAATAGAGTATCTCAAAAGAACGCCTTCACTTTGCGTCGCAATGAGATACGAAGCCTTAACCAATTCTGAGATGGATCGATATGCATGTTGGGTGTTGCGAGCAATTAGCAGTGCAATGGGCGAGGCTTGAATCATCTTATAAGAACCAGAGGAAGTAAACTTCAGGTTGCAGCCGGGGGCTCCGCCAATGCTAACGGAAACGGCTCCCAATATAGCAATCTTGAAGCCCAATAAGGGAAAGGACACACAATCACGTGAGTCTACTTGACACGAGGCCTCACTTCACTAGGACTGCGAGCCTTTGCTTTAGTGCGATACATCCTAGGGCGGCGATAAACTCCTTAGAAACCTCTAGGTCTCGTTACACAACAGCAACAAAAAGATGGAGCTTTGTATCGAGCGTGTACCTCATACAGCGACGGTTTACGAGGTAACAAAGCTCCTGGCCGCGCAAGCCTTACACACCGAGGCGTTCATCGATCGAGACGATCCGATGTCTCGATTGATGAACTTCAAAGTCAGTGAACTTGATTGGGTATGAATCTTTCCGTCAGGTTCCTATAGTAAGCTCTAGGTTTTCTTGGAACCAGCTGGCTATGGGGTGCAGAATAAGGGCTATGGGTACCTCGTTCTGCCCACCGCCAAAGCCGCGGAGAAATTCCTGCGTTTGGCTCGTGATAATCCCATCCGGATGAATGGGAGGAAGCTCTGGTTCAGCAAATCTGGCAAGAAGCCTACTAAGGCGATCATACAGCAACTCCTCAAGGCGCCCTACGTGGACCCGGATATTGACGAAGAGCGCCAGCGCCGTACGCCATGTAACGAACTTTTCGTTCTCATAAATTGATTGATTTTATAGTGGAGACTGTGTTGGACGAGCATCTGCGAGTCGCCAGTGTGCAATTTGGCGTTTACCATCGCAAAACGCCGCAATCCAGCAGAGAGTTCTCCGTCGAATGGAACAAAGACTTCTTGTCGAATGGTCACGTTGCGTGGGTGAAACTGCACTATTCGCATAAATGTATGCGGGTACAGGTAGGTTATGTGCTTGTCCTAGTCGTACTTGTTACTATTACTAACAGGAATTAGCTCGGAAACAAGGCAGGGCAGTCGGCGCTATCCTTGTATCTCTGCTGATAAAATCCATCAGGTAACGGATGAAATCGGTCAAACTATTGTCGTTCGCTTCAACACGATCATCCGTCTTGGGTACGGCTACGACTTCGGAAATCCTTGTACGTCACCTTTCTTCGAGAATCATAGGTTCTTATCTTCTTCTGCACAGTTGTATGCTTTGAGCTCAGTACTCCAGCCCTATTGGAACAGGAAGAATTTTATCGCGCTATGACTGGTGATGATGCCCAAGACAACAGAAATTTCAGGCATCGTTTAGTGGGCTTGGACGAAGCACATAAGCGAATCGCGCCGTATGCCCATCAAGTGACCATTGAGGTGCTGTCACGTCATCATCTTACTGATATCTTGTTTGATAGCTTCGCATGGTCCTTGTTGACGAACCCGCACTCCGGACCTTCATTAACCTGGCTAAAGTAGCAGGTCTGCCTATGCCTGTTCACTGCAAACTTGAAGCATGCGAACGCGGGTTCTACACGACGGAGCGGCTTCGGCAAGTTCAAGGCGTGTTCAAACAGATGCAGTGGGCCGTTGCCTTTCAACTTGAGCTCCTCCTCCGGAATCGACTACTGACGTCGGATGAGTTGCTTTCGGACGACCTTTGGCCCAACATCCGCAGTCTATATGAAAACAATCCTCAGGCAGCCGCAGAGATTCTGCGGAGCTTTGCTGAGGCTGTTCGCAGCCGTGCATCCGGAGAAACACCCGGAGACTGTCTTCAGCGACTTTTACTGAAGCCAAGGACCGCCACTACGTGCCCCAGCGGCATGTTCTCCTGCTATCACATCACATTTTGTCCTTCACGGATGATTCTCGAGGGGCCATTCCCGACGCAAGGCAATCGGGTTATCAGGGAATACTCGGGATACGAAGAGCACTTCGTACGGGTCGACTTCCGCGAGGAAGATGGTTTGCAATACCGGTGGGACAGAGAGGTTGATTGTCGCTCCTTTCTGGCCGAGCGAGTCGGCAGGATATTGAAGGAGGGATTCGAGCTTGCTGGACGACACTTTCAATTTCTTGCTTACTCGTCTTCCGCATTGAAACAGCATGCAGTGTGGTTTGTTCATCCTTTTGAGCATCACGAAAAGGGTTCAGTGGACGCGTACATTATCCGTGATCGCCTTGGTGATTTCTCTGGGGCCATCGACAACAATAACGAGACACGGGATGCGAAAACCATCCAACTCAGAATGCAGCCCTCTAAATGTACGGGTTCTACCCAAGGTCACTAATTCGTTGTTCATTGCATTCATAGACGCTGCGCGCATGGCACAGGCATTCACTGCCACGGATCCTTCTGTCCGCATCAATGAGGACCAATGGCAAGAAATACCAGATCTAGGCAAGGAACCTCATCTGCATACTGATGGCTGCGGCACGATCTCTCGGAAGCTTGCCGACATGATATGGGCCGCGTTATGCAAGGATCGACCTTATTTCCAAGCTTGCAAGAGCTCTCCTGACTGCGTAAGGCACATCCGCACTTTTGGCTGCCACGCTCGCGCTAACATTTTCTACAGTACCAAATTCGTTTCCTGGTATGATTTTTGCATTTTTCCGTTGTCAGTGCCATTATATCCCATGTTCAGGGCTACAAAGGTATAGTCACCGTTGACGAGACGCTTGAGGGAGAGCAGATGTGCTTGCGTCCCTCGATGAACAAGTTTCGTGCCCATAAGACACCCTCCGCGGAAATCGAGATCGCCAAGCCGTTTTGGAAACCAACGCAGGTCAATCTGAACCGGTAGGGATTTTGATTCGAGACTTTTTGTTATTGATGCTGGCGTGTCTCATGTTCTGTTCTCGCCAGCGCTCTCATCATGATCCTTGAGGATAGGGGTGTCAGCTGGAAATGCTTCATGAAACTTCAAGACGAAGCAGTTCGGGACATCAATACCGCCAGCTTTTCCATAGACAACTTCGTTCGGATGCTTTCCGACAGAGGTGCTGGCCTGGGATCAAACTACCGGCTCCTATACATCATGAGGAATCTTGCCGAGCTTGGCTTTGATTTCAAGCAGCGACTCCGCGTGCAACCTCTGAGCCACCCCTTCATCCTGCGTCTGGTCGAGTTTATTCGGCATCACCTCCTCCGGTGAGTTTTCACGATTTTGCTCCACCAGCTCATGATTCCAGTTCTCTGGCAAGATTTTTCCTATTGCCCTGCCTTATCTGTTGATTCCAAGTATCATCGTCTAACTGCAACAACAGGGAGATCAAACATGGCGCAAGCATACCATTGCGAGATGCTTATCTGCTGCCTGGGGTCGCTGATGAAGGACCGGCGTACGAGGCACGGGGACACCAGAATGTGTTCAAATTGGCAGAGAATCGGATATTTGGTACGCCTGACGAATACTCGTTGACCATAACATAAGTACTGAATTTCGAATGGCCACAGCGTGTGTCCAGGGACCAGATGACGTCGAACCGAAATGGTTGAAGGGTAATTGCGTCATCTGGCGGAGTCCGGTCGTTCATCCCGGCGACAGTAAGCCATTCGCAATATTGAAGGATCCTGCATTGACTTCGTTGTGCGTAGTACAACGAGTGTATGCCATCGGAAAACCTCCCGAGGACCAGCTTTGCTTCTTCTCTCGCCTGAAGAATGTCGTGGTACTTCCATCTGTTGGTGCGCTTGCTTAAAGGTCCATAACATCGAATACCTCTAACGAGCGTCCAGGTGAACGCAGCTTGGCTAGCTGCCTAGGCGGTGGCGATCTGGATGGAGACGAGTACTGCGTCAGCATGCTTCCAACACTGCTGCCAACGGAACAGCAGCCGCCGGCTGAATATCCTCCTGTCGAAACCTTGACCCTGGATCGACCTGCTGAAATCGATGATATTTGGTGCGTACCATGAAATAAACCTGTACGCTCTCTGAGATCTCGCGCAGCGATTTCATAGTAGAATATGTCCATTCCGATGTTCTTGTAAGCAAACGTTCAAGGACATGTTGATGACAGACATTGAGCACTATATCCCATAGGGCTTGTTGTCAGACAAGCACCTAGTGATTGCCGGTACGCAAGTCTGATGGAGCAGAGACTAGATGACACTGACTGCAGTAATATCGTAGATCAATCCAAGGATGGTGTTCGTGACGAGAAATGTCTCCGTCTCGCCGAACTGTGCAGTCAGGCTGTTGATTATGCCAAGAACGGCATCGCAATCAATCTTGCGAAAGAGAAGCGGGCCATGAAACAGGTCAGTGCTAAGCACTTCTGACAAGAAATGGCTTCTGACAAGAAATTTGTTTTCTCAGCTCATCCCTTTCAAACCGGACTGGCATGTGAGTGAATGCGGTGTAATGCAGGCAGCTCACCTCTGAGTTGTGCCTTAGGCGGCAGAAATCATATCCCCTAGGTCAACCGATTACTATGAAAGCAGGTCCGCGAAGCATGTGGTGACGACGATGAAAGCGCTGACGCAGTCCTAGTCGCGCGTTAGGACATCTGTACCGCGAGATCCGGTTGACTGAGCCGGAGGAAGATTATCCTGAAGCTCATGGGGTTCACAACGCGATATCCGGTGCTCTGCGGAAAACCTTGAAACGGTTCGCGAAGACGGGTTTATGCCTGTCAGCTGAGACCGAGGCCCCGGATTGGGTAGCGCAGCTCTATGAATCCTACGTCAGTCTTGACCACCTGCTGTTTCTACCGTACTCTGATTTCGTACAAGGTCGCGGAGATGCGTTACATATGCAGCACTCATACACTCTTGACCGGTAACGGAAATCCGCTTGAAGAAGAAGAAGTGGTTGTTTCTACCATCCTCGCCAAATGCTCTCAAAAGCGCCTTCGGAAGGAGCGCGTTTTTCGCATGAAGGAACACAATCGCACGCTTGTCAATGATGTGCGTCACAAGCTATGGATTCATCCTTCGCATGCAGACATCGAGGAGCATCCGGACGCAAAGACGCAACGGCTTTACCGGTCGCTCGAAAGAGCGTGGACGGCATGGTGCTTGAGTGTCAGGAAACAGCACGAGTTTGGAGCCAACAGCTTCGGGCTTATTGCTCTCGCAATCATTTTCGATTGCAAAGAAGAGCTGGAGTGTCTGATCCTGAAGTGAGGTTGAAGCACGTAAGCGGCGTTCAATCTACCGAACGACATCGTGAATGACGAAATGTTTTGTTACCAGATCGACCACCTCTCATGTACTATTCACGTCCTGATTCTGAGAGACTCGCTATGAAGTGCTTTACGCTGTCTTATCGCTTGCTGTCCTTGCTCGTGTTATTTCCGTGTATGTCCTGTGTGTGGGTTGTCGAAACATTGCCCATGCTTCAACAACACGCAAAAACTGTGATTGCAACTTGTAACCTATACAACTTGCTAGTAGTTCAATGTCTCCATCAAGGCGTCCATGATCCTGAGGGCGTCCGGTACATAAAACTTCTCATACTGAAGCCCTACCGGTGTGTCCCATCCCGTCACCCTTCGCACAGGTGCGCTCAATTTAAGGAAGCATCGTTTCTGAACCTCGGCTGCAATCTCGGCACCGACACCGGCCGTCGGGCCTGCCTCGTGAACGATGACCAACCGACCTGTCCGGTTTACGCTGGCGACGACGGTGTCAACATCCCAGGGGAGTATTGTACGAAGGTCAATGAGTTCGACGCTAGCGGAGCGTAGAGAGGCAGGGACATGTGACGATATCGACTCCGGTGGATCCGCAAGCATCGAGAGTGCATTATGACAGGTGTAGACTGGAGTACCCCAAGAGAGCACAGTGAGGTCAGAACCCCGCACCAGTGTCTCTGCTGTTGAGAGCGGAAGCATGAAGTCGTCGATTGGGACCTGTTCCACCGACGACCGATAAAGAATCTTGGGCTCCATGAAGATTACCGGATTTGGGTCACGAATGGACGAGAGTAAGAGGCCCTTGGACTGCAGGGGCGAGCGTGGAATGACCACTTTGAGTCCCGACGCGCCCATGAAGAAGCCCTCCGGGGATTGAGAATGGTAGAGCCCTCCATGGCCAACGGACATCGTGGGGCAGCGCACCGTTAAACCACCGACGTTGAACTGCCCTCCAGAGCGGTAGCGATACTTGGCGGCCTCGTTGACTAGCTGCGATGCAGGGCAAGTCAGCGTACGCTTCTGTGCGATGGAATAGGCACGAGACATACCTGATCGAAAGCGGGGAAGATGTAGTCAGCGAACTGTATTTCTGCTATCGCGGTGTGACCCATAGCTGCGAGGCCGATCGCGAAGCCAGCGATGCCCTGCTCGGTAAGGGGCGTATTGAACACCCGTTCGCGACCGAACTCTTCAGCGAGACCCTACGGAGTGTGGCAATGGCATGAGCCTAGTGACAAAGAGATCATACGGGGAAGGATGAACCATTGTACACCTGAACACGCCGCCGAAGGCAACATCCTCGCCAAAGACAACAGCAGTATCATCTTTGGTAAGCGCAATGCTCATTGCATCGCGAACTGCCTGGCACAGATGAATTCAGTCCTACCAGTTTGGTCGTGCTAGTGGGGGGCCTAGCATACCTGGTACATGTTCATCTTCCGCGTCTCCCGTCCTGTGAAGGGATCACCCGGGTCATCATCGTGCCATTGCAGTCCTGGAGTTCGTAACGCTTGATCGCGTGTGTGCTTGAGTACTGTGCGCGTGAAGTGCGAACATCAGCGTCCCTGAGCAAGAAGTGTGGGGTAAACGGGATACGGACGCGGGGAGGTGGCAATTGATGGCGAATGGCCGCCGGCTGGCGGCGTCGACACGGAGGCCTGAGCAGCGCCGACATCGGTGCTCGCGGTGGACGACTGCCAGCGACGTGCTCGGCATCTGCAGGTAGTGAGTGTCCGCTGTGCTCTCCGCCTCGCGAGCGTCGTGAACGACATGGCTCAACCTGCTGTATCCAAGATCCGGGCGTGGTCCCACTGAACGGCATTTCACCGGGCGAACCTGCCGGACGTCATACTCCTCACATCCCGGGCCTCGCACCCGCCGCGAAGACCGTCCGATGGAGAACGATTCGACGTTCGTCGCGCCCGAAGGCGTGTACTCGGTCACCGAGGAGCACAAGCCCACGTCGCACACCATCAATGCCGTCCCAACGCTGTACCCCACGAAGTTGGCCACTGCTGTCGTGCGGTTCCCGGCCGCGAAGAGCGCGGCACAGGGACTCGCTCATTTACTTGGAGGCGGTGGGAACAGGGATAGAGACGGGAAGAAGGAGAAGGCACTCCGCCCTGAGGATGCGAGCATATCCAGCAGCGACACGGAAGACTCGCCCTCACAATCCAACCCCGATGCATCCACCTCGATCTCACCGGAGTCCACGCCCCAGACGCTCTTCTCGCCGTCCAGACCATCTACCGGTCGTCGGCGCACGGCGACGCGCCCGAAGCACAACATGCGAACAACGAGCTCCACCTTCATTACCCGTCTACATACCGTGGAGGGCCTGACAAGGGTACTTCAGAGCAAGTCGGGCGACGTGACTTTCCTATTCTACAATTCGGCCAAGAGCTTCTTTTGGACGGAGGCCGGCAGTAAGGCCAAGGTAAGGCCTGACTCAAATCTGAATGGTGCAGTTGCTGAAGTAAGGGCATCACAGGAACCGTTGGCAAGGATAACATTTTCAGCATATCCCACATGTCATGACGTGAATAGGGCGACGCTATCTCCCGACCGAATGGACGTAATCATTGGCTTCACCACTGGCGACCTGGTGTGGTTCGGTGAGCGGTACTGGCAGCCTTCCGGTCACAGCAGCATTTATTCATGCTGACGTTCCCTGCCAGACCCCATAACCTCGCGCTACGGTCGGCTGAACAAAGGGGTGAGTGCATCAGTTCGGGCAGTAAGGAGCGTTGGCATTAATCCTGAGACCAGGGGTGTATAACCTCGTCGCCATGCACCGCGGTTCGCTGGGTACCCCAATCACCTACGCTCTTCCTCGTCTCTCACGCGGACGGGACCATTCTTGTCTATGACAAGGAGCGGGAGGACTTCGCGTCGTTCGTACCGTCAGAACCCGTAGGTGAGGACGGAGGGGAATGGGACCCGAATACCAGCGCCTATGTGACGATGCCGCCTTGGCATCCTGCGGCGGGTGCGAACATGACCGGAGGGATGGACGAGAAGGATAGGAAAGAGAAGGATAAGGCGAAGAACCCAGTGAGCCACTGGAGGGTTTCCAAGAGGAGTATTGTAGGTAAGTCCTTCATCTCCGTTCGGGTGCATCGAGTATCTCATGGATGCATCGGCGCAGATTTCGTGTTCTCCCCTGACGTCAAGTATGTCGCGGCAATTTCAGAGGACGGGTGTCTGAGGATCATAGATGCGCTGGCAGAACAGTGAGCCCCGATACCTTCGTGCTTTCGAGCTTCCGTCAACAAAGTCGGACAGGCTTATCGACTGCTATGCCTCGTACTTTGGCGCGTTAACGTGCGTTGCATGGTCCCCTGATAATCGGTTCGTCTTAGTACGTCCCGTATCCTCGGCTATATCGTCTTTTGCTGACCCACTGTTAGACCGGCGGCCAAGACGATCTCGTTACAATTGTCTCTCCCTGGGAACAGCGCGTAATTGCGCGGTGCCAGGGGCATTCTTCGTTCGTATCAGCAGTCGCATTTGATGACCTCCGTTGCGATGGTCGAACGTACCGTTTCGGGAGCGTTGGGGAGGACAATAAACTTATACTGGTATGAATACTTGCCGAATTGTACCTGTTCCCCGCTTACACACAACTCGCCATAGTGGGATTTCTCGAGCGGTGCATTACATCGACCGAAGTTACAAGGCAACGCCCATCACCAGCGCATGTCCATGTCTTCTACCGTGTCGCTCTCGATGGCGGTCAGGTCACGGCTGAACCTCCCCCCGGGAGCCATGGATGCTATGTCTCGGTATCACCCTGCGCCATCGCGGAACGAGGTCGCAGTGGTGCAACCTGTACTTGTACGTCCCCCCGTACTTGCTTCAATGGCGACTACTGATCCGGCGCATATAGGTGAAGCACCTCGAAAACGACATCCTTGTCGACATCGCCTTTCTTCCGCGAGGTATGCTCACGTCCACAAAAACGGGGCAGATAAAACTGTGGATACGCCCACTTGCGATGCGCTCGCGGCAAACGAGGAATGGGCATCGAGGCTATGCGAGCGCAGATACTAGTGATTTGATATGATCGCGCGTAGCCACTCCAGAGAGGATCTGATGAGGAGGGCTAATGTAAGATTGTGCTTTTGGCTTATTATGTTTACTGGTATGATCGTATGCTTAGACGCACATATTTATATCCGGTATTCCATTATATGGGGCGAACGGATGTGGCATTAAAGCTCGTCGTCCATGTATTCGTCTTCTGCGTCGTCTGCAGCATCCATATCTTCCATGTCTGCGTCGAGATCCTCGCCTTCTTCATCTTCTTCGTCCTCGTTGCTCTCGTCCGGGTCGGTAGCGTCCTCGGACTCTGAGTCCCGATCGTCATCGTCAGAGCGGTCTGAGGCTGAACCAGTCCCTTCCGTGTTGGTCTCGTCGTCGTCCGCCTGAGAATCGAGTGAGAGTTGGATAGCATCGTGAGCGGAGATGTACGCACATCGTTCTTCTCTTCCGCCTGCGTGAGCGTCTTCCCAAGCGGAACATACCAGCTATAACCCCGATTCTTGACCGCAAGATTCTACGATTTTCACAGCTCATCAGCAGCAATATCTTCTGTGGTCGAAGTCAAGGCTTACCAGATCCTCAAGATCAGCTTCCTCCTCGCTCAATTGTTCCATTTCGCGCCAGATGTCCCGACGGTGGTTCATCCTGTGCGGAACATGATCGGAGGGCGGCAAGGGCGTCGGGCAGCCAGGCGCCAACGGAAAGCGAGGCAAAAGCGTCGGAAAGATCTTGGAACGTGGAAGGACGGTCGCGGTCGCGGTACTCATCTGCAGGTCATCGAGCAAAGGGCTCAACCGACGCGTCGAGGAAGAAACGCGACCTGAGGTGGCTGTGCGTCGCATCCTGCCAGTGTTGCTCCAGTCTGACCGTTGACGTCGTGTTGAGTACTACCGAGGCTTTGGCTAGCTTTGGGCACCGATATTTCCTTCAACAACTAGCCTGAGGGGCTCACCACCACGAGCCTGCTCTCGTTGTTCCTTTGGCTGACAATAAATCACTGCAGCAGACAACGCGGTCAGCGCTCAAACAATGGACTTCTTGGAGCTCAACATCCACCAACTGGTCCTTACCGATCTCGCGAAGAATATCGGGGAATGCAAGGACGTGAACCAAGATGCCGGTATCTCGGACACGATAGACTTGGTCACATCAAAGCTCAAGACCAGACATGTCGGTCCCGTCAACGGTTTCATGACCGATGAGGTTGAGGAGGACAGCGAAGAAACGAGGGTGTTTATGGCAAGTCTTGACTAGCTCGTACACTCTGCTCCTGGCTTAGTCTATAATATAGACCGAATCACGTATTCGTTGCAACATTGGATATGGGGAGCTCGCGACACAATTGCCCGACCACTATATATCGAATACGATCCCAGCCTTGGTCGACATCATCAGAGATATACCATACATCGATTTCGATCATTGCCTGTCATGGGAAGGTACGCCTCTGCTATGCGACGCTTGGGTCCGTGCTCATATTTTCCATAAGAGTGGGCACTACCCGACCAATTGGTGTTCACAACCGTCTCTGCGCTGCTACGCCTAGGTGACAAGCATGAACCGTATCGTGCTGCAGTAACGACCTCGATCTTCAGTCTCGCCAGCAATCTGGTAGCCAAGTTAAAAACCGAAGATTGTGAGCGTGAAACCGGCTTTCGTAACTATATCTGACGTGCAGTACCTACAGCCATATCAGTATTGACCCAATACGCCCCTTCATTTCACGGACTGTATCGAGCACTGATATCCACGCATTTCCCTTGGTCCACGCCTGATTGGCATACTCTTTCCGCCGCCCTTCGCCCCTTGTTCGCCACTGAGGTTGTGGAGCGTCTCAACCGTCTGCTCGTCGACATCCTCAGATCCGAAGACATAGATTCCGAGGCTCTTCAGTTCATACAAACTCTGCTGTCAAGATACGTGAGCCGCGGGCGTCCTCTCACGGGTTACTTCCTCGTGTGCTGCGCCATTGAAACACAGTGGACCGTGCTCGCGCAGTCGATCTGCGACTTCGACGATAGCAAGGAGGGGGGATATGCGAATGGATCTGTGAAGCTGAGAGATGAAGAGAAAGAGGACCCGGAGGCGGCCGCCGCTAATCGGGCTTGGCTAGCGCTTATGCGAGGCGCTGTTCGAAGTCAGGACGATCTGCCTCAGAAAATCATGGACGCGCTGAAACTGGCAATCACGAATGCAATGCAATGTTTCACTGATTTCCTGGTGCAAATCGAGGATATGGATCAGGAGCCGTCGGAGGATTCGTATGCATGGGAAACAATGTCTGAAAGCTTGGTGCGCACGTCTCTGGTACGATAATCCAATGACTAATCTGTCGTCTTCAGAAACTTGCGGCTGTCTGCTGTGCAGCCTTGCAAACCCTTGATCCCGATCTGTATTCTCGATTGAAGCTCCTTCTCAGCGAGGAGTCACCTATCTCGGATAGCCTCGTACAAGAATCGGCCTTGAAGGCTACCACGGTCATAGTACAGAAGTGAGCTCAGCACATTGAACGATGCCTCAATTGGTCTAATTAGACTTCAGTTTCCCGGAAATCGCTGCGTTGATGGCACATCACCTGCGGCGCTTCGTTACGGCACCCCTCCCCATCTTCGAAGTCGAATTTGCGTCCGAGACCCGGACACCACCTCCCCTCGCCGCAGCTGCCAAGTGCCTAGCTCTCTGCATCACGTTGTCTCCCGGTGATGATTCCGTCCTATCGAACATGTACTCCCTCCTCAACTACATCGCTGCCACAAGCAAAGAAGTATTCGACACCTCGAACTCTCTACATGCAGCTGGAATATCTCAATACGTGTCCACGTCGGATCACTCCACGTTACACTCGGTAGAAACAGGCCTGCGGGGTTTGTCAGAGGACGAGAAACGGTTGATCGGGATCAGTACGATATCCGTCGTGACCAAATTGGCGCTGGAGTTCGACATGGACGAGGTAACGAGGTTGACGGTATCGATGCTGCTTCAGCGGCTACGCTCGGCAGAGCCCTCGGTAGAGGCAGCTATCGCATACAATCTTGTTGATCTGGCACTGGCAGCACCGGAAAACTCCTTCGTGGATATCGTCCGGTCCTTTTCTGCGATTAATAGGTCCGCAAATCCGGATGATCCGCGGTTCTCGAATAACATGGTGGCGTCTGTCTGAACCTCTTGAGTGATGACAAACTTACCAGATTGTTGGTTCCATAGGTGCTTGCGGCGCAGACGAGACTGGCTCACGAGATGCACCGACGCCCAGATTTCTCGGAGGTGTATCTCGTGGAACTCCTGACCCTGTTCAGCGACAAGGGTGTGGCAATACAGAATGTCGCAGCGGCTAATCAGCACGTTAAGGCGCGTTCGTATGTTGAACGATGCATGATCTTGGCGCTGAAAAGAGGCGATAGACTGAGGACATGATCGAGCAACTGGCCTCTCTTCTTCTGCCAATCGAGGCTCTGCTCAGCCATGATGACTTCAACCCTCATCTTGACGCTGCACCTGCCCTCGTTTCGTTGTTCCGGAACATGTGGTTCCTCTGCATCCTATTCAGGTTCACATCGCCGGACGAGATGGAACATCTCGCGATGGAATGGCTCAAACCTGCGTTGGTCCGGATCGCAGAGAAGACGCCACCTATAGTATTGGAAAATGCTCGAGATTCATTGGCAGGAGATATCGAGTACAACGCTGTCATCCGGCAGGAGTACGCGAATACAGTAAGTTACGCCAGCGGCAAGCTACATATTGCTCACCGAACGGACGATAGGCGATCGCACAGCACAAGCAGCTGTTGACGAGCTATATCACGCTCAGGTCAAGCGAGATTCGATATCTCGTTCCAGGGCACATCATACTCCTACTCACCATGCATGATATGGAAAGTATGCGCTCGGCTTCTGGACTGCCTTCTTCGTTGGTTTCGTACTTCACCAACAGCAGCATCAATAAGCATCAGGGTCTCAGTGCTTGCATGGATGCTATCGCCGAAAAGGTCCGCAAGGTGCTTCGTATTACGATCATGGTCGTCCTGAATAGTCTTGCAGGTCATCAGGGGATGTGTCACCGACTTGAATACACAAGCCGCTGAACAGGCTCTTCCTGAAGCACTTTCTCGGGAATTACGTACCCTCCTGGTCTCGAGCGCACATCGAATTGAGAAAGCTCGCGACGTCGCTCTGAAGTTCTTGAACCGCCTGATCACCTCGTTCCCGTCTTTGATGTGTGACCCACCCTTGGTGTTTGCAATCCTTGAGGTCCTCACGCTTCTTCGACAAGCCTGCGAGAACGAGTACATCGACGAGGTGAATCATCATGCCACTCGCGCAGTACACCTGCTGAACCTCCCAATAGTTCAACCCTATTTACGAGTTCTCTTCACCGCACACGGGAATCGCGCTCCAACTACCAGACAATTACGCAGTGCGGAGGGACATGCTTATTCAGCTGCAACGTAACGCGACGAACTGGTTTGAGCTGGCCTTAGGCCGTGCGCCTGTGGAGCTGCAAGCCACTTTGCAGGTACGTCGACGTGCAATTTGCGACATGTTCGACGATCGACGGCCTTGCATAGAAATATCTGATGGTCAACCAATCGACTTCCTTCTCGGATGCGGCGGACCTCGGTGCCACGATTGCACAGAAATTTAGCAAAGCCATCGGTCCAGCAGAGCGGCAACTATGTGAGCTTCGCTCCTTGTTTGATGATGATTCTCAACTCATTGCATGCAGCGTCCATGTCTGGAATGTCTGGTCTAAAGGCCGATCGAGCGAAACTGCTTTCGAGCGAAACTGCGTTCAAAGCGTACTTCGCCGGAGAAGCTTCCGGTTCCCGACTCGCAAATTTAGGTATGGATGGATGTGCGCTGAACCAATGTTTGGCATTTATTGTGTTTGTAGGCTATAAGCAGATGGAGAAAATCGCCCATGAGCCTGCTGCTGCTGAGGACGCTCAAGCCTTGAAGGGATCCGCAAAAAGGATTTTGCAGGACATCAAGGCTAAGAACAGTCACTTGACTATCCGCGAACTCAAGCGTATCCTCTTCCGTTGCGCTGCCATGGTGATCTCGTTGGAGCACGTGGGTTTTTCGACTTCACACTTGATCCTGAATACTGACTATCTCTGTAGTGCGACCATGACTTGGTTCACTACATAGTGGCCATTCCGTTCGAGGTGTTCACGCCCTCCTCGATCTCCTCCGGAATCGAAGCTTGGACCTGGGCGATAGCGGAAAAACCCGACTTCGAAGTTGCGCTCATGACCGAAATCACAGCTGCATGGTCGCAAACTGTCGTGCAAGAGCGTGGACTCTTTTCATCGGCAATTAAGTAGGCACTCCGTGGGCCTGAGCGGAACCATGTGTGACTTGTACATTGTTCAACAGTGCGGTTGATCCGTTATCTCGGAACATTGACTATAGTCCAACGGACAGAGAAGGCATCGAACGTTCTGCGGCAACCGCCCGTCGCCTCTTGACGCCACATAATCTTGTCATCCAGATGCTACTCAGCCGCCTGCAAGCCGCGCGATATCGCAAGCCTGGTTTGATGTTGCTTATTCAGCGCCTTGTTTTACGCTCTGCCAGAGCTCATCCCAGCCTAAGGTACGCAACAAGGCCCTTCGCATGCCCGTCAAGCTGATAGATGGACAGCACGCATCCTTTGGCGCGGGAGCCTCGGTTTTCATTCTTGTTGTTCGGGTTCGAGACTCTGCGCAGCTCACATTTGGATACGTACTGCGAGCATTCATTGCGTGAAGCGATATACTCAGCCGCCTTTTCATGGTTTGCTGTGAGACCTCAGTAAGCGGTTCCACTCATGTTGCACGATAAGAGGTAATGATGTCCTCTCTCCAGATGGTCGTTCGGATCAAACAGAGTTCAGCTGGACGTGGACGTCAAGGTTCTTTCGGAGTTTCTCTCCTACTTGCAGACAGACACCATTCGCGGCACCTTCCAAACGACTAGTTTGTCGAACAATTCGCCGACGGGCCGCATATCTCGTTAGTCACGTCATCTGTCGCCTCGTGACGGATCATACTGACTGACGTGTCTGTACAGAGTACCTGACACGGCTGAAGAGTTCTAACCAGCTACTCCGTCTACTGGTGGAGGACGATCTCTACAGACTCACAGTATGGTCCAATCCTACCCACGATCTGAAGCGGGGTGGCGATCATCTAGGCACAACTGATCGCACGATGACCGACGTGAGATATCTCAATGACTGATAGTCCTACAAGACTTAACCAAGGGCCTTTAGACAAGCTGGGTGGCTGCAGTGCGTACTGCCTGGCAGCTGGATCCTTCCGTCGCAGTGCACCTCGCGGATCGCTTCAGCCGCCAATCCGTTCAACAAGAAGTTGGGCGGTTGGTTCGGTCGAACACACGGGAAGTGCTTGATTCGCCTGAAGCTACTCGCTTCCTACTGGTTGACAGGATCAGTCCCAAGAACAAGCGAGATTTGAAGGTTTGTCTGCATCTGACCTACCATTCGACGAGCATCTCACCTCGGAGTTTCGACGTAGCATCTCCTCCTATGGGTCCCCGTTCCGCCTGTTGTTGCCATCGAGTGTTTCCAGGATCACAATAGGACCGATCCGCTCGTCTTGCAATTTGCGCACAGAGTGCTAGAACAGCATCCAGTGGAGCTCACCTTCTTTTTCGTCCCGCAAATCGTCCAAGCATTGCGGTACGATGAACTCGGTATGTGTTGCCATCCGGGTGCATGCCAGTGCTGACCCGTGGGCAGGCTACGTATCTCGTTTCATCTTCGAGACTGCGAAGGTGTCGCAGCTTTTTTGCCATCAAATCGTGTGGAACATGAAGGCAAACTGCTACAAAGACGACTTGGGCGAAATCGTGGGTCGACTTTCTGTCACTTGGTCCTGCCTCTGATGACCGCACAGGAGGACCCATTGAAACCCACGCTCGATCGCATGACTGATATGGTGGTCTCGTCGTTGTCAGGCGAGGCCAAACTATTCTATCAACGGGAATTCAGTTTCTTTGGCGAAGTGACCGCCATATCGGGGAAATTGAAGCCATTCATTAAGAAGACGAAACCGGAAAAGAAGGTATGCGGGATGTCTTCCGCCTGGTGTAGTCGCTTAATCTGTTCTCTTTCAGGCCAAGATAGACGAGGAAATGGCAAAGATACAGGTGGAAGTCGGGGTGTATCTTCCCAGTAACCCAGATGGCAAGGTAATCGACATCGACCGCAAGTCAGGACGCCCACTACAGAGCCACGCGAAGGTAATCCATCGGATGTGTCGTGGGTCCCTGGCTGATGAGAGCCTCGTAGGCGCCCTTCATGGCCACCTTCAAAGTACGCAAGGATAGGACCGAGATTGTCAAGGATCCGGAGTCAGAAATGGATGAGCAACGGGAAAGCAGGGTTGAATACGATGTCTGGCTTCAAGCAATCTTCAAGGTCGGGGATGACTGCCGTCAAGACGTGCTTGCTCTCCAGATCATTGCAATGTTCAAGAACATCTACAGTGGCATTGGCCTGGCATTGTACCTCTTTCCTTATCGTGTTACTGCCACTGCACCAGGTGTAAGTCTTCCTTTCCTCAACTCTGCATCCTTCTCATGCGCTATCAGTGTGGAGTCATCGACGTAGTTCCCAATGCCACATCCCGAGATGAGATGGGTCGTGCCAAAGTCAATGATCTCCTTGGTTTCTTCATCGCGCGATACGGCGGCGAAGACACGATAGCCTTCCAGAAAGCGCGGCTGAACTTCATACAATCTATGGCAGCATATTCCGTGGCCTGCTACATCTTGCAGATCAAGGATAGGCATAACGGCAACATTATGATCGACGGCGAGGGGCACATCGTCCACATTGGTTGGTCCGATTTACTTGGTGAAGGTGGACATAAATTGACATGGCCTTGCAGACTTTGGCTTCCTCTTTGACATAGGACCCGGGGTAAGCGAACAACGTGCCTCAACCTGATGCCTCAATTCATTTCCTACGCAGGGAGTGAAATTTGAGCCCAGTTCCTTTAAGCTTACCCACGAGATGATTGTTCTCATGGGTGGAAGATATTCACAAGGATATCAGGTTTTCCAGCAACTCACGGTCAAAGCATTCCTTGCCTTGCGTCCATATACAGATCAACTCGTCAGCACCGTGCAACTGATGCTCGATACTGGGCTTCCATCCTTCAAGGGAGAGCCGACAATCAAGCGCCTTCGTGATCGGTTTGCACCTGGTTTGAACGAGAGACAGGCTGCTGAGTGGATGATGGGCGTTGTGCGCAATGCACAGGAGAATGTGCGAAGCACTGTATATGATGAATTCCAACGGGTACGTCTTCTGCCCCACAATCAACAGCCTTCATGCTGATAATTGTCCGAATCAGTTGCAAAACGGTGAGCGAAACAATAATTCTATGTGTCAATCGAGACTTAGCGAACGACAGGTATTCCATATAAGTGATGCACACTGTTTTCAAAGGGCACCTCATATTGGCGAAAGCACTGGATCTCCTTGTTCGTGTACCCATAGATCTTGTTTCACCCGACTTGCTGTCAGTGCTGTGGTCTCATTATTATCGATTACCGTCGACATTGTGTAACTCTCTAAGAGGCTAGTCGAAGTATTGTGTGTGAACAGGAGCAGTGCTGATGGACAATTTCTCACTGGAAGGGCGCCGCGGTCGGCGCGATACCTCGCTTGACGATGGGTGCTTTGAATACAGACGTTGCTGAGGAATTGTCATTACGTAGCACATCTAGTCAAGTAGTTTTCCGTCAAGCGAGAGAAATGCAAATGAGTGAAAGATCTCGTCAAGCTTAGTTTGATAATTAATTAACTAAAATTTGAGTAAAGGCACTTTGGCTGAGTGGTTAAAGCGAGAGATTCGAATGGTGACAACCGTGAGAAATATCTCTTCCTCTCTGAGGGCGCAGGTTCGAATCCTGCAGGTGTCGATTCCTTTTGACAGTTTATTTCGTCAATGTCATCCTTTACACCTGAACACGGAGAGATGTGATTGTTCTCGACACGATGGCGTTCGGTGAGCGGTCCATGGTTTTTTTCACTCTCCAGGGTCGCTGGAGACTTTCTAACACGTGACTGTCCCGTGATTTTAGACGTGCTTCATCAAAAGCATTCTCTCCATCTCTCAGCATTGCAGCCATGGGTGAGCAATGTAGTAGCGCTTGTCTTGCTGCCATCGAAAATCACACGCGATGGTCCCTAACAGGTCTCTCTATATGGCTGGTCCCAGGTCAAAATGAACGCTCTTTGATCAGTAGCGCGATGCCAGTCCGCTCAAACGAAAGCACCGCGCCCTCATCATATCCCAAGTTCGAACCGCATATTACCCTGTGCAGCGTTCCTGCCAAACCGGACGCCAGAGAAAAGCTCGATGCGCTCTGTGCGTCTGTACCGTCTCGATCAAGTTTTCCGGTGCGGTTCAGGTCCCTGGAACGAGGACCGACGTTCACGCGTTCCGTGTTCATCTCTGTTCACCTCGACACGGAGCTGCGTACTCTAGAAGAACAGATAAGACTATCGATAAATGCGGCCGACGTAGGGATTCAGCTCGAGGGACCCCCACCATCATACCCTCACATGTCGTTCGCATACATTGACGACGAGGAAGTCGATGAACGAGAGAGGCTGCTGAATGCACTGCTGGATCAACGTGTCGTGAAACAATTGGAGAACTGCGTCGCGCTGCAATGTGCAGGTGCCCACGAACAAAAAGGATTCATGGCTCGAGAGGTGTGGATTGTTGACACGAGTCCACCGGTAGAGAAATGGGAAATATTGGACAGAATCATATTGCAGTGAGTGGAGCAGGGTCGGCAGAGTGGGGTGAGGATAAGTACATACAAGCTTACAATTACAAATGGACAATCGTGTCGCAGCAATTCACGTTACCCTGGATATGCGGTATCTGGTGTTTACGGCTCGACGGAGAGCTCGCTCGCGTTGCCGCCGAGGCTAACCCAGCTTTCGGTCATAACAGGCTCTTGCTCCGTGTTGCTCTCGACGTCTGCTTCCGAGCCTGACAACGATTCTTGCTCGTGGTCGTGGTCGTGGTTTGACGGCGCTTGCGGACCACTACCATGCGAATCGGTGTTGTCTTGCGTCGGCTTCGCAGAAGATGTGACTGGAGTTTCTCGAGGAGCGACGGGGGCAGACGGTGGGGCGGAAGGTATCGCTACACGTGGCGGAACCGGAAGTAAGGCATTCCTGAGGCCAATAAGCAAGTGAGGGATATTGAGGATCAGATCCAAGACGGAGATGGGTAGATACGATGCAAGCGCATATGTTCCGGCTATAAGAGTCAGATCGAGTCAATACGTTGGAAGATAGAACACCGGATGTATGCATACCTCCCGCACCAACCACAACACGGTTCCCGCGGATCCAGTTGAGGAGGCTCCCAGAGACGATTCTCCATCCCATGTAACCAGGGTCCCGCGGTCGGCCCCCATTTACGATGTCAACCACGGTCCGAGCATATTTCCGAGCGTCTGTGGGTTTACGAGAGGTCCTGCGACGATCCTTGGGCCGCGGCATCGAGGCGTTGTCCGACAAAACCAACGAACGCTCGGTAACCTCGGGCATCCTGGGACTGGGAACGTCGATGGCGCCGATATCGACGACGACGACACGCGTATCCGTGCTTGCGGGTAGCGATCCTGCCACTGAGGACGCTCTCAACTCCCTCCGAAGCACTTCAGCGCCGCGAAGGGTTGCGGCCGCGCTCATAGCCTTGGCCGCGGCAAAGGGCAGGCCGATACGGGCATCGGTCGCAGGAACGCAGAAGATGATGGACTTTGATCCTGCCAGCCCATAGTAATCGCGTTCGCGAGCCCTGTCCCGAGCGGAAGTTGAGCGCAAAAGAGGCAGTAATGCCTGAATCGCTTGCAATGGGGTGATGTGCGTGGCGGTGAGGTAAGAGTGGTAGGCGCTGTCGATCGGGAGATTCTCGAAAGTCGAGGTCGAAGGCGTTGGGCTCTGAGAGGGGAGGGTCAAGAGCGATATGATGGAGTGCAAGTGGGGCTGAGCTGAGGGTGATACGTGAGGATCCCCCGACGCAGACAATGGGAAACGCCTGGAAAGTGCCGAGGTGAGAGACCTGGAAAAGAAATGTATCGTCGCGGGCTGCAAGGTACAAACATGAGTACGGTAGCCATGGCCGAATACAACCAACCTCACCTCGCTAGGGTCTAGCACCAAAGCTCGGACATAGCCATGACATTTGCGTTCGAGGGCGTCCGCAGCCTCGGGCGTGCTCACGCTGGCGATCACAATATAACCTTGACGTTCCAATTCCAGGATGAGGGGCAGTCCTAGCGGTGTATCCCCTCCGAGAACGACTGGATGCAACTGGTGAGGTTTTCGTCTAGGTGTATCGACGTGTACGCGGACGTACCCACAACCAGCCTTCTCTCCCCGTTAGACGATACCCATAACCTGGTCATCCGGGCCGTTCTCTGCAAGGAGACGACACTATACCCCGCGAGTAGACCGACGCCAACGACTCCCAGGCCGATGGTCGCTGCCTTGTACGGATGATCTCGCGACCAATCCGCCGCGTTCTGTATCCAAGTCTTCGGTGGAGGCGGCGGCGGCGGCGGAGGCATCTCAATCTCAAAGTCGCTCAGCCCAGGGATCTTCTTCATCTCGGACACCGCTGTCGGCCACAATCGATTGACATCAGCCCAGAGGCGACCGAAAGCCTCCCTCACGATGGGCAAGTCGGGGGTCACAGCGTGCACAGACGAGACGACGACATCTTCGATGTACTCGACGTACTCGTCGAGCTGAGGTACCATGGTCAGGAAGAGAGGCGGAGTCTCTTGTCGTGACCTGAAGCGCGGGAAATCACAGCAAGATCACAACGTATGTGGGTAAGTAAGCTCGCCGAGACTCAGATCAAGGCGCGCGGAGGCCCACCTGGACACAGCCAGTGGAGTAACGCGCATTCGAACCCAGACCATAGTGACTGTTATATATGTTCATTGCGAGTAATGTGTACATGTTGTCTACTGTCATTCTTGAACGCGGTATTACAGGCGCATTATAATATCCATAGTACAGGGGGCAATTATGGGTGAGGAGCCAGGAATGCGAAGGGGAGGATAAATAGGCGTAAGGGATAATGCCGATGCAAGTGATATAAGTTATTTGCTGTCGTCCGGCGGGACATAAAGCGGCAGAGGCTCATCGAAGTCAAGGCGGCGTGTGCCGTTGGTGTGGAACAACTGTGAGTAAGCGGGAAGGCTCGCAGTCGAAGTATACAGCGATGCCGTGGAAGGAGAACTGAGCATCCGCGTAGTGCAGTTGTCGGTAGGATTGGGGCTGGCGCCAAATGGGTGATTGGATGGGGATTCGTGGACATGGACGAACGACAAGGGGACGGCGAATCGTAGATTTTCTTGAATGCGCGAAGCCTGACCATCAGGACCTGGATGATCTCTGTCGTACGTGCACGTCACCGAAACGGACAGTCGATGGGTGACAGTAAGATGTGGTCCTTCGTACGTTTCTCGGATAACCTCTTCGCCCGCCCAGTGCTCCCCGTGCTCCTTGTGTCGCGATTGAACGTCGGAAACGCGCGTAAACGGCAAGGTCGTATCCACAGTGTACCATGCCTTGTCATCCGTCGGGGCATTCTGGTTTGAGCGGAAGACATAGCCGTCGCCTTTCAACACGAATCGACCGGAGTGTGAAAATGGAAGGAGGGAGAACACGCGGGACGTGCTGGATCCGGGCCTGAGAGCTAGGTCCATGTCGTACAGCGTAGCCAGAGGGTGCTGGCACGGGAGTGGCTTGAGAGGCCACTGTTCGTGAGCTGGTAGTAGCGGATAGCGCGCTAGATAATGGGGCGAAGGGTCATTCCTGGAAAGAAGATTAGACCCGTATTTTGCGCTACATAGGCCTTTCATGCGCACCTGAATTGCTCGACCTGCTCGATTTCGACAGAGAAAAGGACAATCCGCAGCCTGTTTCGCTCCTCGTCCGGCAGATTGTTGACGCGGAAGAGAATCTTGAACGGGATTGGCGTCTCGTGTTCAAGATTGATGTGCTCTGGAGCTGTGACTACAACTTGGAGCTCCTTTAGAACGGCCGGCGGAATGCGAGAGTTATCATGATCCGGGCCAGCCCCAAATCCTTGCACATGGAAAGGTGTGAGAGGGAATCCCGACGTTGGAGAGGACCTTCCAGGAACAGGATAGGTGCGATTTAGGACGATGCCGTGCGGAGACGCGCTGACAACTCGCGTCTTCGGTAACATGGGACTACAAAGCTGCATGAGCGAGAACGAACTCTGCGCCCGATCGTCCAAATTTCTAAACCGAGCAGTAGCTAGCAGGTAATATCGGACTCCAGTGGCACCGGTGCTCGTGTCGCCAAACGTTGAACTCGCAGGTAACCATCCAGGTATGGGGATGTTGAAGACGACGTTCCAAGCACACATTTGCTTGTCATCCTCGTGTCCTTCGTTGCTGATCTCCGTATCGTCGCTCTGTATTAGCTCAGACGATATTGAACATATCCGAAAACCGGAATAGCCAGTAGCGGGCGTGAGCAGCTCCGATTGGCCCTCGAAGGTGACCGTCAAGGACTCGAGTAGTAGGCGAACCGTTCGACGACTGTCAAAAAAGGACGATCCTGGCTTGGCGATGATGGATATATGCCCCGACAAAGAATACGCCGAACTGAAGGATTGCTCGAGTATCAGCAGCTAAGTCTGGGATCCCATATGGAAGACAACGTACGATCTCTTAGGCTCGCCGAGCATGTCCAGTGTTGAGGATAAAGGGACTATCTCTAATGAAACGGACATGGTCGTAGAGAGCGCGAAGAAAGCGGTTCAGAGGGGTGAACAAGGCGGCGGCGCCTGCTTTTCGTTGAACAGCTCGCGAGAGCGCGTTCCGCGCGGGTGCCATATATGTAGACCATCCGCGGTAGGGCCACGGTTGGTGGCACAATAGGCTGCCGAGCGACGTGGGCCGGATAGGGGGGCCGAGTACTGGATGAGGCCACCAGAATCTCTTGTTCTCCCTTTCAAGGCCATCCTCCGTTGCCTGGATAGGAGAACAAAGGCAAAGAACGCAGCCCGAAAATTCGCACGCTTGCAATATCGCATCCGCGAACCGCATGACCTTGCCAATGACCGCAGCTACGTCGTACGTACCGGGAACCGAAGACTACTCAGCTGACGACCATAGCGACAACATAACGCTCCGGAATATGCTCGAGCCGTATGACACTCTGGAAGCAACAGTGGAGGCTTACAGCTCTCTCAATAGTACTACACTGGCATTACTCTGCGCGGGGGTAACTTGGGTCCTCTGCGATATCCGTTGCTGTACACACACATCGTGACGAGAGGATATATATATATCAAAACTTCGAACGAAGTGATGCGGAACTTGTCTCGTCTCCGCTCATCAAGCTTCTTTGCTTGATACCACCACGACCAGAACCTTCCGGTGTGAAAACGCAAAATGCCACAGTAGCTATCTCGTCAGGCTGCACGAACGCAAGTCCGTATCAGGAACACTCCTCGCGATGTATCAGATATCAATGAACGACAGGAGCGTGCAGTGACTGGTTCGTCTATTCATCCGACTAATTGGCTAATCAGTTGTTATCACAGGGCCGGCATGTCTTCACTTCGCTGATGGTGGAGCAAAACATATTGTATGGGACTGCCACGGCGCGATATACGGCTTCTCTTCTGCGGCCTGAGCGAAGAATGCCAGCAAGCTCTCTTCATCACTTCCTGGAACCTAAAATTGCCTACAGCTTCTCAGCCTGCGGAATACCTATCAATGTGTCTACTGTGCGCCCTTATATCTATGGCTTCTCAGGGACGGCGTCCTGGGTGACTTGTGGAATACCTTTCCCTCTTCTTGAAACTATCCGCTTGCGCAATTACGGGGGCTTCCGCCATGGATGCCAATGATTTGTCACGTGAGGTGACAACGTTCAAGATGGATCTGTGCGTTGATTACTAGTATTGCTTAGGTAGGGCGGGCTGACGACGAGTTACACAGGCAAACTCAGAACATGTTCCAGAGCGGTCTTCTGAGCATGCTGGCGTATGATATCCGTGAGGGTTATAGTCATTATATAAATCATCGCCATCTTCTCTGACATCTCAAGTGGTCTATAGTGCTAACGTTCGGAGAAGAAGTGCGATGCTGCGAGTAGTAATCCCGTCTCAGTCTGACTTTTGTGCAGGTCGATAAGATCTGGAATCGGCCATGGACCACCATATCAGTTCTTTTCACACTGAACCGTTATTTGACGCCTCTTGGATTCATGATATCGATGGTGGCATACCAGTCGGAGTGGCCAGTGGAGGTGCGAATGTTCACATGGCACGGAGCCATCTCGTACTCACAGTTGTATATCAGGTGTAAGCATCTTCCTAGAGATTTATCGTCGATGCTAAAGGCACAGCAGATGTCAACGATTTGTGAAATACGAAGGCGCCGGATGCGCAACAGTCATGGGAATTTGCCAAGGTACGCGGAACGCTTGCAAGTTCGTGCTCCGTCACAAAGCTTAGCATGCCAGTCATCATGATCCTTCGCGTGAATGCGTTATACGGAGGCAATCGTCTGATTCTGCTCGCGCTTCTTGTGGTATTCCTCGCACAAATAGGCATACAAGCTGCTGTACTGGCAGAAGGCATCCGTGCGTCCTTTGTCCTTATTGCGTCGCGGATTTGTTTCAATCCGTTGATGATATCTACTCTAGCGCTGCAAGAGCCGATACGGACCGGATGTATTCTCGTTGCCCGATCGTCGATTTACACGGGCCTTTGGATCGGACCGCTTGTGACTGACAGTTTAATTTTCCTTCTCACTGTGTGGAGATCGAGACAGTACCTAAAGAGAGGAAGAAGCAAGTCAATGCCGTACGCATCCCCAAATATCAAACTGTTCGTATAAGGACTAACCAGATGACCCATAGTACTCTGCTCCTCTTTCTGCGAGTATGTGCAATCCTTCCGCGTTCACCTTCATCAACTGATCGCAATTGTTCACTACCCAGGATGGAGTCGCTTACTTCTTCGTCATCTTCTCTGCAAACTTGTTGAACGTCGTGGTATATTTCGTGCGTTTTGTTGTTTTATGGTACTGTCGTCGCCGCTCACTGTGCGCATAACTTACAGAGCGTCCAGGACCAATCCTTGAAGCATCTTTTCGGCCCATTCTCAGAGTTGATGACGTCTATAATGGTCTCGCAGTACGTAACCGATTACGTCTTTCGTACATTTGCGCTCAATGTCTCCGACTTGAGCATCGTCCTGAATCTTCGAGGTTATCATTCCCCTGGAACAGAAAAATCGGGCGATTCATCCGTTTCCGCGCAATGCGATGATCCTCTCGCCTTCGCCGATCCTATGGATGCAACCTTCCTCTACTCTAGCCAGCGATCAGCAGGCGCGGGCCACTTGGTCGCCGATTCGAGCAGATCGGGGCATGACATATTCAATAATGGGAAGCATACGATCCTCGGCGGAGGTGGGTGACTCCACCAATCAGGCGTAGCTTGAGACTGTAAACGTTCTTTTATGTACCCCCGATATACGTTCCCATAAGACGTGCTCATTTAACTCAGAGGCGAGCACGCATAATTCCCTAGCGAACCGGTCTCTGTTGCACTCATATGGAGGGTTCCAGAATTAGCTACCCAGGCATGCACAAAAAGTAGCGAAGGAGGGTGGATAACTAAAATACATCTCTCATCGGTGTCCAAGGAAAAAAAGAACCCATGTCCGGGACCAAAAACGCAATTGAGCGCGCGTTGATGGAACGAAACTGCAGGAGTGTGCGTCATTTAGAGAACGAGACCGGCCACGAGACCGACGACGGTGAGGATGCCAGCGGCGCTGCCGCTGGCCCTCAGAGAGAGGCTGCCCGAGGTCGAGGACGCGGCTGGTGCGGCGGAGCCGGAAGCGGAGCTCGAGGCGCCGGTGGCGGCGGCACCAGAGGGCGCGGCGCCGGACGCGCTAGTGGTGCCGTTGGCGGCGGCGGTGCCGTTAGCGCTGGCCTTGGCCGCCTGCTGGAACGCATCGAACGACTTGGCGGAGTCGGGGTTCGCGTTTACGGAGAACACCATACCGCTCTCGCAGTGGTTGACGGGGCTAGAGGAAGTCGTGATGAGCAAAGCAGTGGAATCGGTGATATGAATGGAGACATACCTCTTCTGACGGCAGTAGAACCACAAACTACGGATGGGGATGATGTTAGTCAGGATGATAGTGGGTAAGCAAATAAGAGGGGCACGCACGGAGCCGAGGCGTTGGTGACAGTGAAGCTCCACTGGGGGAACTGCGTCGCGTTGGCGGCAACGAACATGAAGCCAGAGTCGATGCCTGCTGCCGGGGTGGTCATTTTCTCGCAAGGAGCAGCGAAGGTGCTCTGGGTGACGGTGTGGTTCTTGGAGACGCTGGGTAAACACGTCAGGCGAGGATCTCGCGGCTAGCGCTCGGTAATACTCACAACTGGAACGCGATCGTGTCGCCCACGTTCGCGGTGACGTTGCTCGGCGAGTAGGTGAGCGTGCCGTTCTGGCCAACGAGGACCGTGATGGTGTTTCCGGTGGTGGTCGAGTTTCCGGCTTGCCTCTTGAGTGGGCCCGCGGAGACGGCGGCGACCGAGGCGAGGAGAGCAGTGGCGGCGGAGAAGAAACGCATTTTGAAGCAGTATTAAGCGACGATGGGTGCGGCAGGAAGGTCCGTAGAGAGATGTGCTGGAACGAAAGACGGATCGAGGACTGCAGAGCGCGGTGAGACCATGTTCAGGGGGAGATGAACGGACGACATACCCTGCTCGGGGAGTGCAACCAAGGGAAAGAGACTGGCTCGGTGAACGGAGGGTTGAAGGGACGACGGAGAGAGAGGGGGGACTTTATATCGTTGATCAGTGCGTGGCCCAGGTCCCATGGTAACCCCAGAGTCGCTGGGGCCAGCCAATGAGCGTTGACACCGCTTTATGTCAGCGGGCGCGACGGAACATGTCGCAGAACCTTCGCGTCCCCGTCCCTGACGACATGTCTCCGACTCTTCTGTCGAGCGCGCCGCGGCTCCAGGCTGCCCGCCGGCCACCCGCCCTTGCTGCGACGCTCGCTGCAGGCCGCCGCCGTACGTTCGCGTCCTCCGTTCCCCGCAAAACCCAGTATTTCGACGCCGATGTTCAGGTGGGTCTTTGCCATCTCCCATCTCCATCTGTTAAATCAGCGCTGCGCCAAACGTCTCGGGTTCGAATGATGGTGGTCCCAGTCCCGCTCAGCTTCTGTCAACATATCCACAGACCTTTGAGAAAGCTGTCTCCAAAGAGCGCGCATCAGGCAAAGTCGTTCTCGTAGACTTCTACGCAAAGTAAGCAGGCTACATATACTCAAGTGCCCTGTTTTGGCGCGAACACAGTTGACGCTTGTCCCGCCTCGGCCGACTCCGAGAATAGCTGGTGTGGCCCGTGCAAGATGCTTTCGCCCATCTTGGAAAAGCTCACCGACGACGCCGAGGGTCTCAAATCCGGCAGCGGCCGCCCCGTGGACCTTGTGACCGTCGACACAGACGTCGAGAGCGAGCTCGCCCACAAATATAAGGTTGATAACACTCACAGACCGCGTGCCATTCATTAGTACACATATGGAATGCTGACATGCGTCCTCGTCAGATCCGTTCATTACCAACCGTTATCGCCTTCAAGGATGGGGAACCCGTCTCCCAGTTCATGGGCGCGATGCCGGAGCAGTCTGTACGGAACTTTCTACAGGGATTATAAGATCCACCCTACCTCGGCACGTCATCACGTGTAGTAGTTTGTGCAATAAGAAATGCATGCTTCCATCGCCTCTGCGTATCCGACGATTGATTTGGCATAGAAGGCTATTGGAATTTGACAGAAAAGACGCAGTGGTACAGAACATCCGGTGCAGACCAAGTATGGTGAGAAAGATGAGGGATAACGGACCGAGGACAGCACTAAACAACAAGAAACACGGGAGAGGAAAAGATGTATAAAGAATGGGATATACTATATGCACATAGGCGGAGAGAAGGCGGGCGAAACAGGGCGTGGGGTACCGGCGAAGGAAAGGCCGGGAGGGAGCAAGCGAATCCTATACAGTCCGCGAAAGAGAGTGTCCGTCTGGTTGTAGCGATGGGCTGGCTGCAACAAACCCTGCATTCCTAAGAAACATCGTAAGGCAACGTATCGACGTGCGAGCAGAGAGACTCACATGTCCCTCCTCCACCGCTCACGTTGAGCGTCGCTCACTGAATCGAGCAGCAACCGCCGCCTGATGTACCTTGTGACGCATATGGGTCCTCGCTCTTGTTTACGGGACCCCATACAGACGGCACGAGGTGGTCTCTCGTGTTTTTGCAATACCGGATAAGGCTGTTGATTCAGGCGAAGTCAGCACATGGACAGCGAAGGGGGGACATGTGGAAGCGCCGGCATCGACTGCAGGGAGGAAGCGGGGCAGAGAGACTGGATAACACACCTGCTGCTCGCCTCGCTGACTCGTATCCTCGGGCGAGCCAAATCCTCCTTCAAGCGCTGGTTGTGCTCGATCAACCTCCGGAGCCTGAGCTCTGACATCGACTGTTTGGCCCTTGAGCTCATGTTGGCAGGGTGTGCGGGTCTTTGGGGGGTTCAGAGATAAAGGATCGGACGGATATGGTGGCGTGCTGTAACACAGTCGGGCGTGCGGAAATGTGGGTGAGAAACCAAGCGACAGGTATTGGTCAAGGACCCCGGGGCGGACGCTCACCGGTCGACTCGGGATTTGTTGTAAGGAACGCGCTGCGCGGTGCGGGTGTGGCAAGAGGGGCAAAGCGCGCACAAGCTAATGCGGCGAGCGGTCGGGAGAGAAAGGGGAGAGGGGGCGGTGGAGATGATGGACGGAGCTGAGCTGGAGGGCGATGCGAACGAGTGCGAACGACTCTGTCGCTCGGCCGTGATGATGGGACCGAATGGCGGCACGTCCCTCGGCCGGTTTCCCGCGCGACACGTGGAATAAATCGACTTTTTCTCTCGTTCTCGAGCGACGAGCTCACGTCTCGATCGTTGGCCGCTACAGATCTCGCCACGAATAGGAGGGGCCAGAGCGATGATATTCACAATTTGTGTTAGATCTATATGCAGCTGGGAGGGACGATAGGCTTGGATGTGCGGATAGACAGACCGAGAAAATGAATATACTAAAAACGTCCGATTATGTATATCAGAAGGAAGGTGCCATAAAAAGGCACGCGCTGGCAGCCGCATCTCCGTCCAAATAAACCTGACGCGCGTGTGCAAGAACCGGGATCTGTCCCCACCCAGCGATTAGACAGTGGCGTCTCGAACATAAAGTAACGAGATTTTCTGATAAGCCAGAAACAAGGAGCGTAGGGGTTTGTGGTGCAGAGAGGCTGGGATGACTCTTCGCAAGTCAGAGCCCTCGATGAACGGGTCACGTCGAAGGACGCTACGCGAGGATTGCCGACACGGTATGAAGGGGAAGGCGGGTATGACGCCGCTCGCGGATGAGCTGCAGGGCGTCTGCGTGAAGTCGGCCGCTTCACATGATGGTGCAGGCACACCCTGTCGCAGGCGGCGCGAAGGGATCCTCGCCCTTGTTCAAGGGGCCCCATATCGACGGTATCTGAAGGCAAGACGCGTCAGAACTTGAACCGTGACCGCAAGCAAGCGGGATCTAGGTCTTGCCCCGGCTTCCGGCAACCGAGGAAGGAGGGGAAGAGGGAGACTCACCAGCGGGTCCTTGGTATTCTTGCAGTAGTCGATCAAACTATAGGAATGTCAGCGTCGTGATCCAACTCTCCTGAAGGCGAGCGTACCTCCTGCTGGCTTCGCTGACCCGGATCCTGGGTCGATGCAAATCCTCCTTTAGTCGCTGGTTATGCTCAGTGAGCCTCCTGAGCTTGAGCTCCGACATAGACTGCTTGTGCGGGCGGGCATCCATGGCGAGGCAACGGCGGTATCACGACTGAGCCTGTGGGCGTAGGTGTCGACGGACGGCGGAATGAAACGCGACTAGGTCGCGACCAAGGAGTTTTTCTCTGTGCGAGGAACGCGCAGGTTAGTTCGGAGGGAGTCGAGAGGTGGCTAGACAGCAGGGCAACGCACGGTATAGGAAGGAAGAAAAAGGTTGCTCAGCAGGAAACCGTTCGCAGGGAAGAGCGGACGTTGGATTTGGCGACGCCCGGAAGTTCGCTTGCGGCACAGGCGGTGGCGCGGCCCTTGTGCCCTTCAAGTTGCCTCAGACCATCCCATCCCATGCAATCATGGATGCGATCCGCGTCCCAAAGGTGAGCGTTATATGAATTAACGTGTGGAAGAAACAGGCGAGCTGAGTATACACAGGTTGAGCATGTTACCTGTACCAAAGGAGGACAATTATCAACCGGAACATTACACCTAACTGCACACCATCTCATATTCCGTCATGACGAGGGCGAGGAGATGTGGGTTAGTCCGACGCCGATGCATCGTAGGCGTATCTAGTAACTTTTCCTAGGTTCCGTACCCGTTGATCTCGCTCGTGACGAGGCTACCATCCAACTTGCAAGGGCAAACTCCCCTTACCCTGAGGACGCGTACTTTCGAGACATTTACGCTCACTTTCACGACTGAGAGCGATGCTCTAGATGTATTTGACAGTGTCAAGGAGCTTACAGTGGCTAGTAAGTCTCGATTCGCGCTCGGTATGGGGGCACATCTAACGTTGGCCGCAGCATCCGTGACACAGCTGTATGCATTCTTCTATTCACCAAATCCACCATTCGCTGCCAACGATGGATGGTCCTTCTACTCTCCCCGAGAAGAGTTCGGACGCATGGGTGTCGGTACCCGTACCAAGGCTTGGCGTTTTACCGACGTTAACAAGGATTACTCAGTGCGTGCTCGGCCCAGCCCCGAAGACCGTCACTCCGTTGACCTAACTGATACGTAGTAAATACAGTTTTGTCCGACTTATCCCGCCAGGCTCGTTGTACCCACGAGAATCAGCGATACGACATTGCAATATGCTTCCAAATATCGCAGCAAGTGCCGTATACCGGCGCTTGCCTACTTGCATTGGGGAAATTATGTGAGAGCTTTCCATGCCTTTTATACGCTGGTCACTTATCCCTCATAGGGCACGATCACTCGATCTAGCCAGCCTATGGTCGGATTGACCCAGAGCCGTTCTGTGCAAGACGAGAAACTGATTGAGGCGATCTTCCAATCACATCACAATCCGGAATCTCGTGTTGCCCCTGGACCTGTCTACGGCGCGACCAGCACCAATATCATCATCGACGCCAGGCCCACTACCAATGCCCTGGCGAACTCTGCGAAGGGAGCCGGCACCGAGAACATGGATCACTACAAGGAAGCAAGAAAGGCATACCTGGGAATCGATAATATCCACGTCATGCGGGACTCCCTTTCCAAGGTCGCGGAGGCTCTGTTTGAGAGTGCTGCCACGGGAAACGAAGCTTCGGGCGCCATTGTTCCTCCACTCGATCGCCAGGCTCTGCGGCGATCAGGGTGGCTACGACATATTTCGGCTATCCTCGAAGGAACGGTGCTCATAGTGCGGAACATTCACGTGAACTCCTCACACGTCCTGGTGCACTGCTCCGATGGCTGGGACCGAACCGCCCAGCTGTCGTCACTGGCGCAGCTGTGCTTGGACCCGTATTATAGGACCGTCCGCGGATTCCAGGTCCTCATAGAGAAGGACTGGATGTCCTTCGGCCACAAATTTCTTGACCGATGCGGTCACCTATCCTCGGAGAAGTTCTTCCTTTCACCGGTGGAAAACTCCGGAGGTGGCGGCGGGGCTGAAGCTGCGCAAGCCTTCTTTGCATCCGTCCAGAACCGGTTTGTCGGGCAGAGTCACCTGAAGGAGACGAGTCCGGTGTTCCACCAATTCCTCGAGAGCGTGCGCCAGATCCAACGGCAGTTCCCGGAGCGCTTCGAATTCAACGAACGCTTTCTGCGGCAGCTGCACTATCACCTCTACTCGTGCCAATTCGGCACGTTCTTGTTCAACTCTGAGCGAGAAAGACGAACGGCCGAACAAGGACCTCCACCCTGCGATCGGACAGCAAGCATTTGGGACTTCTTGAACTCCCCTCCCGAAAATGAACTCAATCTTAACCCTTTATACGACCGGAGCCTGGATGATCCAAAGAGTAGAGCAGCCAAAGCTGACATGGGAGTCCTTTTCCCCAATACTAAGGATGTCAAATTTTGGAACGAGTTGTATGGACGAACAGATGACGAGATGAACGGGCGCATCGTGATAGGACAGGCACAAAACCTCGAACTAGTGGGCCCCGTGGACGACTCCTCCGATGACTCTGTTACACGAGCCCTCACCCCTTCCTCTGCCCCCCTCTCCCCTGGCACTCCGTCTCGGACGTCGACCCCGAGTCTATCTGTATCAGAGTTGAAGAACACAGAGGCATCTCTGTCCAGCACGGAGGATCTGAATGGGTCGCGACACACTGCATCGACATCCGAGACAAGCTACAAGCCTTATCCCAGTTCAGCTTCCGCCTATACCCTCCGACGTCCTGTGGATAGCGTCCCGCGATCACCATCGCCCGCTAATGGTGGTCGGCGGACGACCGGTATGCCGGACGTCCTTGGTGCGGGGGTAAAGTCGGTGTGGGGCAGGTTCTCCTCAAACGCCAGCGCGGCTCTGAGCGCTGTTCAGGGCGCGTATGACGGGGTCGCGAAGGATTTCCGGACGCTCTCCATCTCGCCTAGCGCTGGCGAATTGAGGGAGAAAGAGCTGCAAAGTCCAGAGCAATGGACGACCTCTATCCCTTCACCGGACTATGCTGCCGGACCGTCGACTGCGAAGGTTCCAACGGCCACCACCGCAAGCACGCCTTCGAGCAATCCATGGAACACCGAGAGCATTGTACGTGTGCCATCGATGGCTCTCGACAATCCCTGGGGTTCTGTCCGTTCTCCCCCTGCCGATTCACTATCGAGCAGTGGCCATCCTGCGTTGGACGAACTGCCTCTGTTTGATCCCCTGCCCCCGCCATCCTCGGAGCGTGCAGGGATATCAAATCTCCCAATCAGTCAACCTGGCTCGCGGCCGCAATTGCAACCTAGTTCTCAGGGCCCCTCTTCAAAGCCGATTGTCGCGCAGGAAGTACCCACGATTTCGTCAACGACCTCGCCCAATCTCAGCCGAGGAACGACGAGTGTCACTTCGCCAGGCTTGAATGAGACTCCACGGGCTGCCGACTCGGATCCTCTGGGTGTGGGTTTCTCGTAATAGAGACAGTTTGACACATCGGGCTCATGTTTCCCTCATGTACGATTATCTCTCGCCACGTATCGCAACCGTAGAATACATTGATGTATCAGAAGCTTTCCGTTCTACTACCGTCCCTGCCTAAAGCGAATGGCGTGATGGGCGATAAAATCGAGTGACACCTCCCGTGACTTCAAAAGCTGGTGAACTTTTAACTCGCGAGCAACTCGCCTCCCGCAGTCTTCTCTCCCCTCTCCCTCCTACTCACCCCTCCTCCGTTCGCTATGGTTGCTCTCAAGCCTGGTCACTTCCTGTTCACCTCCGAGTCTGTCGGCGAGGGCCATCCTGGTTCGCGAAGCCGTTGATTACGATATTGACGCGCTGCTGACCACGCGCTTTCTCTGCAGACAAGATCTGTGACCAGGTCTCCGATGCTATCGTCAGTTGTCTTCCTATATTGCGATGATACCTGATACCAGCTAACGCATTGTGCAGCTTGATGCCTGCCTCGCGCAAGACCCGTTCTCCAAGGTCGCCTGCGAGACGGCTTCCAAGACTGGCATGATCATGGTCTTCGGCGAGATCACCACCAAGGCCAACATCGACTACCAGAAGGTCGTCCGTGAGACCATTCGGGAGATCGGATACGACGACTCGTCGAAGGGCTTCGATTACAAGACCTGCAACTTGCTCGTCGCGATCGAGCAGCAGTCGCCCGATATCGCCCAGGGTCTCGACCACGGCTCGCTCGAGTCCATCGGTGCCGGTGACCAGGGTATCATGTTCGGCTACGCCACCGACGAGACGGAGGAGTACATGCCGCTCACGATTACGCTGGCGCACAAGCTCAACGCGGCGCTCGCTGTCGCCCGCCGCTCTGGTGAGCTGGCATGGCTTCGCCCGGACACGAAGACCCAGGTCACTGTCGAGTACAAGAAGGATGGCGGCGCTGTGATCCCTCTTCGCGTGGACACTGTGGTCATTTCCACTCAGCACGCGGACGAGATCTCGACTGAGGAGCTTCGGAAGGAGATCTTGGAGAAGGTCGTCAAGAAGGTAATCCCCGCCAACCTTCTTGACGAGCGTACCATCTACCACGTGAGACTTTCGCCGGTGCCTTCCTCGCGGCAACGTTGCTCAACTCGACAAAATTGTAGATCCAACCCTCCGGCCGCTTCGTGATTGGTGGTCCTCAAGGTGATGCTGGTCTGACCGGTCGCAAGATCATCGTCGACACCTACGGCGGTTGGGGCGCGCACGGTGGAGGTGCCTTCTCTGGCAAGGACTTCTCCAAGGTCGATCGTTCGGCGGCTTACACCGCTCGCTGGATCGGTGAGCTAGCGCTGATAATTTCGTGTCTGTGGCAAGATTGTTCATGATCTCGTAGCCAAGTCCCTGGTCGCAGCCGGCCTTGCTCGCCGTGTCCTCGTGCAACTTTCCTATGCTATCGGCGTTGCCGAGCCCCTCTCCGTCTTTGTGGACTCGTACGGCACTGGAAAGAAGTCGGATGAGGAGCTTGTGGACATCATCCTCCAGAACTTCGACCTCCGGCCTGGTGTGATCGTGCAGGCCCTTGACCTGCAGAAGCCTCAGTACCGCAAAACCGCCTCGTACGGCCACTTTGGTGAGTGTCTATCAATGCCGGCGACTTATGAAGCCTGTATTGACTATATATGCAGGCAACCCCACTTACTCTTGGGAGAAGCCCAAGCAGCTCAAGCTCTGAGCACTCGGCGTCATTGCGTGCCTCTTGCTCCCGTTGCATCGGAAGTTCATCCTTCCGCTATCATTATTACTGCATTTTGCTTTCTGTCACGGCGTTTTACTAGATCATGGTCTACTACTTCACGCAATCATTTAGCTGCTCCATCTCGATAGGTCAAGGAGGGCTCCTCATAGCGACGGCTATTCGTATACATTACACGTCATATACCGCTAGTGTAGCATATCGTAGAAAATGGAAACGCGTTCAACCGCTCACCGATGGTATCGACCTAAGTTGACCGACTGTTGTCCTAGAGCATGATTTCGGCAGATGGCGGACCGCCGCGATCCGTGCCCGAGGCTGAGCCGATAAGTCCCTTAACCTGAAGTTTTTGGGCCGGCGGGATGGATAACATTCAGCCTCTACGCACGTTCCTCGGCTTCAGCTCGTAGACTGAGCCTGCGGTGCAGCGCACTGGTCCCAAACCACGTCAAGAAACAGTGAGAGGCTGCCTGCCCGTCTCCTTCGTCGCCAGATTCATCTGATCTCGACCCTCCACGTTACAGTGTGTGGGATACTCGGCCTGCTCCTCCATGACCCGAAGCTGGACGCCGCCTCCGAAATCTGCGAGGGGTTGGCCCTATTGCAGCACCGGGGCCAGGACGCATGTGGGATTGTCACCTGCGGGCCAAAGGGGCGTTTCTACCAATGCAAGGCGAACGGCATGGTCCGGGATGTCTTCGACACCAACGCTATTTCTCGATTAATCGGAGGGATGGGCATCGGGCATGGTACGCGCCACACGGTCTACTCCGGATGAACGCAGTCTTACGCTTGACCCTCTCTTGTAGTTCGCTATCCAACTGCCGGAAGCTCACATCATGCCGAAGCGCAACCGTTCTATGTTAATTCTCCATACGGGATCGTCTTCGCCCATGTGAGTCCTCCTATTCGAAGCAGACAGCACGTCTCATCCGCCTTCCGAAGAATGGGAACCTAATCAACACTACCTCGCTGCTGCGTTTCATGGATGCCGAGGCGCATAGGCATATAAACACCTCCTCCGACTCCGAGTTGCTCTTGAACATATTCGCGAGCAACCTCCAGCAGACGGGCAAGTTTCGAATCAACGAGGACGACATCTTCACCGCGATTGGCGGGCTCATGCAGCAATGCAAAGGAGCGTACGCCTGTGTGGCCATGCTCGCCGGGTTCGGCATAATCGCCTTCAGGGACCCTAACGGCATACGGCCAGTGGGCATGGCGAAGCGTAAGGCTGCTGATGGATACGACTACTTGTTCGCCTCGGAGAGTGTTGTGGCCGATGCTTCCGGCTTTGGAGAATGGGAGGACGTGAAGCCTGGTACATTTCGAAATCATCAGTCCCAGGATACAGACCCTGACATATCCTTTCTTTCCAGGTGAAGCTGTAATCATCACCCGCTCGTCGGTGTCCCGGCGACAAGTCGCGCCTCCTGCTGTTTTCGCCCCTGATATCTTCGAATACGTCTACTTTGCACGGCCCGATTCCGTCCTTGACGGCGTCAGTGTGTATCGTAGCCGTATGGCTATGGGCGATGCTCTGGCAGACCAAGTCCGCCGCGTCCTAAGAGCGCACTATATGCAGGTCGATGTCGTGATACCCGTAAGCACGCAGCATTCGTCATTGTTCCGCTTCACCCTTATACTGCCCTCCAGGTTCCAGACACGTCCAGAGTGGCTGCACTAAATCTGGCGCAAAGCCTGGGCCTGCCGTATCGAGAAGGATTCATTAAGAATCGGTATGTAGGGCGAACATTCATCATGCCGGGCCAACAGATGAGGTGGGTTGCGAATCTTCTGATTGCGACGTGCCGAAGTAACCGCTGGCTTACAGACGGAAGAACGTTCGACGGAAGCTCAATGCCATGGCACTGGAGTTCTCCGGGAAGAACGTGCTAATCGTGGACGGTCAGGATCGTATCGTGTGTGCTCTCGGTTTCTATCTCATCACCATCGCAGATTCCATCGTACGCGGTACCACATCCAAGGAGATCATACAGATGGCCAAGGACGTCGGCGCGAAGAAGGTTATCGTCGCGAGTTGCGCACCACCGATCAGATATTCCAACGTCTACGGTATCGACATGCCATCGCGATCCGAACTCGTGGCGTATAATCGCGACGAGGAAGATATCGCGAAGGAAATCGGCGCGGATCTCGTCATTTACCAGAGCTTGCCGGATCTCGTTGCGTCCGTGCGGCAGTTCAACCCGGCCATTGAACACTTCGACTGCTCTGTGTTCACGGGCGAGTACGTCACCGGGGGCGTGGACGCAGAATATCTACAATACATCGAGAGCTTGCGCGCGGACAACGTGAAGGGCAAACTGCAGGGAGGTGACATCGACGCGCTCGAAGGTAAGGGCGGCGGTGCGGTCAAGAGTCCCACCGCTCCCAACGGCATCAATGAGACCTACGAGGAGGCGCAAGAGCAGAGTCTTGGCTGCAGCGGTCCGATGAACGGCGCCGATGCCACCATAGGCTTATACAACCACCACAAAATGAACTGAAGATGTATCCTTAGAATAAGTAGAGGTCATACTGGGTCTAGACGTGACGATGTATTATCTCTTGTACACCTTTCCCTATAATTACGCAATTAGTTGCCTACGAAGACACATGCCAGTCGAGAATGTCCGCCCATTTTCCCGGAAGAAGTTGCGAGATCTGCTCTACGTCCTTGTCGCCTCGTCCAGAAAGACAGACAACGATGTCCTGATCCTTGGGCAAGGTCTTGGCCAATCGTACAGCCTCCCAGATCGCATGCGATGACTCCAGCGCTGTGAGATGTGGAGATCTATCAGAGGTACTTACGACAAACACAGATGGCCCAACGAACCTGGTATAATACCCTCCAGCTGGGTCAGCATCCTGAAACCGCGGAGGGCCTCTTCGTCGGTGGCGACCACGTACTCTGCCCGACCGGAGTCCTTAAGCCATGCATGCTCCGGTCCGACGCCAGGATAGTCAAGACCAGCGCTGATGGAATGCGTCTCAATGATCTGGCCAGCCTTGGACTGGAGGATGTAGGTGCGAACACCGTGAAGCACACCCGGTGTGCCGGCAGACAGCGTAGCACTATGGCGATCGCCATTGATACCTACGAACGAGTGATCAGTACTGATATGACAGGGTAATACGTAGAAGAGGTACCTTCGCCGCCCGCTTCAACTCCGATGAGCCTTACGCTCGGATCCTTGATAAAATCGTAGAAGGTGCCTATCGCGTTACTACCTCCACCGACGCAGGCCACGACGGCGTCAGGCAGCTTTCCTGCGACCTCCTGCATCTGCGCCTTGATCTCCTCACTGATGACCTTCTGGAAATCACGGACAATCGTCGGGAACGGATGCGGCCCGATAGCGGAGCCAACGAGGTAATGTGTCGTCGAGAGGTTTGTGACCCAATCTCGCATCGCCTCGTTGACGGCATCCTTAAGCGTGCACGAACCGGAATGGACGGGGATGACCTTGGCTCCGAGCATCTCGATGCGGAAGACGTTGAGGGCTTGGCGGCGGACGTCTTCGGCACCCATGTAGATGATGCACTCCAGACCGAAACGGGCGCACACGGTAGCGGTAGCCACTCCGTGCTGACCCGCACCTGTCTCTGCAATGATACGTTTCTTGCCTATCCGTTTTGCGAGTAAGATCTGGCCGATGGCGTTGTTGATCTTATGAGACCCGGTGTGGTTCCTGCGACAAGACTATGAGAAACGGGTGGTGACTGATCCGGAAGACCAGGCGTACAAATCCTCTCGCTTCAACCAAATCTTGGCACCCCCAGCCTGGGCGGTGAGCTTCTCCGCGAAGTACAGATTGCTCGGCCTGTTCATGTAGCCGTACAACCCGCGGAACTCCTTCCAAAACTCGGGATCAGCCATAGCGGCCTTGTGAGCTGCCTCCAGCTCGATGAGGCAGTCGACGAGAGACTCCGGCACATACTGTCCACCAAACTGGCCGAACCGCGAGGGTAGTACGGCGGGATCGGCGGCTGAATCGCCGTGCGTGCCTGCCGATCCGTCTTGGGCGGCGTTGACAACAGGCGTCGTGACCTTGCCCTCGGCGGGCAAGGGTGGGAGTTGAGGCGCGGTGCCCTTGAGGCTGATCTCGCGGCAGTAGCTCTCCACATTGTTCGCGATGGCCGTGGTGCCCTTGGGCGAATTCTTGATGACGGAAACGAGGCGGCTACCAATGACCACCGCGTCAGCTCCTGCTGCTGCGACGGTCTCAAAGTGTTCGCGGGTCGCCACACCAAAGCCAACAGCCAGGGGTACGGTTGCATACTGTCGGACGCGTGCGATGAGGTCAGGTAGCGCACTGTTGACCGAGTTTTTGTCAGACGTCGAGCCAGTCGTTCCCATCTGCAATCCAGTTCAGTCCTAAGTTGTCTATATATCTGTGATCCCGAACCTTGGAAACAACGTAGATGAAGGAGTCCGCGATGGACGCCAGGAACTTGATGCGCGGAAGGGTGGTGGAGGGTGCAAGTAACGGAACGTACGATACGCTATATATGAAGTCAGATATCGCTGAGACTATTAACTTGGCACAAGCAACTTACCCAGCTTTCGTGCATTTTTCGCGGAAAACCATGGCTTCTTCAGGAGGCAAGTCCACCATGATGAACCCACTAGCACCAGCTTCGCGCGCATCGTGTATTGCCTTCTCTTCGCCGTATGCAAGTAAGGGGTTATAGTAACCTAAAGCAGATGATTATGCTCCCATGCTCCGTCGGATGCAGCGATCATCATGTACCCATCAGGAGAACCGGTGCCGTCAATCCCTTGCTACGTGCTTCCCTGAGCATGCCAAGGCATTGCGGGTAGTCCACGTCGTTTTGCAGCGCGACCTGAGTGAACGTCGCTGTCTGTCAGTGATAAATCGACGGCGGGATTGAGCGCGACGCACTGTGTTCGATTCCTGGATCACTGGGCCGTCTGCTATGGGATCAGAGAAGGGGATTCCCATCTCAATTATGTCGGCACCACCCTGCTGCATTGCGAGAAGGATCGGCGCAGTATCCGCCGGGGTAGGGTACCCAGCGGTAACGAACGTTACCAGCGCCGGCTGGCCCTGAAGCCATCTCAGTCGACGGTCCCGTACTAAACTGCGGCAACTCACTTGCGCCTTTTTGTCATCAAAGACCTTCTTCAGGGCGTCCATGGTGATGAGGGTCAAGCCTGGCTGTGAATTTCGAGCGTTGGAGCGTCCGGTCTTTGTCGAGTCACCTGGCGAGCCGAAAGGCCGATCTTGGGTCGTCAGCGGAGAATTGCCTCGGACGATGTTATCGACTTGGAAGACGACGTGGAGGATGGAAAATGACGCTCAAGAGCCCGATCCGATTCATATTTTCGACTGCTCTCCAACGCTGACACAACGCAGGCGGTGGCGGAGGTCGCTTTTAGCCTCTGCCACCGTCGCTTGCAAGTTGCACTTGTAACCGATCGTCCAATTTTACTGTCCGTCTACCAATCCTCAAGGCCATGTTTGTCGCTTGCAGACTTTCCTGAGGCCTCCAGACAGAAAATCTGTCATCTGAGCACACCGTCACCGGCCCCAATAATGTATATCGCGTCTGGAATTTTATTCAGTGCGCCGAATGATGCACACCTTACTCATCAATTACATCACCTCAAGATTCGACTATATATACGCGAGGATTTTGTATCGTAGCGCAATGTTCTCTTGCAATACGACAGGATCCAACTAGAGACGTCCTGTTCCAATAATTATTGGAATCCCAAAACTTTTCCCACCGCAAAATCCCTAGCTCTGGCCCGGATCTCAATGATTATTGGACAACAGAACGTCTCTACTGATTCGTCGCGCTACGCGCTCTATTTCCCTTTCCCTCACGTGCACAAGTGTTGCACCTAAGGATCAGGCCTCTTCACTCGTCAAACAATGCTCATCCACTTTTGCGCCCTGCCCCATGGCCGGTGCCTGGAGGGACCCAGGCACGATGAACTGATTCACCTCCGAATCACAGGGCACGTTTTTGACAACGAGTGGCCAGCGGACGACGGATTGACGACAGCCAAGCCTTCGACTCTCCAGCGGACAGCGGTGTTTCATTGTTGCTCATAGCCAATCTTGTTCTCGCGATTGCTCTGCTTCTGGCAAGAATGCGACCCTCGGTTCCGTCATTTGCTCTTCCACCATCGCCTTCAGCCGATTTGGACGGAGTTCTGCGCGGTTACATATTCGCTCCGTACATCGTGGAGAACAAGGTTGGCCAGCCCCACGAATTCTAAGGCCAAGCATGCAAGAGCGTCCTTTCTCCGACGGCGGTTCGTGCCAGAGGCTAGACTTTGTACAATGCGCCTGCGTCGGTCTTGGTGTGGAGCCGTGAGCAACCCCGTCCTATTGACGCACGGCCTTGTGCATGCGCCGTTCGCAGTTTTTGCGAGAGCGCACTCCGTTATCGACATGATCCGCATCTCGTCTCGAGGACCAGTCAAGTTTTCAAGCAATAACATACGGTTGCTCGTATGGACATCCAGCCTACGATCATGCGAAGTGCCACTGTTGGGACCGGAGTATCAAGCATACATCCGCACATAGACGATAATGAGTTTCACCGCTTGTCGTTCTTTCGCGGTTCCCGCGTGTGCCAAGCATCGTCCACTGGCATATGACCGCCGGCCTGTCTATGCTTCGGGACATTTCGTGTTGTTCCGTGCCTTGTGAGCTTACTACATGCCCTGGCCAACATTACCCCTGGAGTCCCCCCGCATTCATCCATGTCGCTGCCCATAATGCTCCACCACCGCCCTTGTGCCGCTGCCAGCTAAAGCCGTATAAGATCTGTCGGGGGCAAGCCGCCCTCCATTGAGTCACAGGTTCCCCTCCCCGATTTTTTCGATCCGGTATGCGCAACCTTTTCTTCGTTCTGTATCTGTGCGGCCTCGCGCACCTAGGCTTTCTTCTTGGGAATGCCTCGCCTCCACCGCAGAGGGGTGGGCGTCAGCGACGCCAAGATATTGTCCGCGACGTGCCACTCCTGATTGGTCGGTTGCTGCACCGTCGTCCGCCGGGTTTGCACTCATCTCTCGTCGCTGTCTGCTCCAGACTATCCGGGACAGACCCTTTTACCAGCGATTGAGGACATTTTGTTCCTCAATCTCACGAATGGCTCCTTCATCACCACGGACAATATCCAGGGGGACATTCTGTTAGTTTGTCGGCCATGATTAGCCTTGGTGGCGAGCTCACAAATCATAGTATCGGGATGAAGAAACCAAAGGAAACGTTCCTGTTCTTCCATATCAATGATGCAGCAACCTTCAAGTCTGTCCTGAAAAATAACATGTCAGTCCCATTGACGATATAACAGGTTTACTGCCGCTGATGCTTGATGCAGCTACCCGGAAATCACGACGACCACGCAACTTATCTCGCCCCCATCGGCGCAGCCGCTGGCCCTCCTCAACATTGCTTTCACCGCGTCCGGGCTCGAAGCGTTGAACGTGCTCGATCCCCTTGGGGATTTGGTGTATCCTGGTGGGCAGTACGCAGACGCTGGCGACCTTGGCGATGTCACTAGCAATTGGGAGGACGCGTTCAAGGGAACGGACACACACGGCGTATTCCTGATCGGTTCTGACCAAATAACGTAAGATACCCGATTCATTTCCACAGACAGCCTAAACAACACGATTTGTAGGTATGTGAACGATTTGATTGACGACATCCTGTCTTGGCTTGGACCAGCCATAACTGTGCGCGACCGCATTGACGGCGCAGCGAGGCCCGGTGCGGAGGCAGGACATGAACACTTCGGCTTCCTTGATGGCATTAGTCAGGTTCGTTCCCATTGCAGAACCTTGCACCGATGCTCATAGCTCCATGTCAGCCTGGTGTCGGAGGATTTGTCACGAATTTGATGCCTGGACAACAACTCGTCCTTCCGGGTACCATCCTGACCGGCCACCTGGGAGATGTCGGCCTTCGGCCGCTGTGGGCGAGAGGCAAGATGTCCATTCCACGGTGGCAGTATAATAAACGCTCAAATTTTACACAGATGGCAGTTTCCTCGTTTTCCGTAAACTTCAACAGTGAGGAACCCCTCAACAGCAGTGATCTGGATCTCCCCTGACGCAGCGAACGACAGATACGTTCCCGAATTTAACAAATATTTGCAAGACAATGCCATTCAGCATCCAGGGCTTTCGCCGGCCCAGGGAGCTGAATTACTAGGTGCTCGGTGAGTCGACTAGTCAATATTCAGGATCTGCGAGTAGTGCCTGACAGCATGCACTAGCATGGTTGGACGATGGAAATCTGTAGGATGATTTCGCAGCGCCACGAAACTTGACTTAGTTCTTACTTCCAGGGAGCTCCCATCGATCTGTTCCCTACTGCGGACAACCCGGCCATCGGTGCTGACCCAACTCACAACAACGGCGAGTACAATCATGTTGATCAACACGCTATATTGCAATAACATGGCCATCCTGGGTAGATTTCACGTACAACCATCCTCTTCCGTTCCTACTCCCCACCGATCAGACATACTGCCCATGGACCGCTCACATCAGGAAGACGCGTCCCAGAGCCGACGAGGTGGATGTCAAGTAAGCCTTATGGAGCCATAGGTCGCGTTTTGGAGGCTGACAGCGATTCAACAGCTCTATTAACGTCATCATCAGAGCAGGAATTCCGTATGGTCCCGAAGGCGAGTAGGGGCAGCCTGAAATTGAGCTTCAGCATTGAGAGCCCAAAATAGTTACCGCAGATGAAGCCAAATCAAATACTACGAAGACGGATCGCGGCCTGGCCTTCGGTGAGATTGATAGTGAAACGAATGGGAGAATCCGAGAATCCAATTGAACATCCCTGCAGTTGCCTACCAGAGCAATATCGCCCTTGGGTATCGTTTCCAGCAAACCCTTTGGTCAAATTCCCAGATGTGCGCCAATATCAGTTCTTCCGATCAGCTCATGTTGACGCGCCCGTATACTAGTTTCCCGCCAGCGAAACTCGATCTATCACCCGGCTTCGATCCATTGATTGGCCAGAATAGCGGAGGCACTCGTACTGCTGGCGGCCTTAACCCTTATGACCAGACGAGGGACTACGTGCTGAAGGACTTCATTGTTAGCCGTGGTGGAGACTACTTCTTCTCGCCCTCGCTTTCCGCAATCCATGATGTGATCAGTGCGTGAGGACGCGGGAGCTCGGTAAGATTATGGTACTTCGGGTATATGTTACTTTCTTGGAAAGAATTGTAACAACAATGCTTCGCTGTATCGTCGACGCGTGTCCAAAGCATGGTATGTTGCAATGAGGCGCAACAGGAGGCGACGAACAATGTGCAGCCACTGTGATACGGTGAACAATATTCAGGAGTTGTGCGTGCATCCGTCTCGTAGATGTTCGCATCGCAGGATATCGCACACATAGCCATTGTCATAATCTTCGTGCCGTTCCAGCCCGAAGGGATCTGAGACACGGGCTCTTTTCGAGGGACAGTGCATAGCGAGCAGCGTTCACTTCTTTGTGCTCATCAAGTCATAGAACGCTTCCTGTGGAAGATCGACACTCCCGACACGCTTCATGCGTTTCTTCGATTCTTTCTGGTTTTCCAAGTGCTTCATCTTGCGTTCGTAATGACCTTATTGACGCCTCAGCTCCAGCCATCCCGCTGTCGGGTGAGCATTCGGCAAATACTGACCTCCATATAGCCCCGCAGTGACGTCAGCCCGTAAGGCAGAGAGAGTTTCCCTTGCAATGACCTTCTTGCCAACGACAGCTTGTATAGGCACCTCGAATAGCTGCCGAGGTATCACCTTGTCTATAACGTGTAATGTTAGCCCTCGTCCATCAGACATCCGTGCATTACTGACGCAATTTCTTCACCCACGCACGTCCGACTGACTGTTCGGCGGAGCGATGAACGATCAGCGCAAGCGCATCAACGGGTTTCGCATTCAGTAGGAATTGCATCTGACAGGTACGTTGGAATTCAGACCTTCTCGAGAGCTCGTGAGCATACGTACCTTGACAAGATCGCTGCGCTTGTACCCAGCTTCCTCATAACTATGAAACGATCAGATCAAGAGATCAAGCGAGACCGCTAGGCCACTGACTCGAAGCTCGCAAAACCTGAGCTTCTACTCTTGAGCTTGTCAAAGAAATCGGTTACGATCTCGCTGAGGGGCATGTTGGCTGTCAAAATGATACGCGACGCTTCTGCCGTTGACTCCGTGTCGGAAGCACCTTCGAGGTACTGATAGTCCATATCTTCGCCGCGATGAGAAAAGCATAGGTCCATCATCTCGCCCAGGTACTCTGCACGATGAGCGCGTCAGTCCGTGTTTGACGTTCGCAAGGACGGAAAACAGTCACCTTCAGGTACAATGATCGTAGCTTTAACTAGAGGCTCTCGAATTTCCTTGACTTTGCTGGAAATGTCCGTCATATCAGGGAAATCAACTGGGTTGCTGATAGTAACAATCTTCTCTTTGTCGCCTTTCTCCTTGTAGACCACTGATATCGACCGTCAGTTGAATAGGTCCGAATCTTTCCTATATCAGCCGTACCTTGGTAAGGTACTGTAGGAGCGGTAATTATGATGTTCGCTTCGTATTCGTCCTCCAGGCGCTGTCGGAACACATCCATGTGAAGCGTCCCGAGGAACCCCAGGCGACAGCCTTGTCCAAGCGCGGTTGAGCTATCACGTTGGACGGTTACGCTGCGATCGGTCAGAGTTAGCTGGATACATGTCGTGCATATTAGCCACGGAGGGAATCAGGGTGAAGTGGATGCCTTACCTTCTTGATTGATTCCTCCAGTTTCAAGAAGTCATTGCTATCAACCGGGAAAACACCCGCGAAGACCTAGAAGCGGGCCGTCAGTCAATTTTGTCAGGCTGTGATAGAAAATTCCCTGACCATAGCCTTCGTTGGTTTGAAGCCAGGCATGGGTTCAACAGGCTCCCCAGCACGATGTAGGGTATCGCCGATATGTGCTATTAGACAAAATACTCAGTATCTGCAATTGGCACGTTGGCACTAACACGATTTCAACGGAACAGACCTTCACTGCTGTCTTTCATCGCGCATGCAATGAAACCCACCTGACCGGCTTGCAAGGTCGTGGTAGGTGTCTCTTCCGGGTGCATGATGCCAAGCTCAAGGACCTCATACTTCTTGCGAGTGAAGGTTGAAACGATTTTGTCGCCTAGAGGGACGATCGAGATGTCAACGAGAACCCCCTTGAGTTGCTTGAAGGTGAACGGGCTACCTTTCTTCAAGATGCCTTCTTTAATGTTCACGAGAGAGATGACACCTAAAGCACTGATCAACGGATTGTGCTGAGAGTGGCAAGATTGGCCAGTCTTCTGCAGATTGCCTACCTCGATAACGATCATACCTGACAGGATCACATAGCATACGTGAGCTCATATGAACACACATACTCAGCTGCGGCTTACGAAGAATCAAACATGAAAGCCTTCAATCGCTGATTACGGTCACCTGCGGGAGGTGGTACACGGTTTACAATCGCCTCTAGCACCCGTTCGACGCCGACACCTTTAAACGCTGTGAATGAGCCTCACAGAAACGAAGGGTCAGGACATCATCGACCTGTCTTTGCTGATATATGCAACATATCGTCGGGTTTCAAACCAAAGGTTGCCTCCATCTGCCGCGCAATTCGATCAGGCTGAGCTGCTGGCAGGTCTATCTGTCCATAAGCGAGATACGTCATCTGGGCCCGCTGCTGGAAGTACTATCTGGGTTGACCTTGTTGAGCACCGGGACAATGACTAAACCGTGTTCCCTTGCTATATGGAAAACGCTTATGCTTTGGGCTTGTATGCCTTGTGTGGCATCCACAAGGAGCAAAGCGCCTTCGCAGGCAGCCAAGCTCCGCGCAACCTCCCAGGCAAAATCCACATGTCCAGGTGTGTCAATCAGGTTAAGAAGGTAGCGATGACTCGGGGTGGATGGTGGAGTATGAAACATGCTGGTGACACAAGTGAGCACGACCATGGACGGACACATACATGAAGTACGAGCATACCTGGCAGTTTGTGCCTTCACTTAACCAGCAAAGGATTAGCGAAATGCTGCAAGGGTCTATGGTCACCGCCTCACCCGTTATGCCACGTTCACGCTCAACCTTCAATTTATCTAGCACTTGGGCGTTAACGCCCTTCTGCCGCTTACTTATCGTCCCGGTAAGTTCGAGTAAACTGCAACATCGATGAGCGCCGAAAAGCCTTGGCAAATGTGCAATGATCTGACCGGTCCGCCAATGTAGACTTTCCGTGGTCTGTCGCGCAATTCTTCATGTCGATCAACACCATCGCACAATACATGAGACATACCGATATGAGCAATAATGGAGAAATTCCTGCAAACATGGGCAAGTTCAAGTTCGGGCTGCGTGCGCCATATCACCAATAATTCACCGAACGAGTTCAACAGGAAAGTCTTCCATTTGTAGGCTTGGCTGCCCAATTTTCTGGGTAGAGTAGCATGGCGCAGATGCCGTTATACGACGTATCGATTTCCCTTGGGCTTGTCTGGAAAACACCTGGAGACACCTATGTCGCCAGCAAGTTTGCGGAGGTCGCATTCGAAAGGAACGCAAGCGTACAGCCACCAGATGCTTCTCTCGACGTTGGCAAATGTCTCTGCAGGAAGAGCTCGAAAACCGCAAGGCTCGTCTTGAGGCCCTGAGAGCGCGTAAAGCAGGACAGGGCAACGAGAATGGGTGCGTAACTTACGTCTGTTGCTGTCAGTCCTGAGTTAATCTCCTCACAGAGAGCTAGCTACCCTTGTCAGTCATCGAAATTACGACCCTGCTACGCGGACGTTACGCAAGCACGGAAGGAATGGCGATACGGACATAGATGATACAGTAGAGAAGAATGTCCAAGGGTTGGCGGAGAAGATAGTCGCGGAGGACGAGGAACGAAGAGCACAGGATTTAGTCGGTCTCACTGGTCCATCCCTCTCGACGGCTTTCTGACGTTCTTTGGATATTCAGGATTTGTTCAATATTGCGCCGAAGAGAGCAAACTGGGATCTGAAACGCGAGATGGAGAAGAAGCTTGCGAAGCTGGAACGCAAGACGCAGGAGGCAATACATACGCTCATCCGTACGTTCCGTTCAACTCATAGCTGCGCCTCCGGACTCTCGTTTCAAGGCGACACCTGCTCATCCATACACAGGTCAACGATTAGCTGCACAAAAGGGTCAATCAGATGACATTGTGGGCGCAATGCGCGCCCAAGAGCGTGCGGACGATGATGACGACGATGAGGATGACTGAAATCCCGCGCATGCAAGCCCGCAAGCATCAATGCTGGCTTGTGTATGCGCTTGCTGGAGTTATTCACAACTTGCACACAACGTTCGATAGTCGTCCAGCGCCCCCGATCCAACTACATCAAAAGGCAACGGAAGCGGCGGCCCGCTCCTAATCTCGCTCGTTTGAGCATTCCGGGGGCAAACGGGCGAGCTCTTCCTCACCCGGACTACATCACTTGCATGAAATTTGGCTATCCATATGCATGAGACGCACCCGGATCGACTCCGTAGGAAATTGTTATTCACAGTCGAGAGCATCGTAAATGCTGCTTAGCTTCGGGCCACGCGTCTAAGTGACTGTGCAACCTCGTGATACTATTCGAACAACGACCGTCGTGTTTCTGATCCAGAACAACGCGAAAAGTACACAAAACACCTGAGGCTCTACACTACCACGTCATGCCTTCCCAATGGGATCCAACAACGCAGGAATGGGTGGGCTGAAGAAGTACTCGCCACCTCTCGCCAGAGTGAAGTCCTCGAGTACATATTCCCTCCCGGGGTCGAAGGGGTCAAGTCCAGCGGTGGACCGCGTGTTGCCGTTGTTCAGCGAAATGATTGGCTCGAAACCAGGGGTGATGTCCGTCTTCAGAGGCGGGAATATTTGCGAGTTGTCCCACATGGTTTGCTGGAAACGGAAGCCAAGGCCGATGTCGCTATTGTAAGCAACTGGATGAAAGACGAATATATAAGTCGCTGCAAAAGAATCTGCAGAGAAAGTGATCAATCACCAAATGCCAGACCACGGTCAATGCTAGTCTTGTTGGCGGCCAACTCCGCGGCTGTCACTGAGAAAGAGGGACCACTATCAGGAATGGTATAGCGTTTCCGCGCGTTTCCTTACCGTCTGGACCGTAGGGGATTGATGACCTCATGATCACCATGATACCACTTTGACAGACTATTGTCAACGCTCTGCGGGTGCTTAGTGCTGTATTAACTCACTTGACGTCGAGTTCATCCGCACGCGGTCGGTTCTTGCGAGTGTGGGCCGTCCACGGGCAGTAAGACTGGTTCGCTGGAAGGAGGAACGGCAGTGGGTGATCATAATCGAAATCTGAGTAGGAGGAAGTGAGTGTTCTGTTTCACCTAGCTCTAGCAAACAAGGCGTACGCACTATTGTTGACGTTGGGATCGGTGCCGGCTGTGGCATTATCCTTCCGCGGGAAGAGATCAACAGGTGCGCCGGATTTCCATCGGCCGATCATTCGGGCACCCAATAACTCAGCTCCTTCCTCGGGCGTCAAGCTGCCGTCCGGGGCTTGAATGGCGTTGTCGACGAGATACTTGTCGAACTCCGGCACAAATCTTGGCAGTGCGTCAGCGAGGTTGGTGTTCGTGAGATCACAGTATACTCACTGCTGCAAGAGGCGGAATACGAGGAACGAGCCGTCCTTAGCCCAGGCAGGTCGCACCCCAATGTCGCCAAGCCTTCCCAAGAGGATGGTACCGGGAAGACTGAGTTCTACCCCTGGGGCAAAAGTCGGGTTGAAGCCAGATATTCCAGGCTGCATAACGATCAAGGTCAATGCCTCGGCACTTTAACAGCGAACTCTGACTCTACCTGGCCAATGCCGTCTAGGAAACCAAAGTGTTCGTGACCGAGGTTCTCTCCCTGTCTTGCCGCGCCGTTAACGCGAGTAACCTCCGTGGCCGAAGTCCCAAGGCCCTCGGTGATTTCATCCAGCGTGTCGTTGATGAACCTGCAGAAGCAACGCTTAATGCTACAATCATCATCCGAGGATGAGCACTCACTGCTGCTGGTCGGATGCGATGATGATGACGCCATGGATTCCCGTGCCAACGAAGGGTGGGTGCCAGTTCACGGTACCGGGATCACCGAGCACAGATGCATCCGCAGTCATGCCGAAAGGGAATACAATATCTCCGAGATCATCCAATATGCCGAGGGAAGTAAGACCGCTGTGGGAGAAGGCGATGTTGACCATCGCCAATGGTTGCTGCGACACAGGCCCCAATATGGTCGTCGTTGAAGTGACCAGCGGATGGATCGTATTCCTCAGAGCAGACTTGAAGCCGGTCGCGTCGTTCACGTGGAAGAACCAAAACAATTCGATGTTCTTCTTCATGCCGACTCTGGAGAGAGGGTTGCGGGATTAGTACAAGCTGTACACAAGCTCAGTCGAAGGATGGCACTCACAGTATATCGGATTGAATGTTGTCTGTTGTTACGTAGGATCCATTGGTGAGATTTGCGGTGAGAATCTCCTCGATGGTTGGCAGAACAACCTGGCCGGGAATATCTACGTTTTATGGTCATTGAGCGATACTTCAGACATACGATGTAAATCACCCACTCAAAAGTAGCGGCACATCACGCACGACGTCTCGACGACCCGGGCTCGTGGCAGCAGCAAGGACAGCTGTTGGAAGAGTCGGAAGAAGCGACGCAACAAGACCGAGTAGGCGCATCTCGACTCAAGATTCGAGTTCGACGACGGACGGCAGAGACCAGGATATAGCGGGTCGGTGATGAAGACATCTTGCAGGGTAGCTTTTATATGTACAACGCGTTCCTATTCTCTGCACTGCGGAAGCATACGTCAGGACGGGTTGCAGCGCAGTTTGTGCGGCGGCGACTCGCAACAACCGTATGCATCATCAGCGACGGACTGCTAGTAACCTTCGAATGCTGATGAAACGGCGGCAAGTTCCCAAAAAGCGGTAAACGAGGCAATGGCTTCTCGAGTGTACCGAAAGCATGAGAAAGAGATCCTTTGCCCGCTAGACTCTGGGTGATGCGGCAAGGCCAATCTAGGAACGCAAGGTTCTTCCATTGTAATCAATTTAGCGACGAATGTCTCCTCCAGTGAGATTTGGCGGGGGGTCAGGGGATGGCCAACGGCGTGTCTCGCGTTTCAAAGTTGTGGGTGGAACCGCTCGCAAAACATGGTGTATAGGTGAGGCGCTCTTGCGAAGGTCGGGTATACCGCGGCGAATGATCGATTGTTCGTCATTAGTATGTTTTCCGACGATATTACTGGATCCTGAGAGTTTTGGGTGAGGAGAACTACAGCCACCCCGTCAGCGCGGCTTTCGCTGCTCGGGCCCGGCCAGATGCGGAAGCCAGCAGATGGTTCATGGGTTACCACGGGTTTTCGTCTTATGGGCTTTGATGTAGTCTTGTGCAGGAGTTATTGTATCCAAAGTGATTCTAGGGATAGCAAAAACTGGGAATGGCGGATTAGATGTTCAGGATTGTGTTCATGTCGAGCAACAGGGGTACGCACGAGGCTCTCGGGGATAATGACGCACCGTACATTGCTCGAAAGCAGCATATCTCGAGCGGCCGCGCGAAACCGGAGCCACGGACAGTAGCGCCTGGGAAACTCTGTTATGAACGTCGAGAGTTTACTCCGCTCCATCATGACGTTCGCGTTATATATGATGCGTTCATTGGACGTGGAGCGAAGTCGTCAGCATGTGGTATTTCAATCTCGGACATATGCCGTTCCGGGTCAGGTCGAGGGGAAAATGCGCTCGGCTCAAGGATAGAACGAATAGGACCCAGTAGTTTAGCATGCAAGGGCAGAAAAGAACAAGACTCTGATCTATGTCAACCGCAACAGCTGTCCTCTGTCCCCCGATTGGCCAATCCGGAACACGGACGCGCAGACACAGCAGTGCAATCTATGATCGCGCGGCGCGATGAACCTACGAAATCGTCCAGGTCAGCAGAGTACTGCCAAGTTGTAGTTGAGTTGTACTTTGAGACCATTTGGTCTGATTTCACCTCCTGAATGCCTGACTATCCACGTTGGTCTCCCATGTTACGGTTGACACATCGCAGTAGGCGAGAACTAGAAAGCGGATACGGATAAGTTAAGCTATACGGACACATGTGATCGTCTTGTTAATCGTGTCAGAGTGAGTGTAAGACCAGCGCACGACTGCAACAGAAGATCCTTCATTTCCCATCTTCTGGAGGAAAGCGAATGATCCCTTGTGACACTGACAAGGACCGACCTCTCTGAAGCTGCACTCGTTACTCCGGTATCTATAGCGACGATAAGCTAAGGTCGATACTAGCCCGGACAAACTGTAATCTCGGTATACAGTAGTTCAACCTGGACGTTTGTGTTTATTTCTCGCAAGCGGTCCGAGTCCATTTCTTTGCGAGCAAGAGATCGAAAGCCAGACTTCCTCGAAGGATCGAGCGACGAACATTGTCGGCCTGCCCATCATGTTCCACACCGCAGTTGGAAACTGCTGATGGAGTACCGAGCAGTTGAAGTGTGATAATGCTTAAGAGTAGGTCATGACCGATAGTTCTGATGAACTTCTGGATCTGAAGGCAAGAGCGATAATTCCCTAATATATGATCCTCAGTCAAGTATAAGGGAAAAGACTGAGTTACGCATGTAGTACCTAATATATGACTACAGAGGCATCATAAGTACGTTAGGACATAAGGGACATGAAGGGACATGACAGACTCACTCCTCAGTCAAGTATAAGGGAAAAGACTGAGGAGATGCGGAGGGAGAGCTCCTGGTATATGTGAGGGAGCTCGAGGGAAGCATTTCCATAAAGGGAACAAAAGAATGTGCCTAAGGCGGTAATATCAATCAGGAAAGATAGAAGATCGCAAGGAAGAACACAAGAATAGAACATGTGAGAGAATCTGTACATAATAGGTAACGAGCGTGTGATATTTCCATATTTGTACGATATACAAAGTTCAACACTCCCGCTTGTTCAAGTTGCGATCGAAGGAACAGAAGGAATAAGTCCTGAATGAGTGACAAAATGTTCCAAAACATTGAACGGAACGTTCTTTGTGAAAACGTCGGCCATTTGGTCCTCAGTCGCCACGTAGAAGATATCCACTTGACCACTTTCATAGAATTCACGAATATAGTGGTAGCGAATTTCGATGTGTTTAGTGCG